AACGGTGAGTATGCCAGTTGAACCTCAGCAGGAGCTCATTAGTAAAGGTGGGGAATTGAGATGAGAAGTCAGTTTCTGTAAGATTATCAATTTGTGGTTCCACCAGGGTTCCAGGATGTGGTTCTGGGAGCTCATCCACCATAGTATCGACTTGGTCATCTGAGACTGAAACAAAAGCATTTGAAGGACTGGGTAGGAAGTCGGTTTGTATAATGCTGTCAAGCCACGTAACAACGTGCTTCTGATAGCTTTCGTTCGAAAGGATAATGTCCTTCAATCTGGATGGTGAAAGATGGCCTTGAAGCCAGACCAGCATGTGGCAGTGTAATGAGCCACGCCCCTGAACTTCGACAGTCCCATAGAATCCATCGCAAATACCATAGAGGCCACGTCGCTTTGCATCGGAACAGCGGAGGATTTCTTCAATAAAGCCTCTCATAATTGCCTTGAAGAACAGTGCGCACGAGCCAGGATTTGTCAACGCCGTATGAACCTTTTGTCTACCCGTTTTCTCCAGGGTGCCGTCAATATCTCCCACAGCCCTGCAGCGCGCAGCCAGAATTTGGACGATAGGGTTGTACAGGTCTGACGGATTGATGGTAATGAACAGTGTTGGTGCACCACGGTAGTTTATCATTGCACGGATCTCATTTCGACTGGCAATGCGAGAAGCCATTGTACCGGGTATATTTTTGGATACCAGAGAAATAGATCGGGTAATTTGAATGATTTGTTTCTCGATGGGGGTTATAGGTTCATAATGGGGGTTACGTTTAAACTTCGCTTCCAATGCCATGACGTCCTGGATATTGAGGGTCTTGATGCTTGCAACAATTCCCTCGTATCGGGCCTGGGGTACTTTAAATCGCATTGTTGTCAATACTTGCATCTTCCGGATTACGTTGTGGAAGACAAAAGCAAATTCAAAGTCGGCCTCAAAGGAATGGTCGCTGATCTGGAGAAGGTGCGACAATTGCTCCTCCATGGTGATGTACCGTGTTCGTCCGGGGTGGTTGAATCCTCCGATCCCCCATGGATCAAGGTGAGGGAACAGCCATGTTAGCATGTAGGGGTTATTGAAATCGGGGATTGGTGTCGTCCCTGCACGCTGGATGATAAAAGGTCGGCCACTCAGGCATTGGCTGATGGCCGCTAGTTTCATCTCACGGTAGGCACTTGTGTTTGCATCTCCTGAGGTATATCCGACATTTTCCATTAGAATTTCCTCCGATGTGACCTCGGTTCCATCGTGAATTTGGACTTCTGAATACCCAGACGTAGCCGCATCGACAGCTTCATTAGTCTCCAGAAACCCAACTTGCACAGCCTCAGGTACCCCACAATCAGTGTCTTCGATGAAAAGTTTCATCCGTGTGGGATCATATCCCGAAAATGAAGCATCCCGACTGTAGTTTTTATTGCAGCTTAGCAGGAAGTGTAGGATTGTTTGGATGCGGGTTCGACGAACCAATATTGGGTTAAAGGACTTGATCGTCGCTTTGGTTGGTTTCACTTTTCCCACAAAGATAGCACACAATGTGTCACAAATGGTTTCTGCAGAGGGAGGCAAAGCTTTGTTCATCTGGATACTGTCGAGTGGCATCATAATGACGTTCCCTCGAATTTTGTTATACCTGCTCCAGTACCGATGTCCAGCTTCAGCCGATTCAGGTGCCTCATTGGTGTTCGTAAATCTGCAGCAGAGTCCATTTGCCCGCGCCCTTGAAATAAGGCTGTCCACGAGTCAGCCCTACTCGCGAGTACTTGCAAGTAGACCCGTGGGAATACTTGTGAGTATTCTGACTCGCGGATCCGAGTCACCCGTGCCAAAATACTCATGCGAGTCCGAGTTTGGGATTTTGGCCCATGAGTACTTGTAAAAAGGCCTTAAACAAGGCTTTACGGCCCTCTAGTGCTGTATATCTGCTTTAAGTAGGGTCTATCCATGAAAGGAACACTAAACAAAGGTATATTGATAGAGATATCACAGATTAAAAGCATACAAACCCTTGTGAGTATTTGACTCGTGGATCCGAGTCACTCGTGCCAAGAAACTCATGTGAGTCCGAGTTTGGCTTTTGGTACTGTGAGTACTTGCCTTGCGGCTCCAAGTCAACTCGCGAGTTGACTCGTGGACAGCCTTACCTTGAAACCATTGCCCTGTCAAACGGCGTACATGCTGTGAATGCATCCCTGACAGCCAGAGGCAGACATTCTTTTGCATAATAAAGCCAATTGGCTAATGCAAACTTCGGGAGGATACCTTTACCAAGGTCCTGCTCACAGGAACTGCAAAGGAAGACGGGGGAAATGTGGTTGACATTATCGAGGCCATCTGGGCATAACAAGGCCCCATGGTAGGCTGAGAGATTATAGGTCGTGGTGAGGAGAGCTGGTTCAAGTTGAGGATTCCGTAAGAGGCTTAACTGGAATTTGGATAACGACGCAGTAGACCCTTCATGAACTGGCACAAGGCGAGCGCATGTTGCACAGGGACGGCGAAGGAAGCTCGATAGCTGCATTCTGTTCTGGAAGCTGCTAATTATCTCGTGTTTGAGACGGTCGGACGCTGGAGCGAAATGAGCAATGGAAGTGATGTCCCGGTCAACCCCTTCTCCAAATGGTAAGTGACAGGGTATTGGCTGGGGAACGACAGGCTCCGTAGGTGAAGCGCGTGGAGGCCTGGCAGCGGAACTTCCCAAACGAATGAGAGTGGAATCAGGCCGAGTAGAATGAGAAATATTCCGGGAATCAACATTACGACGAGGGTTTGAGAGCGACTTGAAAAAGAAGAAGACGTGGGTGCAAGTATCATCGCACACATGCTGAGTGATAGTGCTCCTCAGAGCGGCCAATGATTGTTTGAAATACTTCAGCCTGTGGTGCTTAACCAACTCACGCAGATGTTTCACCCCGAAAAAGAAGTACACCCGCACCACCACCGGCAGTGGTGTTCGAACAACGAGGAAGGTCGGATCACGGAGGAAGCTCTCAGCCCCAGACAGTGATTCTCGGTGTGAATGGTATGTATAGTGTTCGTTAAACGTGCGGATTGCGATGGTTTCGTTGCTCTCTCGAATAGAGGTAGTCGCTGGCCCGATGTCAAAGCGACGACATATCCATGCTGTGGAAATAGGTGCCTGGTGTCAAAAGGATGCCGAGAGAAACACGTAAAGAACCACGCACTCATTTGGAGGATATCCTCCCCGTCTCCGACAACAGAATCCTGCTCCGCGGTGGACGTCGGCCCTGCATCCTCAAATGACGTCGGTAACTGGCGCTTTGCTGGTATCAACGAGCTAGAGGATGTCAAGGGTTGATTCCGTGGGACTACAAGCCGGCGAAATATCGCGATGGGGCGCATACACTCAAGTCGGCAACGATGGCGAGAGAGCTCCTTTCGTAAGGTGCCGGGGTCAGCGTGCTGGAGGGATTCAGGCATGCCATGAAATCGTGAAAGCTGGCGTAGTGCAGGACCTCTCATGAAGCGATATTCATCTAGCAGGATAGGGATAGTGGCTTCTATGCCGATGGTGTCAGACGTCGAGAGCGATGCTCGAAGCTCGGATTCATTAGACACAAAACCGACGCAAAGAAAATTGTTGTTCCAAATTGAAACGGAAATGTATTTTCGACGACCTGTGATACAAGCGGTATCGTAGTAATAGACCGAAAGCTCTGGTAGGTTCAAGATGGTCAGCGCAAATCCGAGGGTGAAGAAATAATGAAACGAACCTTTATCGATGTTCATGATCGATGGATGGAAGGGTGGGAAAATACGGAAGTCGCCCGCGCGCGGGGGCCTGCCCTTATATAGGCCTGGGAGGTGGCAGTGCAAGGCTGGGCCCGCACAGACAGCTCTAGAGCATTCAACACATCCCTTGAATATCTGTCTACAAGACTGGTCGTTTAAACTTTAATTTTGAGACAGCTTCTCTCGAGAGAGTGAAGGAATTTGCATGTGTGAGGCTGTGCTCCGATGCGGAGGAATTACCAAAAAAGGCAGCTGTTTCGCGGTTTTGTAACGTCCCAAACCCAGACACTAAAGTGTCCAGGTAAACAGGTTCAACCCTGTCTAATCCTCCCCTCGGTTGTTCAGCTTCCTCAGCACCCATCATAAGCTCTAGCCATGTACGTGTATTGGCTCTTCTTCGATGCATAAACATGAATTATCAAACCCTTCGATACAGGTCTGCCGAGCAATTACTGAAAGACGACCCAGTGTTTTACCAATTGCCTAAACCTCGACCATATGTGTTCCAGAAACCCGACCTCGTCAACTTGAACCCTGCACTCGGAAAGCGAGTTTTCCCAAAGGTCTTTGCTATCCCCATGCGTTCTTAATGCGTCACTTTCCCGGCGAAGAACACGAGGCGTTGAGGGGTGCGCGACATTCCGAACCAAGGGCGCGCAGTATTCCCGCCAGGGATCACCAGAGTGGCGAACCTTGTTATGCCGACCGACGATGGTAAATATCTCGAAATAACGGGTGTGGTTATCGTGAGTAATCTTACCGAGAGGGATTTGGAGCGCGCAGAGGATAATGTTGAGAAGGTTAGGGAGTTGCTCTGTGTGGAGGCCCAACCTGGGTGGCATTACTTCCACACCGACATTTAGGCCGTATAATGTGTCTCGTTTGTACTTGCTGATTAAAGTTACTGTGCTAACGTTAAACCACAGTCGTCTAGTCATAATTCCTGATTGGGAAAACGAGGTACGCGCCTGTCCGACGCGTCGAGAAAGTTCAATCCTCTCTAGACTCTCGCCTCTCTTGCAGACCTAACCATCCTCTCGTCATGTGTATCCATCTAAGGATCCAACAAACTCATCTTCCTCATCCCTGTCCTCTCCAAGACACACTTACGATCAAGCAGAAAGAAGGTCTAAGTTGGAAAAAATGCAACTAAACAATGCTATTACTATACACACTTTTTTTCCTTCACCACAACACGTCTATTAGTGATCAAGTCGTCCTCATCCAGCAGGCTGAAGTACTACGACTAATCATCTTCGTCCCAGTTACCCGACTGCTGAGGAACCTTGGGTCCACCAGCGGGTCGGCTCATGATGAGACTGTCGACGTTCAACACAGAGGTGGCGGCTTCAGTGGCGAGTTTGATTGCCCACGATTTGGCGGCTAGCGAGTCGTAGATCTTGTGCTCGTCGGCTTTGAGGGTTCCGTCTGTCTCAGCCTGTGGAACGTTGCGCAAGAAGAGGATGGAAGGGGGGGGGGACTTTTTTAGTATAGAGAAGAGATGGGGAATGGCTGTGATACGCACCTCGACGTCGACACCCCAGGTCTCACCGCCCTTCTGGTCGTGCTTGGCCCACAGCCTGCTGACGACTTCGTTGCCCTCAGCACCGCCCAACGCGTTCTCCGCCAACGTACGCGGCACAACCTCCAGCGCCGACGCGAACTTCTTCACACCATGCTGCGAGAGACCCTTGAGGGTGCTGCCGTACGTGTCCACCCTCTTCGCGAGCTCCAGCTCAGTAGCACCAGCACCAGGGACAAGACGAGGGTCCTTCAAGAGGGACTTGATCACGTTCACGCCGTCGTCGATGGCACGCTCTAGGTCGTCCAAGCGGTTCGCGGTGGCGCCGCGGAGGACGATGGTAGCCGTCCTGGTCTTCTCGCCGCGGGAGTTGGGGTTATACCCCTCCTCACCGGGCGAGAGCTGTCGCACAACCGTCACGCGATCCCCACCGATCTCAATCGTCTCAAAGACATCCACATAGCCCGCTTCCTCCGGCGTGGGGGCGCCCACCCTCGCCAAGGGAGTCGCATTAACCACCCTGCACAACCTCCGCAGATCGAACTTGGAGAGGACCTTGAGGACGGCGATGCCGAAGCGGTTGAGGAAGTGGAGTGCGAGTTCGCCGACAGTGGAGCCTGCTACGATCACCTTTACACCAGAGTCGGCGATTTCTTTGAGGATCATTTCGAGGTGTTTTTCTTCGCCCGAGGTGAAGTTGAGCATTTCGTCGGCGTTGCGGAGGAGGACTGTGCCCTTGGTTTCGGTTTGGGCGACGTCGAGGGGGCAGGTGAAGACTGCGACTTTGCCTCCTGAGATCTTTTTGACGGTGCCTTGGGTCTACAGGTTAGCCTGGGGTTGCCTTTTGGTATCGGAGGAGAGGTGCACCTTCTGGTTCGCGGCCAAAGACCATACCCTGCACGACCCTGCTCGAGTGCAAACTTCCACCCATGATCTTGACTACCCTGACGTTGTCGACGTTGAAGTTTTTGGGGTTGTTGGGCATGATGGAGAGGGCAGCCTCTGCTACGAGATCAGCGAGGACATCCTCCGATCCATACTGTTTCGATGCGATGGCGGGTCTCAGTGCTGATGCGAGCGAGGGTTTGGTCAAAGGAGATGGGAGGCTGAAGTTTGTGAGTTCTTCGAGCGGGGATGTCAGAATCCAAGATCGAAGATGGTTATTGGGGAATACACACTTTCGAGTTCTTCTTGGGCTTTTTGAGCACCGAGTTCGTAGCCTTTGATCACTTCGCTGGGGTGCAAACCCATGATCAAGAGATGTTCCGCCTTCTTGAGCAGCTCACCGGCGAGGATGAAGACGAGGTTGGTCGCATCGCCCATCTAACTCGGTTTCAGACTTTCCCTGTATAAAGGTAAACTTCTATACAAACTCACCTCGACTTCCTGAGCCTGCGATGCCATCACAAGCAACTTTGCAGCAGGATGGACGACCTCCAATTCTCGAATAATCGTAGCTGCGTCCGATGTGACGAATAACCGGCCAAGATGGTTGATAATAAGTTTATTTCGACCTATAAAGGTATAAGCCCTATTTTTCAATTGGTAGAACACGAGAAAAAGCGCGCCATTGGGTCCAAAACTCGTCCGCAGATTCTCTGTCAGCTCACTTATCTCGGCGATGTTGCGCAAAACTGCGTCTTCGAGGCCTTGTCGGTGCTGATTGCGGCCGTTAGATTAGGTTAAGGGAAGGCAGGGAGAGGATACCTTGTAGCCATCTTTGAAGAGCTGGACGTTGTTGGCTTTGGGGACTTTCAGCGACATTGTGCTGAGACGATGATGGAAGAGAGCAAGACGCGAAATCGGCACAGCCACGCAATCTGCTGCAGCGGACGCCGATGCCGAACAGAACTTCAACATGCCGACCTTTGGCGTCAATGAATTGCGCTTGCTCCCATACCACCATCAAAGACCTTAGTGCTGCACACTCGCATGCCCACCACGAATACTGAACGGGATAAGAGGGATACCTCGTATGTCAACTCACTGCTGAATTACAAGAGAAACCATTGCCTGACTGCCAACCTAGTGATGCCAACTCCTCGAGCACGCCAGCACGTCCGTCGCCTCCAGTTCCTGAGCTTACGGGCTTAAAGCTGTTCAAACACAAACTCAACTGTGACTTTAGGGAGCTCTTGCGCCCATTGGGGTTCAAAGACACGCGATATATCAAATCCGGCCCTCATGTGCGCCTCCAAGAGGCTTTGACAATGGAATTCATCGCACAAAACACTACAATCCGCGTCCCCCGGGTTCTGGATGTCTTTTCCATTCGCGGAACTGTGCACATAGTCCAGGAACGCATCCATGGGCCTGTTCTCGAGGATGTGTGGCACCGTCTCTCCGCGGAAGAACAACGTAGCGCTATGCTGCAGGTGAAGGACTGTTTCGATCAACTGCGTGCGCTCCAGCCCCCGCACCCAGAACGGGTGCAAGCCGTGGACGGGTCGGGGCTCATTGACAGTCGAGTGGAAAAGGGGGAATGGGGACCTTTCGAGAACCATGCGGCCTTCCATCGGTTCCTAAACCACGACATCTATCGGGCTCAGCCCGAGAAATATTCTCGTATGCAGGACGCACTGACGAAGATCAAGGATAAACAGTACAAGTCCGTCTTCTCTCATGGCGATTTCGGACCACATAACCTCATTTGGAGGGACGGTACGATCTTTGTTATCGACTGGGAGAGGTCAGGTTGGTTTCCAGAGTATTATGATTTTACAAGGGCGCATACTGCTCGTGGTGATATGAAAGATTGGTGGACTAAGTTCGAGGAGGTGGTGGATAGATATGGCGACGAGTTGGAGCTCGAGATTCGATTTTGCGAGTACTTTGAATCGTGGATATTATAGTAGATGGTCAGATTCCATAGGCGCGTAGCTAGACTTAGCAACGTCAAGACCTACAATATGATGTTCGAACCTATGTATATACACTGTATTGTATGTGTGGCAGCCGTTACTTCTTATCAACTACACGTTCCTCGTTCGAGAATCGACACACAGATTCCACGCCCTTAATATGGCGGCAGTCGCAATTGCTTGCTAGATGACATCGAAGTACCTCTCCGTTTGCATTGAAAGACTGCTCTCCATGGACGCCACACTCCTCGCATCCGAATCTTGCAAGCCGGGCGTCGGCCTCCCGAGACTGGACCCTTCCCCTGGCATACGGCTTCAACAAGAATGATTGATATAAACGTCGCGGCAGAGATATACATCTGGGTTACATGTATGTAGTAGAAGAGTTAGACCAACGAGAATGTACCAACTTGAATGAATAATCGAAAGGTTAGACAGTAATGGGTCTGATTTCGCTGGTGATCTCCCTGCCACAAGGGTCACATGTGTACAACCAATCATTGTGCACCGGGTTGCCGTCGCTCGTCTTACGCTCGATGAAAGTACTACCCGTCTTCACTACTTCGAGGGCAGAACTATGGGGAAGCGGCGGAATCACCCCTGCTGCCACAAGCGCCTGAAAAGAACAAGGATCAGGTCGTGTCTAACGGATCTCCAGCGGTTGCTTAGCGTACTCACATTCAAAGCATCTGCGACCCAATAACGACAGCGCCAGGTGTCGCCCCTAGCCTCTATGTTCGCTAACTCCTGTGGAGTTGGAATATGCACAGTTCTGAGGATCGCTTCGATCCCTTCAGCGGTGAACTCGGGTGGCACCTTGCCGAGTAGCATGAGTCCAGAGAGCTTATTGGTCCTGGGAAGAAGCTGCAAGGTTGGCTCAAACATCCAAGTTTCGAGTTTAGTCCCAGGGTCGATACGGTTGACTACATGATACCTCGCGGTGGTACGCTCGTCGTTCTGTGGATTCTTGGGAATGAGCAGTAGACCGGTGTGAAATATTTGGTTGCTTGTTTTTGACGGCGTCCGCCGCCAATAAGCTACGTAGAGCCGTAATTTGTTTCCTGCCATTGCTGAAGACGAGTAAAATTAAGTCAGCAGCTGCACAAAGCCTCGAAACTTCAGTAGACGAACCGATGTTCTTGAGTAGGCAAGTTAGTTGTTAGTACTATCTGATGATTCTCGTTGAACCTTCCAGAGGCTTTATATACTTTCGCTGGTCCCAACAGGGCCGTATAAGCCGGTTCACTGTGGGTCCCCCCTTAGATACAGTCCTCGGAAGAACAATCGTGGAACAGACGCCCTCATACGGCCAGTGGCGAATGTGCGACGCTGAGAAGAAACGTGACGGAAGGCCAACGAACGGAGACAAAGGGAAACTTCATACATTGCCACTCAGCCACAGTGTGCTACATTTTGCTTTGTTCGTTTGATAATGGGTTTTCATTTCAGAAAAACAAAGCAATTGGGGTTTTCATTCCAGAGAGACAAAGCGATGGGCGCTTCAGTCGTCATCCGAGAACTGGTAGTAAGTAGTGTTGCTACAAGGCACGGTCAGGGTGTCCTCAAGGTAGCCCCACGTGAGATCTAGACTTTGAAAGGCCTTGAGGTACCAAGGTTACAGAGAGAGACCATATTTACGAGCGCGTTTCGCAAACGCGCGCCAATATTAAGCGCCAGCAGCCGCTGCGCGGCAGAGTGCTCAAATGCTCGATCTCCGACCAATTCGGGTCAACGGCAACCAAGCGCTCGAAACTGTCTATTAAAGGGAGAGAAAGTCAACGAAACGACGTTTCAGCAGTGTTCTGGATTCATTTTGGCCTTTATCTCTCGTTATTACAGCGCCGAGCTCGAGTAAAAGTATACGAGGCAAGGCTCAAGGTACGAAGAGGAGCAATGGGCATCGGCACCCTTTGATGCTAACACAGCCAAACAGGGTGAATAGGGGCGGCGCCTCCTGTCGCCTGTCTACACGCAATCTCTTCCTTGATTACGACAACGACGATGACCAGGCAATCTCCAGTCTTGGGCGAAGGAAATTCAAATGAATAAATAAGGTACTTAAAATATGCTGCTACTGTTACATGGTTCAAGTACAAAATGCTAATCGATTACCAGTCTGGATTCAGAATCGTCGCCAGGACGACTTTCGGTTTGACGAGGGCATGGTTCCCTGAAGTCAACAAAAGCCCCATCTCGGCTGTACACAACACTCGATTGTCCGCCAACAAGTCCGTCTGGCTATCTCCACCCTCAGGATAGTTATCCTCGAACCGCTTGCTTGAAAATTCAGATCCGGGTGCAGCAACGTATGAAGCGAGATTGCAGAGGGCGTCGTTGAAGAGGATGTCGCTGTAGAGGATGTGCAGTCGGATCGTCTGGCGTGCGATGATGGAGAGCTTTTCCTCGTATTGCTTGACGAGGCGGTCGACGGCGGGTTGGGTCTTGGAGCGCCCGATGACGGCGAGGACGTCGTATACGTGTTCTCGGAGGTATGCCAGCAGTTGCGGGTGGCTTTCGGACGTTAACCTCAGCATGGCCTTCGTCGTCGCTCGCCAGGAATCAGCCAAGTCACGTTTGCCTATATCGAATATCAGCGAACGAACGAAATAATGTCTTGAAAACGACTCACCAGACTCCAAGATTCGGTTATACATGATCTGAAGCAAATCACCATGGTCCCATTGGAACGGGTACCACGAATTCACAAACTTCTCTGCGCAGTGGGTCAAGCACGCCTGTAACGCCACCTGCAGTAACAGCGTATTCGGCTCCTGGTCACGGTCCATGTACGACTCCCTCAATGCCTGCACCAGCTCCCTGCTCATCATCGGCGCCAGCTTGACCATTAGCCGCTCCAAATCCGCCATCCCGTCCTCCAAGTGCGTATCGAGGTCGACGCTATCAGCAAACGACGCGGCCATCTGGAACACCTCCGAGTTGAAGTTGTTGAGGAGGCGCACGGCAGAGTCCATCTGCTCGGTGGAGGATTTGAGGAGGAACTTGCTTTCGGCTGGTTTGACGAACCGGACGTCCATGGACTGGCGTTTGAGCTGATCGCAGAGGAGTCGGTTGCGGCGGTCGGTCTCGTCGACGTATTGGTAGTACGCGGCCATTTTGTCTCGGAGATCTTCGATGATGCGGTCCTTCTCCCGGTTCCTGCCTGCAGCGCACTCGCGGAGTTCTTCGACCTGGCTCTGGCTCTGCGTGAGCTTGCTGTTGAGGGACTCGATGTGGCTGTCTCGTACGGCCAGGTCGGCGTCCTTCTCTTTGCGAAGTCGTGTCATGGCGTCCCTCAGTGATCCCTCCCGCTGTTGCTGTGCTGCGATCTCCCCCTGAAGCCTCTTGACGTCCGCCAGCGCCGAAGAAACATCTGCCTTCAGAGTGATGATCACCTTGTTAGCCTCCTCGGTCTCTTTCTGCGATCCAGCCAAAATTTCCTCCAACTTCGCCTTTGACGACTCCATCTGTTTAACGGCATCCTCCAACTCGGAAATACGCTTCGTCAACGCCTCATTATCGCGCTCCACCAATTCGAGCTCTTCCTCCCTCAACTTCCGCTCGTCATCCCATTCCTCCATCCTCTTCTTCATCTGTTCTACAACGATCGTGTTCTCCGCCTCCAATGCCACCTTTTGCTCCTCAAGCTTTGCGACGATGGCGCTCCATTCCTCCGACTTCGCCTTCATCTCCTGGGCCAGCTTGGCCTTTTCGTCCACGAAAGCAAGTCGGTCGGCCTCTCGTTCTTCTCCCCAACGGGCCTCCTTCGCCACCAACTCCCGGGCAAACTGCGCTTTTGCCGTTTCCAAAGCCAGGTCCCGTGCTTTCACTTCCTGCATCCATATCGCTTCCTTCTGCTTCGCCTCCTGGACCAATCTCGACTTTTCCTTCTCCTGAGCAGCCAACAATGATTCCTTCTCCGCAACCCACTGGCCCTCCTTCGCTTTCATCACTTGTGCCAACCTCGCGTTCTCCCCCTCCAACGTCTTCCTCTCCGCCATCTTCTCAGCCGCCAGCCTACCCTCCTTTTCCTTCATCTCCTGCACCAACCTCGCACTCTCCCCCTCCAGCGTCTTCCTCTCGGCCACCTTCTCGGCCACCAACCTCGCCTCCTTTTCCTTCATCGCCTGCACCAGCCCCGCGTTCTCCGCTTCCAGACGCTCACGCTCAGCTCGTCGTTCCGCAACCCACTTGGCCTCTTTCTCCTTCAACTCCCTAGCTAGCCGTACGTTCTTCCCTTCCAACGCCGCTTTGGCCTCCTCGAGTTTGCGTAACCGTTCTTTATCGGCCAGGTTCTCCTCCTCCAGTGCGCCCTTGGCTTCTTCGAGTTTCTTGACCCGATCTTTGTAAGCGAACGTTTCTTCTTGCAGGGATCGGTTCATTTCCTCGAGTTTACGGATTTCGTCGGCGGGGGATCTGGAAGACGAGCTTGTCGATCGCTGCAAGATGCCGTTTTCGATCGTCGTAGTAGGCTCGATGGATTGCGTGCGTTTGATGCTCGCTCGGATGGAGGATCGGGATCCTGCGTCGGTCCAATCGCCGTCTACTGACGACCGTGCCTTCTCTTTCTCTTTCCCCTCATCGTTTCCGACGACGGAGAAATCCCCGGCGGAGGAGGTGGAGATGGAGGACGAGCGTGGTGGTTTCTTTGCGTCGACGAGGGCGTGTAGTTTGGGAGAAGAGGAGAGTGTGATTGCCGAGACGGGTTCGATGGGTTCGATTGTAGGCGTCCCCTTACCCGCTGTCGCGGTCGTCGATACAGTCGTCTTGGGTGGTTCCGGACCAGATTTGACAATACTCGAGGGTTCCTCAGAAATCACTGTACCAGCGGTGGCAGGCTCGGCAGCAGCAGCGGGCGTGCCAGGCCTCTCAGGCGTATTCGAAGCCGTATTCGTTTTGGAGTTTGCGGTGGTCGCGGTGACGTCCGAGATTGTGGGCACCGCGGCGGAGGTCATACGCGATAACAACGTTCCCTTGCGGAACTTGGCCCTAAACGTGGATTTGGTGCTCTTGATGGAGGCGGTGTCGCTTGTGTCTTTGTCTTTGGGTACAACATATGATGGCGTGGGGCTCCCGCTGGGGGAGGAGGCGTTGACGAGGGTGGTGGCTGCGCTGGGTGTGGGGGAGCCTGAAGCAGAAACGGGGATCGCGTTGGCGGTCGCGGTTGTCGTCGTGGCGGTGGCAGCGGATGAAGTGGGGAGCGTGGTTGTAGAGGATGAGATGGTGGTGTTGCTACTACTACTGCCGTTGGCGGTCTCGTCTGTCACGGATACGGTCGATGCGGCTCGTTTGGCTTGCTGGGCCCGTCGGGCCTTGCTGATCATGCTCAACATGGAGAAAGCGGATGCCATCGTTTCAAGTGGAAGGGTTCGTTATATATAGGATTCGAGTTGGGTGGCTAACGGGTGTGATGTCTTTGTCTCGTTTGTGGCCTCTTCGTATCAAACGAAGAGAAGACAGAACAATGGGATAATGGATGGATGGATGGATAGGGGGTAACGAGTTTATCACTTCTGAGAGGGACGGTCGGTGTGTAAGGAAGGAAAACAAAGAAAGGCGAGGCGTTATTATATGTAGTGAATCCACTCCTTGCCAACATGCTGCGAAACGCTTAATTAGAACCGCGTGTCGGCCGTGGTGCTGCGGCGTGGTAATCTGGTGGTGGCGACCTGGGGAGTGTCCGTGAGGTGTGGCCAACGTTTTGTGCAACGAGGCGGGGGCGTGGACCCTGTTTCGAGGTTTGCGAGCGATAGGCGTGCCTCCCCCTATTGCAATGAGGTCTGTTAGCCGTCGATTTGATAGCTGTAGAGTTTCATATGATGATTGCAGTTCTGGGCAGGGTGTCTACTATCACTTTGCATTCAACGAATGGCCAATCATTCTCCGTAGGCCGCAAGATCTATCAGGATCTATCTTGTGTATTGCCGATTAGAATTACTGCAGCCCCAGTGTAACAGATAAGGTGGAGGATAATAGTGTGCATGTACATAATATACATCGTTGTAGCGGCATGTGAGGATGTGTGGATCGCATATCTATGTCACCCTTCAGTACTCAGTTGCATCGCCCCGCTCGGGAATCAAAAACATGCAAAGCCTATGCCTTGCTCCAAAAAAACGAGGGGGTACATATAGGGGATAGCGCCGGCAGGTGATACCTATGGCGATTGTCGGAGTCGACGATGTCCGATATAGAGGGAGATGTGGCCATAGATCTAGACAACCCTGGAAGGGGATGGCGTTACGTGAATTTACGAAGGCCCTCCCATCTCCTCCACGATACCCTCCAACGTCTGAGGCATTATCACACTCGCCTTCTTCATGACGTCGGCTTGCTGGATCTGGGGCATCGCGGCAGGAGTCGATGAACCAGGGGAATTCGAAGGATTCTGGGAAGAAGTTGGAGAAGAGGAGCCCTTGGCCACCACGACCTTTTGAAGCCCCAGCTCGATCGTACCCATGATAGGCGGCTCCCCTGCATCCTTCAACCACTCCTCGTTGTACGAACTCTCCATCTTCGCTGCATCGAACGGTTCGTCGAACCGAGGCCGCACAGGTCGGAGATCCATCGACGTCACGCCCTCGCCGATTGCCGTGCGTAATGTGAAGACGCTCTGTGCGATGGGTAGGAGTTGGTCTTTGAGGGAGGTGGTGGTTTCGGTCCAGCGCGGGCTCGACTTGGAACCGCCGGAGAGGAGCATGACGCGTGTTAGGTCGTCGAGGAGGTGCTGGATGAAGGAGTCGGTGCTTGGTTTGAGTTGGCTCATCATGAGTGCGCGCCAGCGTCCTGCGACTGCTTGTTCCTCTGGATTGCCATGGTCAGTTTCAAGATTGGGGAATGATATTAGGAGACACAAACCTTTAGAAGCGATTCCAAGATAGATATCCCACAGTTTCTGATTTGAATGGGTATCAGCGAAATCGAAAGCGTTGATAAGAGATTCGCAGTGATGGGTCACTGTAATCTGCAGCGCAACCTGGAGGGGCAGCATATCCCGACTCTTCAACGAATTCTTCTCCAACAAGTCTACCAGTCTCCTTCCAAGAATCTTCTCCACCTCCTCCCTTCGAACCTGGCCCTCTGGATCCTCTTTCCCTTGCTCTTCGCCCTTAGGAGCAGCGTTATCAGGATCCTCCAAGACCATCTCCGCCGTCTGCGCGCAGCACTGGAAGATCTCCGAGTTGAGGTTTTCGACCATCCGTGTGATGTCCGCTCCAGCGAATTTGTCGGCTTTGGTGAGGAAGGTCTGTGCCCCTTTGAGTTCTGACGTGCGCATCTCGAGCAGGGCAGACATATCGGACATCTTCTTTTGACACTCTTGGAGTTGGGTTGTCGCGCTGCGGTGGAGGTTTTCGAGATGTTCATGTCGCTGTTGGAGAGCGGCGAGGTTGTTGAGGGTCGTGTTATGTTCCGCTGCTTGAGTTTCAGCCTTGGTTTGGAGGTCGATCTTCAGTTCCTGGTGTACTGCTCGCTCATCGTGAAGCTGCCGCTCCAGCTGGTCATATTTCTCTCGCCATTCGGCCTGACATTGCGATAGTTGATCTTCGAGGTTTCTGTTTTTAAGATAGAGCGCTTCGTTATCTTCCAAGAGGGCGACCCGTTCGACTTCCCAGTTGTCGAGAGCGTCCCTGTCGTGGGTGCCGGAGGTACTGGGTCTTCTGCTGTCGTCTCGTCGATCATGGTATCGATCCTTATGGTCGTCGCGCCTATCCCTGTTCCCACTTCTGTGCCTATCCCCGTCTTTGTTTTTGTCTCCTCCCCTGTGCTTATCACTGTCCTTATACCTGTCTCCGTCTCTGCGCCCATCGCCGTCCCTGTACTTGTCATCTTCCCTATACCAGTCATCGTCCCTATACCCGTCATCTTCCCTATACTTGTCTCCATCCCTATACTTGTCGCCCTCCTTGTACTTGTGATCCTTCCTGTGCCTGTCTCTACCCCCATCTCGATGTCTATCCCGATCTCGCTTCCCACCTCTCTTCGAATCCGGCTCCCGAGTCCTTTCCCTACTTCTGCTTCTGCTCCTCTTATCGTCTCTACGTCTCTCTCTGCTTCCTTTCCTCTTGGACCGGTCTTTACCTCTTCCGTCTCGGTCCCCACTCTTCTTGTTCCTACTGCGTTCCCTGCTCCTACTGCGCTCTCTGCTCCTACTGCGCTCTCTGCTTCTACTGCGCTCTCTGCTCCTACTGCGCTCCCTGCCCCTACTTCGTCCCTTGCTCCGGGGCCGCTCCACATCCTTCGACCCATCCCGCTGTTGACTTCTGCTCCGACTCCTGCTCCTGCGTCCGTCACTTCTACTTCTGCTCCGGCTTGGGCTATAGTAGCTCCCCTTCCGACTGCTTGGGCTATAGTAGCTCCCCTCCCGACTGCTTGGGCTATAGTAGCTCCCCTTCCGACTACTTCTGCTCCTATTCCTCTGCTCTCTCTTGTATTCATCCGGCGGCCCTCTGTCGCTCTCGTATCCGCCGTCTCGATCCTCCGCACCCTTTCCGTTAGTGCTGTAACTTCCTGGCTCTGGTGGAGGTTCGTTCTTCCCATCGGGTCGCTGTTGTCTTTGGTCGTGATACCCCTGGCTTTGAGGATGCTGGGAAACGCCGCGACCACCGTCATTCCAGCCTTGGTTATGACCTTGCTTTGGATAGGTTCCATCTTGGGGATAGTGACTGGGGCCGCCAACATCGTGACACCCTCCTTGACTCGGTCCCTGCCAGCTCTGGTAGTTTACCTGGTGCTGAGGGTACCGACCCTGGCCTCCCTGATGCTGATGAAACCCCTGCCATTGGTGATATCCATTCGGAGGATGGTGGCCCTGACCTCCTCCACCATGATATCCCCCTCGATTGTGGTTGAAGTCGTTACGCCACCTCTGCTGGCCGTCGTACGGTCGATTGTGTGACCGGCCTCTTCTTCCACCTCCACCTCCTCGCCAAGCCGCCTGACCTGTACCTCTATAAGTCAAAGTAGTCTCCGGAAGAGAATATGTTACGCCACACCTCGATTATGTCGAGGCTGCCAGTTGTTGATGTGACTGTCGCCGTTATCGGTATGAGGACCTCTGTTTCGAGGGTGGCGAGGAGGCCCTCCTCCGCGAGTATTGTTGTTGGGATGCGAGCTATTGGAACGTTGGCTTGGAGCAGGTGAATGAGGTCGCTCCTGCTCTTGCGGGCCCTCATTGGACGAACTTTGAGGCCCTTGGTCCGTTCGCGGCCTACATCGTCATGAACAATGGCCCAAAAACTCAAGGAAGAGCATACCGTTTGGCTTCAGGGCCTGCTCCACCTTCCCCGTCGTGAGGACGGGTTTTTCCTCCACCGCCTTGGTCGTTCGAGTTGCCCGGGTCAGGGGCTACGCTTAACCTCTGCAACAGTGACGGAATACCACCACAAGAGGGTTTTTGGTCTTCAATACGATTTTTCAAAGCGGAGCTATGATTTCCAGTTGAATCGATATCCATTGAGTTCGTTTCGCCAGCTGACTTGAGGTTCGTAGCGTCGTCTCGACTCGCAGACCCCTTTATACGTAGTTCTTGGGTCATGTTGGTCTAGATGAACATTATCTGCGAGGATTATTGGTGTTGGTTATTCTGGATGTCGTTTGACAGACAGGTTTGGTGGTGGTTCAAGATCAAGCCGGAGACGCGCCTAGGGCGAACAATTTGGGAGGAAGGAAATCGCGTCCACCTGGAGTCGAACTGGCGCTTATCGGAATATGCCGTGCCCATCAATTCTCGCACAGGACTGGCAAGCGCCCGTCGAAACTTGAGGCTTGCTGCTCCTCAAGTTTGAGTTCGACGAGCAAGGCCTCGAAAGATCCAGTATTGGAGACAGAAGTAGAAATGAATAACCCATGATTCTATGAGACCCACTGACCCTCATCAGCCTCCCGCTGGCCGTCCACTCCGTTGCCAAGCTCGTGGCTGTGCCGGCCATGGCAGATGATGGGCTCGGCTCGCTCGCAGTGACAGAAAGGCAGCAAACTTGAATCCGTTCCACCACCAAGCAGTGAAGCACGAACGACGGCGACGACGACATTGCGGAACCAACCAGGACATCGGTGCACAATATCTCAACCAAGGAATCAACTGTATAACGCTCGAAAATTGCGCTCGATTGCCTGTATGTCACATACGGGGACGTCTCGCAAACTGGTCGTCGCGTTTGACATCGGGACGACCTTCAGTGGGGTTTCATACAAGTACGAATCCACCCGGCCCGAATGAAGAATACTAACACTGTCCAAGAATTATAGATCCAGGCAATACGACCAACACCCATACAGTGACGAGGTTAGCTTTGTCCGGTAAAGACCAGCGGAGACCGTAATGGTGACATGACCTTCCAGGTTCCCCGGTCAAGATCACGTAGGAAGTACTTCGAAAATCCCGACCGTGATTTGGTATGATCGTGAATCGAAACCGGCGGCTGTAGGCGCTGAAGCGGTGGAAGACGGTATCGCCGTTCAGGCTGAAGAGGAGGAGTGGACGAAAGCCGCATTGTGAGTGATGGAACGCCAGGTTCTCTACCTTCCCTGACGCAAATCCAGATTCAAGCTCAACTTACGACCGCACCGTATGAACTCCGGCGTGACCGAAGGCCTAATACCCACCATACCCCCGAACAAAACCATCGTCGAAGTCTTTGCGGACTTTATGCACTATCTCTACAGATGTACAAGGGACTTTATCAGAGACACTGAAATGAACGGAAAGGACCTCTGGGACTCGTTAGACAGGACCGGCATTCACTATGTCATCACGCATCCCAACGGATGGGAAGGTCTCCAGCAATCACAGCTGCGAACCTCTGCTGTTTTGGCGGGGTTGATTCCGGATACGGATGAAGGACATTCGAGGTTATCGTTCGTGACAGAAGGAGAGGCGAGCTTGCATTTCTGTGTGCAGAGCGGATTGGCGACGACGGCTAAGGTTTGTCGGTTTGCCTTGGTACGGAACTGCGCCCTGACTGCGTTTATGAAGGATGGTAAAGGTGTACTCATTGTGGATGCGGGAGGTGGAACGGTCGATATTAGCGCGTACCGATTCATTGAAAAGGACGACAGCTACGAAGAGATTGCTGCTCCTCAATGTACGCCTATGATTCTTGTTGCCGATTCTCGCTAACAGGTGCATCGTTTTCAGGTCTCTTCCATGGGTCCATGTTCGTCACCATGCGAGCCAAAGAGTATCTGAGAGGTACACAATCTCTTCTGCTTCCCGCTTTCTGCCTCTCATTCACACGAACCCCTTCCAGAATTTCTTAAAAATTCGCGGTACAAAGACGATGTTGAAACCATCGGACAACGATTCGATCAAAACACCAAACCCATCTTCAGATCCGGCCAGAAGTTCTATTATATCCCGTTTACCAGCGCCAGCGAGAGCAACCCCTCGTTGAACATCCGTGCTGGGCAGCTCAAGTTGGAGGGGTGCGTAAAACTGTGGGCCTTCTTTGTACCCACGTTGCTGATCCAGTTCCAACCACCAGCTCTGTTGTAGCTGGGTTCTTCGAGCCTTCGGTAACCGCCATTCTTGAAGCTATCGAGCAGCAAATCGAGAACGCTACCATTCCCATATCGGCAAGTTCGTTTCATCACCAAATTTCCTGTATCGTTCTGATTTAGGCTAGTAGAATGTTCTCCTTGTGGGTGGGTTCTCTGCGAGTGACTGGCTGTATAAGCGGATCAAGGAGGCGATGGCGGAGAACGTTGAGGTTAGCAGACCTGATCGACAAGTGTATGTTTCCTTCGTTGCATGGTGTCGCGAAAGGGCTTGACTTTATTGCAGGAACAAAGCTGTTTCCGATGGTGGGGTATCGTTCTTCGTCGATGATAAAGTGAAGACACGAATAGCGAAGTGGACATATGGACTGAGTGCCTGGGTGAAATATGACCCAGACAATTCTGACCACAAGGCTCGAGAGGACAAAGTGGAAACAAACCCGGTTACGGGGGAGCGGATACTGAAGAAGATGTTCACGGTCATCCTTCCCAAGGTGGGTACAAGCGTTGCTGTCACCGTGAAATTGTCGACTCATATGTCAAAATTCGCAATTCAGGGCACGCCCGTGCAAGCGACTGGAGAATACAAACATAAATATCACATTACCACCACCGAGAGACCGGAAGGGAAACTTGTACATATATTGCAATACGACGGAGAGCTAGAGAGGCCGGTGTCGCTCTATGATGACCCAGGTACGACGTTGGATCTGAGAGGATTGCCATGAGTTTAACGCTGAAATCGATGTTTCCGGATGTCTTATAGATAATTTCGTGACTGTATGCACGATCAAGGCCGATCTCAGAAATGTTGAGACACGCAAAATGGTCAGCCTAGCAGGCAAACGATATTATTACACTGAATATTATATCGTCATTCTCTTTGGTTTGACGGAATTAAAGGCCCAGGTGGAGTGGAAAGAAGATGTGCGCTGTCCTTCATCGTTTATTGCGTTCTGAGTACTGATATGTCCGCTGTTCCTATCTTTGCTTTTTATAGGGTAAAAAGAAGAGGTATGGAACCGAAGCTCTCGTAATGTTTCTTGATGGTGAGCTAACTTGTACCGATTGCAGGAGTCCTGCCAAAGTCGTCTACGTGCCACGAACATGACACAACGGGAGTCGACTATAGGTCACTTTCCGGGTACATTCGACCCGTCATCTTGGATTCGGTTGCCACCGTTTTGGTCCCTCCCGCGACATTGCAACGAGGCACGACGAGCGACACATCGACGTTGAACTCGAGCCTCGAGTTCTAGGGCACCTACAAGGGGAATAGTTTGATGTTCATCAGATTTTGACGGAGTAGCTCGGCCGGGCCAGGGCGCCCCAGAAAGCTTGGAGAGTGGAGATTGGTCCGCCTGTATAGGGTTTTGTGCTACATGGACCTTGGGAGTTACTAGTAGGCGGGGTTGTGGACCGCAAGATGTACATGTACATGGTAGATGGTCTGAGGTACATATGTGAAGAGATTCGGTGTTTAGCTCTTGGGGATAAAGCACGCGCGCCTTTTGCTGAATGACTCGTTCGGACATTTGGCGTTTACTCTGGCGGCCTTAACGCGATTTCAAAGTAATTAAGACGCGTCGCGCTTCGCGAACGCGGTTATGATCGCGTTTGGCCGTGGCTGTGCCGGCGCCAAGCCAAGCTAACACCGGCGGGAAATATGATCAATGACCTTGGGCTCATTCCATGCTTTTCCACAACCACGACCGCCCACGATGACCACGTATTAGGGGGTATCGTCGGCGAGAACGTCGTGGGTGAAATTCCCGCGCGAGCGACCTTCGGTGGCTTGTCGCAGCAGCGCGAGTGATGTCATCATATCCGAACGGCTTCAAAGTACCGCTTGTCCTGTATCCGTTTGCCATAGCTAAGGGTGGAAAGTCCGTAAAGTGATACAGAGTAAGTCAAAGAATTATAAGTTCAAATAAGTTAGAGTAACCAGATACCGTGGGTACCAGGAGAGACCAACTGATCCAATTAGCGCCCAGAGGTCCTTCAGGATCACGCAGTGCAATCACCGTTCCAGGTGTTTTGCACGACAGCTCGAAGTCGCGGAAGATCAACCGATAGGGACAGTGTAGAACACGTCCGACATTCAAATTAGAATAATGAACAAGTATGTACCATGCTAACAAGGAAATTATGAGGGAATTACGAGGGATGCATATTGAGAGTCAACCGGGGGCCTGCCCTAAAGAGGGCCACGGCGTTGTCAAAGTTGCGCTAATCGTTGTCTTGCGCCTCATCTTCTGACTCCTCAGTATCGGTTGCTTTAGGGGCATTTACATCGGAGCCGTCTGAGTCGAGCAAGTGCAAGGCACGGCACAGTGGTCCACAGGTGTGTTGCTCAACAAAGGTGTCAATGCCCTCTTGTCCAAAATCTCCGATTCCAGAGCCACTGTAACACATCCCAAAAACCCATTAGATCGGCGTAAATTAAAAGATTGACGGATGGGCACATACTGATTAATGGTATGGGTCATAGGATCAAACAACATCATTCCCTCTACGACTTCGCCGCTAGCCAGCTTGACAGAAGTCGGTGTTCCTAAAACGACGTATGTTTAGGTGCATAGCCTGATTGCAGAAGTAAGTCAGGACATACCTTGCAAATCAGCAAAAATGAGCTGTCGGTTTGTATGTAAGTACACGAAATGATTGAAGGTGTGGACGGTTTGATACGCTAAGTCCGTCCTGGTGGTCTGGTGCTGCATCGTGCCACAGAACCGCACAATACGGCGGCTTAAGTGACGCTCCTCAGCGAGCCACTTAATACCGATGACCTCCTGTCCATCATGGTCTGTCTCAGAATCGCATAACTGGCCAGAAGCAGGTGAGTGTTTTCCAATCTCCTGCAACAGAAGGCCCTTCGCGAAGGAAAGATCTAAACAAGGTGTGAGAATGAATATAAGCGGAACTGAACCTGAACACTGAATGGGCGAGTAAGAACGGCACTCACAGAGGTAGGCATCGACACCCTTCTCTTCACATCGCTCGTAGAACAGCTCGAGCATCGCCTTTCCGCGAGCAAGCGAAAGGTTGCGCACTGCTTTCCAATTCGTTTTGGCCCTCTCGGATTTTGAAGAACCTCTTCGCAACCCAGCGTCCTTCTAAGTCGCTCGATATGAGCTGTATTCAATGAGTTAATCAATGCTAAGAATGTGAAGATTGAATTATCCACCAGTACTCACCTCGTGCACGACCTTCATTGAGCCCTGCGCAACATGTACGTCCGAAATAAAGCCTGTGATCATCCTCTCGTTTTGAATAACCGGGTCGCCCAAGGGAGTCAGTTGAACACAGCAAGACTGTTGAAACTTCGCCTTGGTAGAAGTTGGAACAGTCCTCATAGTTCCTGCAGGGGGAAGCGAAAATGAGGACTGAACTAAAAAAGCAAACACGAAGGTCAACGAAATTCTCTATTCAAAATCAATAATACGTACTGGGATTTTGTTGACGAGCGATCTTGGAAGGCCCGTGTCCGGTGCTATATGCAACCAGGTACTCAGACCGGTCACGACGCTTCCCAGATGGTCGACCATCCTCCTCCGATAATTCAATCCGTTTGGTATACTGAAGAAGTCAGTACTTTGTCACGATTACGAAAAGATGAGATGTAGAAATGAAGTAATGCACTCACCATTTTCATCAGAACAAACAGCTCAAAGTTAACGGTTACTGGGGGAGGGCCCGTACGCTTTTTGCCAAACCCAACTGGCTTGGCTGAAGACATTGTGGGGACCGTAATCCAGCCGTCATCGCGAAGGCGATCTACATACTGCTTGAGGGTAAGACCCATTTGCCCACCCTCAATAGTGATGCCGCCCTCTTGATTTAGGTAAGTCTCTGTCCTGATAGATTCATCGAAAGGTAATAATCAGAGAGAATAGAAGAATGGCGATGAGACTGGGGCGCTTACTGGAAGACCCGTGGACTCCCCGTGATGGTGTGCTTTGCGTTGAACTGGTTGACAGCGTAGTCGTGGATATCTGATTACAGCGAGATGATGTGCTTTTAGATATGGACTACATATGATGGAGCTTGTACACTTACCATAGAGCGAAGTAGAACCATCGAACGTTGTTTGATTGGTTCCATAGCTTGGATTGGGTTTGATGTTGGGCTCCAAACAGTACTAGGTGTTGAATGAGTCTGCCAGCTATCCATATATGCCAATACACCAACACGATGAATTGTGATGAATTGCACGTACCCTGACCTGAAAGACTTCTTGGCTTTAATTCTTTTGTTTGCCTCGCATCCCAGTTCTTGACCGAAAAATGAAACGCATGTAGAGTACTATGGCATCCGTCACTCCGCTGTCTCTCGCTGGTTTGCTTCTCAAATCCATCTTTTGGATTTTAAATTTCGTCCGCGAATCTGCGTCAGTGAGATTTACACACTATGACGCCTTTTCCTATTTTTCCGAGTCGGTCCGCGACAAAGTCGCCGCTTGAACGAAGGAGTCACGGCTGGCAAGGTGCTGTTGGGGCAAGTTTGGGGCACTGTCCTGTTGTCCTATGGAGCCCTCGTGTAGGTAAAGGAAGGCCCCACCATATCCGCCTCGCGTTTGGCTTCCTGGTCGCGTTTCTGGCTTCGTTCCTCGTCGGCGGATTCCTCTGACTGGGCTGCGAGATTTGTCTTCTTGCGACTCGGAGAATGACCTTAGTTTATTGGCGGCCCAACGCAGCATGGCTCTGAATTTGAAGCCACCTAATCAGAGTTCAGGTCTGGAGGCGGTACGAAGTCGAGAAATGGCGGTTGAGCGAAAATAGCTAGTAGGCGCATCGACAAATTCGTGTCACGCGTTGCCATCACCCATCAAAAATATGTCGCCCCTATCCTATGTGTAACAGGCTTTGAATCGTGTTGGCCACTCCCACCCTTCTACTTATTCAAGCTCTATCACCTTCGCCTCCCTCGCCCTCGGGACACACTTTAGGGGAATGGTAGCTGCATCAGCAACCACCTATCATATCACACTGTCCTCCTGTCCTGTAACTTTCGCTCATGGCGAAAAGATCAAAAGTCACCGGACATGTTCAATATTTGTGAGGGTGGAGGCGGCGTACATCTTCTAAGCTCCAGAACGGCACATGGAGAGTTAACAGACTAACTGTATGAGGTGCATAATCCTGAGAGTCTGGTGACTGATTGATATCGCCGAGCGCCCATCAGGTGCCCGTCTCTGTCCTTGACGAAGCAAGACGCCTCGTCTTCCAACACTGGTCGTATCCTCACGTTCTCAGCGTGACTCCTATTTCTAGGTTCGGTCCCAAGAAAGCTTCAACAACAACAACGCGAATCGGTGGACGCCTACTTATAAAGAAACTCGACCGATGGGGTTAGCGAGGTTGGGAATTTCATTAAAGCTGAGGACGTCTTCCAAGTTCTTTTCAAGTACTATAGTGGCATTGTAATTGTATCTCCATGCATTGTTGAACCTATGCAGAAGAATGTCATTATATTAACAGCGAAAGCAATTATAAGTTCTACACGTACATCAAATATATTTACCGAGGAAAGAAAAGAACACAGCGACTCCAAGGTCAAGCTAAACTGACACTGCGAATACTCTTGGCCGTCGTCTCAACAATCTCTTCCAAAGTGGACGCCAGGATGACCTTCGGCTTTGCGAGGATATCCTTCTGTCGAAACACAGTCCCATCCCGCATCCTCGTGACAGTGACTTTCTGTACCCCAATGTCCACAGTCCCCATAATAGGCGAGCCCTTCAACTTTTCTTCGGTGGAAGGGTCCTCCGGGTACAGGTTCTCCATCGAAGCGGGGTCGTACGGGTGTCCAGAGGGCCATACCAAAGGCACGACATCAGCCGAAGTGACGCCCTCGCACATGGCATGCTTGATATTATAGATGGCCTTTTCGATGGGCTGAAGGCGCCCTCGGATCGAAGAGGTAAGGTGTGCAAAGTGCCTACTGGTTCTTGACCCTCCAGCGGCTAGGATGACCTTCTGCATTTCCCGAGTCATCATCTGCATTCGCGACGTGTAAAGTGGCTTCATCTGGCCCATTGTGATAGCCCTCCAGCGGCCCGCGACGGATTGTTCCTCTTATGTGCGTGGGTTGAGTAAATCGCCAAGTCACAATCCCATAACTTTACACACCTGTGTTCACAACCTGTTCGTAAATGAAAGACAGCCTCTCATTCAGTTCCGCGTTGTCCAGATCGAAGGAAGTGACGACGTGGATGCAAAACTTGATCAGGAGCATCTGCAAGGCGACTTGCAAAGGCAGGGGATCCCGACTCGCCACCGCATTCTTCGCCAAAAAGGATATCAACATTTCACCATGCATTCCCGCCAGCTCAGTCCTAATCCCCGCCACAAACTTCTCGTCCTCCTTTGGGATATTCTCCTCCGAAAACACCGTCTCCGCCACGAGCGCACAACACTGGAAGATCTCAGAGTTCAACCCCTCGACCATCCGGATGATATCCGCCCCAGAGAACGAGTCGGCTTTGGTCAAAAACGCCTGTGCCCCTTTCAGCTCCGCTGTGCGCACATCGAGGAGCGCCGTCGTCTCCGAATGTTTCGACTCGTACTGCCTCAACTGCGCCTGCGCCTGATGCAGCTGCGCCTCAAGCTGCTGGTTCCTCGTCCTCAGATCCTGCACCTGGCGGGACGGCTGTTGTTGAACCACCGCCGCCGCCGCCGCCGCCGTCGACTGGGCAACACGCAGCTGATCCCGCAGCTGCTGCACCTCCGCCTCCGCCTGCTGATTCCGGGTTTCAAGGTGCTGGTTCCGACTATCAAGTTGCTGATACCGAACCTTGAGGTCCTGATACTGCCGCGCGACCTGCGCCGTAGCTTCGTACTGCTGGAGCTGCGCCTCGACCTTCTGCTTCTGCGCCGTGAGCTCCTGGATGTGCCGAGCGGTATGCTCCGCCGCCGCGTTGTGTTCCTTCAGCAGCGCCTCCAGATCACCCTTGGCGCTCCGGTACTTGCTCGTAGCCCTATCCAGGTCGGTCTCCAGGTTACTACATCGCGCTTGGTACGTCCTTTCCCGCTCTTCCAAGGTGTGGACCTGCTCGGTGAGCTCATGGACACGTGTCGTGAGGTGTTCTTTCTCTTTGAGAAGTACCGATTTGGCGCTCTCTCCGCGATGGACAAGGCGGAGCCGGGATTCCTTATGACGGACAGCTGGAGACGCGGGTCGGGCGATCGCAGGCGTCGGAGGTCTAGAAGAAACAGGAGGGGAGATCGGCCGCGTAGTCGTTTCCGTCGTCGGTGTCGGAGCCTGCAACGACCATATTTCATGCGTGTTCACTCGGTTCGGGGTGGAAGAATCACGTCGAGTCCTAATACAATACCATAATTTTCAAAAGGGATTGGAGAAGCAGGGATTGGAATTGGAATTGTGTGGCATCAATCAAGAGAAGCGCGGGACGTACCTCTTGGATCCTTTATCCTCCGACTTGCGTTTGCTTGAGGAGTTTATCACCGAGCTCATCCTCACGCCTAACGATTCCCTTCGTCGGATCTCTGGCGTCTTCCTAGCGTCTTCTGGGATAGACGGGGGCGGGGTATCCGTCCTCCTTGGGTCGCCGTACGAAGCCTTTGACGTCGTGGTACCACTGGACGGCGGTGACACTTCCTCCTTCGAGGCCTGCGAACTCTGACTGTTCCTCGAAACCAGCCTGCTCAGATTCTTGAAGTAGCTCATCCTCGACGTGGTGCACGGGCGACGACGTAATGTACTTCTTCTTCTGAGCGGAGTGTTGAAACCGAAAGGCGGGGTGGTGGTGGTAGTGGTGCGTGTGCTTCCAAAGCGTGAGCTTCTTGTTGTTGTATATTCCTTCTCGTCGACGTGTATACCGCCTGTTGCTCGCTGTTCAAGGTTAACATCGTCCAGTGGCTGAAGGAAATGAAAGGTGCGTGGGGGGAACGTGGGGGTTGCGGGACTCGCCCATCAAGTCTTTTCCTAATCGAGAAGCCGGATCCGTAACTTTCTTGCTTTCTGCATGCCTCGTTGCACGCCTGCTGGCCGGGGCGAGGGTGATGTGGGTATAGAATTGTGATTAGGCTGTAACATAGATGTCTAGACATGATTGTAAACGATCTTAGCCGGACTCCTGCGACACGCGTTAGCTCGACCCGGTTTCGACATCAAAACAAACGACACGTACCTCCTCTCCACCCCGTTCTCAGTCCACGCAACCATTGCCTTCAATTCCGTCGCTCCAAAGAGTAACACAATGGCGTAGTCTAAGCGGTAGTACTTCAACTGCCCGTTCGATAGAGGTCTTAACGTCAGCCTGGACAGATCCGCCTCGATGGTGCATAATGTCGAGAAGTTGGCTGCATGAGAGTGGAGCGATCAGCTTGAAGATGAGGCTAGGCGGAACATAAGGCATGCACTACACACCAGGATCGACATCTTTAAACCTTGGGTCTCGATGTGCCCCACGATAGCCTGTCACAGTGAAGACGGCAGTCTGGAAGTCGTTCCTGTTGGGTGATTCTCGGAAATATACTCTCCTGAATTCTGCTTTCTCGGATATCTGGGCGCCCTGGGGAACAGATAGATTTAGTGACGGTTTGGAGTAAGGCAGCAGGGAAGACGTGCTTTGGGGAGGATGATATCGAACGCGTTGGGGAGCCGACGCGAACCTGCCATGGACATGAAAGTGGTGTGGTGGCGCCTCTTATGTTCTGGGTCATGATCGTTGTAGGGGATATGGCAAAAGTTTCCATAGGTCATCTTGGCGACTCGTTTGTCGACATAGTGGTCGAGGTAGAATGATATAGCACCGTCTGACACTGCTTTGTTGCTGCCGGGTGCTCATGAACAGAAAGTCGGCAAGATTGAAAAGGAGGGCAAACATACACATGGTTCTCTGGACGGACGACATTGAAGCCCTGTGGCTTCAAGGTATCACGGACTTTGAAGTATAGCCAGTCGCTGGCTGCGAATCCTCCAACCAAAACGACGTGCTACGAGGATGAGAAAGGCGCCATGGTGATGGGAAGGAGACGACTGCTTACTGAAATAGGCCTGTGTGCGAGCTTTCTCTGTTCATGAACAGCGTTGACGACACATTGTACAGAGGGTTCGAAGAAACCGGCCACATCCGTGCTAAGAATGAGAATCAGCCTCGAGGACAATTTTTCAGCACATGCCAAACAGGAACCCACCCCTGCAACTTCAGCTGTCCAAAGCGAATGTTGAACTCCGGTTCCGTATCTCGTGTCGATCCAAATTTGATGTACTGAGGATCGTCGATGTTTCGGAATCTTAGTTTGGTGGTCTTGTCGAAACAGCGAATGATGTGCTCCAGGTCATCAAAGAAGTTGGATTCAGCGAGGAAATCTTATGCGGTGATTAGTGGTACTCCAAGATCATGCCAAGGTCGAACGTACTTTCGAGGAACAATCGAGCATGGATGCTGACGAAGATGGAACCATGGAAGTGGCATTGCGGAGGTGAGATCTCTTCAAAGGCCCCTGTTTGACTGTTGCTACGGCCGTAGGCACTAAAGTCAATAGTACCGCCTCCAGCATCGACGACGACAACGCCATCACCGTTCTGCACAGGCCACGTTGGTCAGCGTCCGACCACGCACGTTCGGGTGTGTGCTCACCGTCATGGCCCCAGCAGGCAGCCCATTCTGGATGGAAAAGTGCAGACTCGCCTCGCCTTCTGTGACGAACGAGACGCGACCATGGCCCTCCGGTGTGTTCGGTATCAAACCCGCCAAAGCAGCGGCCCGGCGCATCATCTCCTGTTGCGCGCCCTCCCACCCATTCGGATGCGACAACACATAATCCACATCTCCCTTGACCGACTCCCACAGCTCCGCCCCATTCGCATGCGTATCCTGAATATAAAACGTCGCACAATCCCTCAAATACCTCAAGAAATCCGCGAAAACCTGCACTACGGTCTTCCCTGGTGGGAGCGGCGGGATTTCAGCAGAGATGTTGGGCGATGACTGGGACCGCGGGCGGAGGTGGAGCTTGAACCATTCGGCTTTGACCCAGCCTTCATCTTCGGCCATTTCGTAGACGCCTTCGCGCATGGCTTCGGCGCCCGCTGCTTTCAGTTGGCCGGAGCGGTCGTACCAGATTACGGTGGGGATTTTGGAGGCGCCGCTGATGAATTCATGGGCTGGGAATCTAGTGGGGTTGTTGGGAGAGGTAAGGGAGATCGAGGGCTGTTGAGGCTCACCTTGTTACAGGCTTGATTTCTGGCACCTGGCCTGGGTCCAGCACTCTAGAAACACGGTCATCAGTACCACCCAAGCCCCTAAACCCTCCTAGAAACGCACGCATAAGATATCCCGCTGTATGTCGTCCCTACATCGAGGGCAAGCACTAGTTTTCGTCGCTGTCCCCTGAACGGTTGTCTTGACATGACGTTAGAAAGAGAAAAAGGTGTCTGTTGTTTCCCCGCATCACCAACATCTTCAACCTGTCCCAAATCGTTAAGCGCTGGTGATGGAGATGAAACTGAATTGGGTGTAGAGCGGGAAACCACCAAACCCGAGGGCTAGAGAATTTAATTATATAATTTTGAATAAGTGATGGTGGGATCTGCCAAGTCTCTTCAGTCTTTCTCTCGACCACGATGTCAGGCCCGTCTTCGAATTGGTTAAAGCTTCAAGAGGTGAGTAGAGAGTTACCGAGGAGAGACAGTAACGTTAAAGGTCTTTCAGCAATTGAAAAAGTCGTCGAAAGGAAAAGGAAAGGACAAAAAATCGGAAACCCACCGCAAACGGACGCGAACGACAAGCATATCTTCGACGCGATCCATTTCACCAACACCTTCAGCAATCTCCCACACCTCCCATGTCTCCGAAAAGATTGTCACAGTTGCAGGATCGTCCTCTTCATCTTCCAAACCCGGCAGAGAAAACGTCGGCACTCTGCAAAGCATGGTCTTAGGCCACGAAGAACTAACCGAAAAACAAAAACTGTAAGAAGTCAGTTCCCTCTATGATATGTGTGTTCGCGCGTAACCGTCACAGCCCAGGCAAGTATCTCGCATTGGATTGCGAGATGGTGGGTGTGGGGATTGATGGAGAGGAGTCGTCGCTTGCGCGAGTTAGTTTGGTTAACTTTTATGGGGAGGTCATCATGGATGAGTTTGTACGCCAACGGGAGAGGGTTGTGGATTATCGAACGCAGTGGTCTGGTATCCGGGAGAGTGACATGGTTCACGGTGCGTTCCTCATCTAGATTCGCAGTTTTCTTGTGCTAACTTGATGTGTTCAGCAAAACTTTTCCTTGAGGTACAAAAACAGGTAGCAGACCTCCTCAAAGACCGGATACTAGTCGGTCATGCCGTGCACAACGATTTGAAGGTGCGTCCATTTACCCTGGCTGCGATGGTATCCCATTGTGAAGACGTTTTTGACCAAGGTTTAGGCGCTTCTACTCTCCCATCCATATCCCTACACACGGGATACCCAAGTCTTGGCCTACAAGTCCGGACTAACAAAATCGAAGAGAATCGCTCTTCGAAATTTAGTAAAGGAGCAGATTGGGTTGACGATTCAAGCGGGGGAGCACTCTAGTGTACGTCCCACACCATCTATCTTCGTAGCTTGTTCTGATGGTTTCTGCAGGTTACCGACGCCCGTGCTACAATGGCGGTATACCGGCTACACAAAAAGGAATTCGACAAGTCCATGGGTGCCCACCTCTATCCCCTCCCAACACCAGGTCCATCCCAACCTTCCGCTCAAAAACGAAAACGCGCGGAATCTGAAGTGGGGGATGAAGACGATGAGGAGGAAGAGTCGACCTTAGCCTCTGGGAAGGGCAAATCGAAGAAGAAAAAGGCCAAGTCGCCTAACCCACTGGATCCTGGACAGGGAAGGAAAGGTGTGTCGTCGGGGCTTTCGACGATTATTCGTCGTCCGGGTCAGAAGAAGGATCAGCAGAAGAAGCAGTGGTGGAAGGAACTTCCAACAGCCGCTTCAGGTGCGAAAACTTCGTTCAAGATGAGCAAGGCGTAGTTTATTCCGTCTTCTCCAAAGACGCGTACGGCTTCGTACATAGTTTAGTAGGGAGGTTCTGGGAAGTACATTTGGCGAAATAAAATAGATATTTTCCCAGTTAACCACTTAGCATGACGGCACCCTATCAATGGCTGCTCGCCCGGTCCCTGATCGCGTCAACTTTCGCAATGGCCACGAACTTAGCGCCGTCGTCGTTGGACACGACGTCCAAAACCTCTCCTTTATTCCCCTCACTACACGCTCCAGAGTGAAGCGCGACCATGGGCACTAATCACACGCAAGCAACGATCAACGAGCTCCTCGCCGGTAGCGTCGGAGGGGCGGCCCAAGTCCTCGTCGGGCAACCTCTGGACACAATCAAGACCAGAGCTCAGATTGCACCTAGTCAGTTCTCGCTGTCTTCTTCGAGATTATACCAATAGGGTGCTCATAATGGATTAAATTCGTAGAGGGAATGTTTGTACGTCGTGCTGAGTATCTTAAATTGTCCGTTGAATGCTCATAAACGCGGAAGAAAGGACCAATGGACATCCTCGTCCAAACCCTCCGGAAAGAAGGGTTCTTCGCCTTGTACAAAGGTGCGCCCACCATCCTCCTACACCCGACAGCCCAGCTAACCACCCACCCGCCCGCCTATCCCAGGCATGCTCAGCCCCCTCCTCGGCGTCGCAGGCGTCAACTCGCTCCTCTTCGCCTCCTACGCCCTTTCCAAACGCATCGTCTCTCCCTACCCCGACAAGACACTCAAAGAGATCGCTCTGGCAGGTGCAATGGCCGGCGCGGCTAACGCTGTATTAGCGAGTCCGGTGGAGATGTTCAAAGTGCGAATGCAGGGCCAGTACGGTGACAAGTCGGATAAACGCCTGCGTGCTGTGTTTACGGATATGTGGAGGGAGTATGGGTTCAGGAAGGGGATCATGAGGGGGTACTGGGTGCGTTATACGCGTTTCTTTTGGCAGAAACCATTCGCTGAACAGCCAGTTTTGAATGGTTAGGTCACAGTCGTCCGTGAAATTCCCGCTTACGCCGGATTCTACTCTGGTTCGTTCTGTCCACGAAGATAAGAACCAAGACCTGTTCAGCTGATACCCACTCAAACTAGCTTTCGAATTCTCAAAACGAAACTTCCGGAAACACTACGGGGATAACCTACCCGTGTGGGCTCTGCTCGCAAGTGGTTCCACGGGAGGCGTACGTCGTCCTCCTCTCCCGTCTCCCATCTTCATCACTGAAAAGCCTGTCTTTCTCCTGATGTAGATCGCGTATTGGTTGGCGTGCTACCCTCTAGGTACGCAATATTACTCCTTCATGAACTGCGTCGACTCAATAGTTTCCCCGCAGATGTCGTGAAATCTCGAATTCAGCTACGGCAAACGCCGCCAACGGGGACGCCCGTTCAGTATATCGCCAGTGAACTAAAAGCCATCGTGCAAGAATCAGGACCGTACGTATCTTCTCTCAATAGTTCCCAATGACTAACTCAGGTCTAACTGCTCCTACTCTCCCTTTGATTTTGTAGGAAAGGATTGCTACGGGGTCTTTCACCGTCATGTAAGATGCCACCGTTTTTGTTGTGAAGAGGAATAGCGCTGACGTTGGGACATTGTAGTGCTTCGAAGTATTCCAGCTGCTGCGAGCACATTTGCTGCTTTCGAGTTGACACGAGGTGGGTTGTCCTTTTCTTTGGCTTCGAAGGAGAGGTGGTTTGCTAAGAAGGTTTCGTTTGCTAGAGTACCTCGCTTCTGTGACTGGAGTTTAGATATTCCCTCAGGTATCTTGAATAATTATTTGCAACGGGGAAAATCTATAGCGATGATCGATGATGCTTTATCGTCATCCAAGGTTTGGCCGCAGATCGAGTTCCGATTCCGATTTTATTGCAGTACAGACTTCCAACTCGAGAATATCCTGACACTCAGTGAGGATCCCGTCTATCCTCAAACATTGTCTGGGTTTGTAGGGTTGATGGCGTTTGATTGTCTTTTGTGAGATCTGAGATGAATTTCCCATGTCACAGCCCCTTACCCTTCGACTGTGTCAAGCGTGCAGGCCTCAGGACCGAGTCGGCTGAGGGTTCCTGGGAAACGGTGGATACAGAGTACCTTGGACACTGCATATTCGACACTGAGCACTCAGATACAGCTGTAGAGAAGCGAGAATCCAAATTGAAAACGCATAGGTACATGGTATTGTTTTACAGGTAAGTGATACGGAAGAAAGAGGGGCGCGCTGGGTCTGGGGAACCATGTCGGTCAGAGTATGGTCGCGCTGAGTAGCTTCAATGTCAGATGCGTCAAACGACAGAACAAGGGTACGGTAGAAACTCACTGAGGAGAAGGTATGTCATGCGGCTTGTATCTTTTCTCTAAATTCTTGATCTCTCTTTTAAGGATCTCTCTGAGAAGATACAACCGCTGATTCGATGCAGGTGTGCCGAAAAGGATGATGTCGCTCCATTGATCTGACGGAGGTATCGCGTCCCTGAGCTTCCAGACGAACGTTTCCTGACGACCGTCTAGGTCGTGTTGAAGATAGCGAATGGGATGCGGGCTCTCTGGAGAGGTCGTTAGTTGCCCATGGAACTCTCGGTGGATCGATACATTGAAGCGCCTTACTTTCAACTTTTTTCTTCTTCGGTTTACCGGCAGGCGACTGACGGGTCTCGTCGAGAGGGTGCTCAGGCTGCTCGGACCCAACTTCTGGAGGACTCTGAGGCTCCAGCCCTTGCTCGGCGGAGGAGTCACGAGCGAATTCATCGCCGGCATGTGTGGAGCCTGGGGCGGAAGTCAATGCCGGTTTCTCGCCTCCACCCTCCTGTTGACTTGGGGCCTTTTCTTCATCCTTTCCGAGTCCTTCATGGTCAGCTTCCGGGTTGGCGGGGTCGAAAACTGGGAAATTGTTAAACTCGGCATCCCCGTCTTCGCAATCTGACTCTTCGGAGGAATAATCTTCGTCGACGTTGATTGTTTGGGCCGACAGTTGACTCCCAGTGTTCATTTCGGAAACAATCTTTCCAAGATTGATACTGAGTCGAGCGGCGGGGACTGCATCGGAAAACCCGGAGAATGAACCCCGTCCGGCGATGTGCAGATACGCAGATTGTGCTTTGGGATCAGTTTGCATGCCGTCCCCCGCCGCAGCGGTGGTGGATGACACTGGTGTAGTAGGAACGGGGGGAGTGGTAGGATTAAAAGTAGGAGTATGACTGCCAGTCGGGGAAGGGGTGGGAGTGGAAGTCGTTTGCTCAGAAATCGAGGGAGGAACGGTGGTAGTTTGCAGGGCGGTGGGTTTGAGGGGTCCGGGAATCTTAACAGGCTTGGGACTGGCAGAAGCCTGCCTAAAGCCCTCCGGTAAAGCCGTGCGCGGACGGGCGGGTACCGTTTTGGCTTGCTTGGGGGCAGCGCGAGGAGAGTTATCCTCGTCGAGAAACTCATAGCCTCTGCCCTTGAATGTCGGTGCCTTCGCGCGGTGCTTGGGGGAGGTGGAGATCCTGAAAGTCCACCATTCACCAACGACGGCGAACGAGACGATCCACTCTCGATGCCGCTCGATCCTGAAAACAAGAAGGGCCTGCTTGACTGCCGCTGTTTGGGCTTCAGACATCTGGGAATTGAGACTCTCGAAGAATAGAGAGGCATACGGCATTCGGCGGCTCGGGGGACGCTTGAGCTCAAAGAGGATCAAGGTAATGACGGCACCGAGCTTGAAGAGATGCCAGTTCAGAGTCTCCCATGCGTTGGGGCGCGACCCCTTGTGGATTACTGTGTAGCCGCGAGGGACGGTGCTGAAATCTATGCCCTCGTCGAATTGGGGGATTGGCATGGAGTGGGCGGAAAGGTTATCGCGGAAAAATGCGTGTTCGAGATTATCCCTGTCTCTGGCGCAGATGAGAAGACCGGTGAAGTCGGGGATCAGCTCCTTATAGCTGGGTGGGACTACGGTGTCGATCGATGTCTCGGGTGAGAGAGCGTTCGTCTGGATGGACGACGTATAGTTGAGTTGTGGAACGACTAAGGTTCGGTCTGAAAGGCCTTTCAACAGGTCCTCTCCAACCATACCCCACAAGCCATGGCCATGGCTCTCCAACAACCGGAAGTTGAAGCGCCTGGAGTACAGCAAAGCGAGGGCAAGTTGGTACTGGTAGCGGCGAGAGATGGATCCGGCAAGGCTGTAGTTGCTAAAAGCCTCCTTGGATGACATTGGAGAGGGTCGTTAAAGTGGGTGGGGAAGTGGTGTCGATTGACAAGATACTCACGACAGACGTGGACGACGTATTTAATTGTCCCTACAACTTGGCGATGTGGATGCACACAACTACAAACGTTTGGATTATGACCATTAACATTGTCCAACAAATAGAACCCCCTTTTTCCTCAATCGGTTTCCGTTTCCAAGAAAACTTCCCTTGTATTACGAGTTTTTGACGTTCAGTATTGCCCCCAGAATTGTTTTTGGCAAGCCATCGATCATGCTCACGGCGAAGAAGAACGGAGAAGTTGTTCCTCATCAAGCTTCAAGTCATTGCCCATTTCTAACGTGGACTCGTGACCATTCGGAGAATGATAAGACAATGCGCGATTCTCGCCACTTTGCCCATAGAATGTTCATTGAACATTCAGCGGACCGCTTCTAGATCTGAAGATCTGACAGACAAAGTTTCACACTGCTGACATGTTCAACAACGACAGACGCGTTTCGACAGATTTCTATCAGAAATTCTTCTTGAGAAAAACACATCGGAATCCGAGCCGCTTTGTGTTTATTCTGCATAATGCTTCGGGCCTCAAGCTTTAAGTGCTCAAGCTAGAGTTCCAATGGAATTTAAGAGGACCGCTGGGTGCGAATGATAAAAAGGAATGTCCGATGATGCATTGGGGTACTAAGACCCTAATAGGCCTGATCCAGCTCTTCAAGTTATTCGACAGCATTGACACGAGCCGTCATGTCACTTTTCGAGGTTCTATTGAACAATAGCGCGTATCAAGTTGTTAGAATTCGAAAGTACAATACAAATCCAATGTAGACCTACAGGTTTTTTTTTTCTGTTTCTGGGGTCAGTAATTGTCGTGGCAGGCCTAGAGATGTCATCTCAGATCCATCGATCCCAACGAAAGATCGCACCGACGTACATACTAATCCAAGGTGGCTGTGCACTGCTTGGTGATCGGCGGCTGGCCAGTCAATTATCACGTGATCGTGACTAACGTTACATAAATGAGTTGAGAAAGGACAAAAACACAGACTGCCAGCTCCACTCACCTCGTCGATTCACCATGTACGCCAAAAGTCTCTTCCTGCCCAATGTTTCTGGGGTAACTGATGATCTTACAGGGCCACCCAAACTGGGAGCTATTATCCTGTCCTCAAGATGCAGCCTTATATGCTCGAAAATCCAGGGTTGGCCAACCTGGACCCAGCACAGGGTAAACGTGTTTTCCCCAAAGTCTTCGCCATCCCTCTCCGCGGCACCGACCTCGAAGCTTGGGCTAAACGCCACTTTCCCGACGAGGTGCTTGTCGGCACTGCCGCGCACTACGCGTTCCGGACGAGAGCGCCCGCTATGCTTCCCCCTGAAATAACTCGACTGGTGTACGTCGTCCTTCCGACGGAGGATAAGACGTCGTATTGGGAGTCTCTGGCCTTGGTTATTGGGAGCAACCTTAGCGGGACGGATATGAGAAGGGCGGAGGATAAGGAGCTTGTCGCGAAGGTCAGAAAGGTATTGGGTGTCGAGACTCCTCCTGGATGGCATTACTTTTACACCGAGTACTAGTCATGCAAGTAAGTGAAATATCTGTTTACGAAGAGCACTGGACAACTAACAAGTCACAGTCGATGCCGCCAGCCATCAAATTCACGCCTGGCTTGTTGTATGTTCCTGTTCACATGATTGTTGCTCCCCTCTTGCTTTCGTTTCGCTGTCCTGTATGTTCTCATCTCGCTATCGTTCACACCGCACCTGCATGCAAACGTACTTAGTAGTTAGTACCGTCTATTATTCAAACAGTTTTCAAGCACATATGCTCAGGACTCGTCCGACTTAACAATGCTGTTGGATGGCGCAGAAGGGTGCCAAGAATCGTCATTGTTATCACTATCACTTTCGGAGGGGCGTCCATGCGCCGTTAACCATGAGGCGTGTCGCGACGCGTCTTGAAGTCACCTTACCATGATTCAACCCAACCTGTTCTCTGGTTTACCATGGATTGACGGCCGCCCCAAAAGCCTTGAACTTGAAGCTTGAAGTTGCCACTGCCCGTCATGTATGTCCGCCTCAGTGCACTCTGAAGTATGCACCTCGAGTCATTCTTGATGATTTGGACATTATTTGCAAACAGTCTTCTTAATGAACATAGATGATGCATATGGGCTTGCACTACTCCAGGAGAACGAGCAGTTGAAGGCACTCATCGAAGAGCTTCAGATGAAGCAATCGGAAAAGTACCAACAGACGGAAAACGGGGTGGCCGCCGCCTACCAGGTAGACTGGGAAGAAGCCACGGCCAACTTTGAACACGAGAAACGAGAGCTCCATTGGCAGGCGGACTTCGACCGGCATTACCAGGAACTGGAGCGCCGGCACCTAAGCCCACTGCCGCCAGTTGGAGAGACAAATCAAGGACTACGAATCCAAACACGCAAATACGACAGCTCTACTCAAAGTTCGCACTGCAGAGCTCAAGGGCGCCCAAACGTTCCTCACGAAAGCCCACCTGTTCTCCGGCGCCGACATCACTGTACCTATGGTCGAAAGCTTGAACTCGGATATCTTCCAGTGCTGCGCCCAGATTTCGGAGATGGTCTTTTCGGAGGAGAATATCCCGAGAGAAGAACAACAGGTCCTGGCAGAATCGCGGACCCGCATCACGAAACTGGTTGGCGAACCCGTCGGAGTCCTCGAGAAGAACCTCCGCGCGGGTCGGGATCCGCTTCCCCTGCAGACAACCCTTCAAATCATCCTGAACCTACGATGCAAATCCTTTGTCAACTCTTACGATTGGACCAACCCTGATATGAACCAAAGGCTTGCGGAAATGTATAGGAGCATATGTCAGAAAGGCGATCTACTATGCGTCCACATGCCGAGCACTAGAGCGATGCATCTAGAGGAGCAAGCCGTCGCTGGTCGCTAGAGAGCCCTCACGATGGCACAGATTCGCGCTGGGAAACAGCCCCAAACGTCCTGGTCACAATACACGACCAAGGATGTATCTAGTGCCATCTTTCTTGCTGGGCGTCAACCAAAGCAAAACGGTGGCCCGACATTGAGGCCTACCTCGTGCCACAGCTGGAAGCTATCGAAAAATCTGTTTATGCCCTTCGACAAGCGGTCAGCGAAGGCGTCACATCCATGGACATAGCCCTCGTGGCAATACTCCACTCGAAGCCTTACGATCCCGCGTTTATGGAAAACATATACGACGAAGGAAATCCGAACGATCTCAAGCGCCCGACCCTGGGGAACATCGATCTTGGAACACGGAAATTCTACACCGTGAAAGGGCAGGATGGAAAGTTGATTCGAAGGACGGATCTCCTGGTCAGACCCAAAGTCGTCCTCGCTCATACCCTCGAGGAGCTCGTACCGACGGTACCCCTGGTCCCAGCAAACTGTAAACTGTAACTCGTTTTCATGGATATCCGACTGCACATTCAATGATGTACATTACACAGCGCCAGCGAAGCTCGCTTTCTTGTCAAGTAGTTATCCTATAATCAACGTTAAACCCAGTGAAACTCGACTAGTACTGCTCTCGCATATCCTCACCGTGACGATCTCAGCGTCATACATCGCAATGTATGTCGCCTTCACTTCCACAATGACGACATTCCTAATCAGCAAAAGCCCATTCATTAAGCAGCATAAGCTATAAGATATAGAACCAGTACGGAGCTCGCCATTCGAGCTCCAGTGTATTAAATGTGGGGGTTTAGTAGCCAGGAACTTCAAAATGTGTCAATATCCCGTACGCTCAGTCATTGAAGACAATCTTGGCCGGTGTCCTAAGTAATAAATCAGAATCGTTATCGCGCACCATGAAGCGGGAATAGTTACCTCTTCTCAACGCCCTAAAAGAAAGCCTTGTAAGTCACGACAGGAAGGAAAGGGAGCACGAGACTCACGTCTTCTTTCCAACAGATTTGAGCTTTCAGCTCGGTCAAGCCGAAAAGAATAACAATATCATATGTAGTCTCCCAGCAGAATTCTCTGGGTCACGGGACTTCTTCGTTTGGTGAATTCCAACCGGGTAGCTAGACCGGTAACCGATCTGTTGTCACAGGTCTACCGGGTAGCGTCGACTTGAATCTCGCATACAGTGGAATACCGGTCTTGAATGAAAATTAGAGCTGATGATTCCACTTGCACAGTGCAAGATACCAACCTGCATCCTCATCCATCCACTGTGGACCTTCATTGTCCCCGTCATATCTTAAGATTGGGCTGGTGTACTCGGCGGTTGCCCTGTCCTTACTCGACCTAGAATAGGTCCGTCTGAATTCTTGAGTTTCAGCGACTTTCTTGCCCTGTCAAATATCTGTGAGAAGCTGTGAAGTATCCTTTCATTATAATGTGTTCGTGCCTTGGGCAAAATAATGTCGAAGAAATAGTCCAGAGTCCACTCCCGTCACTGGATTTTTGACTATTTTGTCTCTACGCTCTGCATGGGAGGCTTTTGTTCCATTGAATGTTGGCATGCACCTGGTGCCGTAAAAGGTTCGTGATACACGAGTTTTGACCATGTTATCGATATAGAACATGACACCTCCTCGATATCTTTCCTTTGAGACCTTCTTCAATCTTCGAGTGCAACCAATCACTAGAGGCAAAGCCACCGACGAGGATGACAGTCTAATAAGAGTTAGCCAAGTGACCATTCGTCGACATCACAACTTACGGAAATAGGGTGTTCGGACTCGGTACATTGTTTCTCAATCGCACCGATGATGGTCTGAACAGAGGGCTCAAAGAACCCGGCGACGACGGACCTGTCAAGAGATCGAGAAAATCAGATGCAAGAAAAGAACGAGCTCGTGTAAGCGCACCCTTGAAGTTTCAGCTGCCCTGTGCGAATACCCAAGCTCGGTTCGTTCTGCCTGACCGAGCCAAATTGGATGAACTTCATTTGATTGTCGTCCCTGAAAGCTAGTTTCGTACGCTTGTCGAAGCGTTCGACGATGAAGTCTACGTCGTCTTCAAATCGGGATCCTCTCAGCAAATCTAACTCATGGGATTAGTTAAAAACTGTGCGCGGACACTCGCTGTCAAGGTGCTCTTTGGCGCGATTGGTGACGAATACGGATCCTTGGAAGTGACCTGGTGCATACGATGAGTGATCTTGTTATTTTGAACAAACTGCGGGGGAACGTACATTCGGGGACGGCAGTTTCCTCGAAGGATTTCACCTCGGTGTTGTATCGGTAGGAACTGAGGTCAACAGTGCCTCCTCCACCACCCACAATCAACACGCCTTGGTTTTTCTGAAACGCAAAAGGTGTTAGGTATTCGTGGTCTATCAGAGTAGGAAAGGCATAGTATGCACCTCCTTGACAAGGTCCGTCAAACCGTTCTGCACACAGAAGTGGAGACTCGCTTCGCCTTCCGTTACAAAGGTGACGCGTCCCCAGCCTTCTGGCGTGTCGGGAATGAGGTTTGCAAGTACGGCAGACTTGCGGAGTTGATGTTGTTGGTAGCCCTCCCATCCATTGGGGTGGGTGATGACGAATTGGATGCTGTTCTTGAGAGAGTCCCAGAGCGTCTGGCCGTTCGCTTCGGTCTCCTGGATATACCGCTTTGTGCACCTGAAGAGGTAAACAAGGAAGTCGGCAAAAATTTGGACGACAGTCTTATTGGGCGGAAGCGAGGGTATTTGAGGTCCTTGGGACAACAGGCCGGCAGCCATACGCCCTGGGCGAAGATGTAGTTTGAACCTGTAGGCAAAAGAAAAAAAGTTGGAAGGGTGTCCACGTATTTTAGAAATGGAATGACGTGCCATTCTGCTTTATTCCAGCCCTCTTCCTCAGCTACACCTTCAGTTCCCTCTTTGACGGCCTCAGCGCCAACTGCTACGACGTTGTCGTCCCGGTCGTAATACACAATCGTCGGAATCTTCGAGTCGCCGCCAACCTGGTCCTGGTAAGGGAACCTTTTTCATGTTAACCTTGGTTTCTTATATATCTAGACACAGTTTACCTCGTCACAGTGCGTACTTCGGGTACATTTCCAGGATCAAGAACGCTGAGAAAAATCTCATTAAGGATTCACGTTAACCGTGGAACACATAATTAGACGCACCAGTAGGAAACACCGCTGAACCGTGAACGTCGTCCCCACATCGAACGCTATCACCAATTTGCGCGAAGCGCCTTCATATGGTTTCCTCGCCGTCGCCATGTGCGTCGTACAATGTCGGTGCGTAGTTGGTGGGGTACAGAAAGGTAAATGCGGGGTGAAGTTGACGCGCCAAAATTGCCCGAAATGGAAGATTTCCGACGACGTGGCGTGACCGTCACAGCACGTGCTTACGTGACGCCCGCGCGGTGTGACGGGGACGCTGACCGGAGAACCGGACGCATTGCCATTTGTTCCCCTGGTTCCTATTCTCCACAGACAGAAGATAGCACCCACAGAAGCACTGCAATTCAATTATTACTACTAATACGAGAAATGAGGCACAGTCTTGTGACGACTGCGGTCTGATGTGGCTGAATTCAAGTACAATGTCCGTTTCGTAACGCTGTACAGTTCCGCGGGAACTTTAGACAGCGGGCAGGGTTGACCGCCTCACTGCTGCGCTCGCCAACTCTTGGCCGTCAACATGAAGTGTCGTCGAATATATAAGTATCACGCGAGCGTGAAGCTCTTGACCGACATCCCCCTCCCCTTCCACTGAAACACCCTATCTCTGCGGTTCCGCTAACTCCAGTGAGTTGATGCTTATCTGGCCTTCCGTTACGTCTACTGACTCAATGCCAGGAGAGATTCACGAAATGCTTAACCTTCCCGTGGAACTGCCCTCGTCGCTCAAGAACCTGAATAACACCCGTCGGGAGGATGCAGAGACATCATCTCTCGATGCGTCGTCTTCCGAAACGGCCCCATTTCTCCTTCCTCCGTCCGACGTCAAGTCCAAGGATGGTCCAATTGCACTTGAAGGCGAAGATAAACTTGCACCACGAGTGCACCAAACCACCAACCCAATCGATCTAAGCCCTCCTGGTTATTCCCCCAGCGACGCGTCCACATCCATCTCCGGTCCCGCAGCCACTGCTCCCCAATACAGCCGGGACTATATCGACGACGAAGCCTTAGCGCTCGAAAACGCAGCTCGAAGTCTCGAAATCGCTGCTGCCAACAGCGAGGACCCAGCCGTTAGGAGGACGCTCCTCAAGAAGGCTGAACGTCTACGGGATAAGAAGAACGACGCCATCTGGTTTGGCCGTAACGAGGGTGGTGTCTTCAGAAAGATTGGTGGGGGAGTAGTTCTGATTGTCACCATTCCGATTTTCTTGACTGGTGCTGTTTTGGAAGGAACCGGCGCAATGCTGAATGCGTCAGGGGTCATGGTCAGGGAGATTGGAGTGGGGTTGAAGACAGTACACACTTGGACCGTTGACAAGCTTCGACTGTACTAGCTAGTTAAGCATTTGTGTAACCTTTGTCGTGCATCTATCTCTATTGATAGCCATATCGGTTTGCTATAGAAATTGAAAGCTGAAATGGGAAATTATTGCTCCCCTTCCTCCAAGTTGCGACCCTCTCCTCGAGCTCGCGAGCGCTTAACCGTTGAAGTTAACGTCCGTCGGCGGAGACTCGAATGTCGGCATCAACGGCATCAAAAGGCACCGCCACACCTCTACAGCTTTTGTCACCGTCAAATGACAAAAATCAGATGGGCAACATCGCTTCGACAGGGACCCCAGCGCTGCGCAGGCCGCAGCTCGACGACGTGTGGTAACCGCAGCAGCCTGGGCGGCCAAGCTTCCTTCTACGCAGTCATTTATCCATCCTCTTGAACCCTTCCTTCGAGTCACTGGGTCTTCGTCACTTCCGCTATGATTATCCAAGACGCTAAACCACCGATACCTCCAAACGATGATGTGACCTTGGATTCTCCGCCCTCCTACGACACCCTTGTTCCGCTCGAGCGCAAACTCCTTCGCGATGCCAAGCCAAACTATTCATATTCGCCAATTTCCAGCTCATCCTCGTGGCCGTCTTCAGCGCAATGTCCGACAAGCCCATCATCATCCTCCTTAAGGTCGCCGACAACACCAGGGTCATCCAAGGGGAAAGGGAAGGCGCCCAGCAGCTGGTTCAACTTTGCCGCAACCCGAACCTCCCGAGAGGTCCACACAACGGTCCTAGGCCTCGTTCGTGACCTCATTCGCGAACACTATGCCGATTCTGCAGCACCAGCTGGGATCCTTCAGAGTTGCGCCGATGCTTGTGCAGCTCACGATCTGGATCTTCACACCATCCTACAAGAGAAATCGATCGAAGGGCATACACCACTCTATTGGGCCATCGTGAAACGGAAACCGGACGAAGAAATCGACGACAATTCCCAAGTTCCCGACCTCCTTACCGCCCTCTTGTCCCACTCCAGTCCACTCCAGCCCGCCACGATAGCAGACATTCGATTAGCATGCCTCGTCACGTCCGACCAAAAGCTGTTTCACCGATTGCGCATGTCGCCGGAGTTTTCGAAAGTCTCCGGGGCCGACCAGATATTGCTTGGGGCAACCCAACCCCAAGACGAGATTGAAGTCCACGAAGTTGCCGCCGATGACGGCTCTTTCGCAGTCGATTTCGTGATACCCCACTTCCAGAAGCGACTGATGGTGACGAAGTTGATTGAACTAGAGTTCATAGCTCGCAGTAAGTTGAATCCGTGCCTAATGTTATGGCGGCTGGTCTTCATGGGTGTTCCAGGTCGAATGTGGCGGCTCGCGTTCGTTGTGGCCAAGTCCTACCAGTATACGGGTATACAAGGTGGTTCTTGGTGTGTTGAGCTGTCGTTACAACCGAATAGCCCTCCGACATGGCTCGACGGACAACTCGTTATCAGCGACCCCACCCTTGCTTATTCCTCTACGCGCTCAAGTCCTCGAAGTTCACCCCTCCTGTCGAGATTTACTCTAAATGGCGATACTAATCCGAAACCACCAATCGCCATTCGCATGAAGACCGGTTTTAGCCAGTTATCAGCGCCCGGTGGGGCAACGCCTGGGGGGAATACTATCGTCGTGGCTTTGGAGAAGAATCCATCTGCGAGCACTCTCCAATATAGGTATGAGCGCACTTTTCCTCACTGATCCGACCTTCCGCTGATGTTGGGCTCTTCAGTGGCACGTCGTACATTGCACCGGACGAGAAACTCCGCGCTCGATTTGAAGCACGATTACAGAAGTCCGAGGACAATCAAGAGTGTATCATCTGTTAAGTACCGAGATCTTTGTTGTACATGTACTAGTAGTAGATTTCTTTCTTTTTGCTTTCGTTTACCGTTCTCTTTGGTACAGTCTCTTATTGTGTTTACGCTGTGTTGCCATAGTTAATGTATTTCCTGATGCTAGGGCTGATTTCAGGCCTTCGACGAGGTGGTGTCCCACTATAAATAGGCTTGACAGCGGGGATAACGATGACAGTCATTCCATTGAGGACGTTAACGAGCTCGAGAACCCCAGTCAACGCCACTTTCCCAGCCGTGAAGAGCCCCATTCTCAGTATTGAGCTCTTCGAGCGAGTCCTCGACCACCCTGGCGGCGAGGAGCTATGCCGGGGATTAGATGATTGCGCAGATGCCTCCCATTTTTCACCGTCGCTGACCTCCAAATCAACCCTAAACCGATGTTCAACGGGCAACCAGAGAACCTTCCCTGACTCCAGACCACTGTCCAAATTCTGGACGATCACCCTCGCCTTACCCGGCACATTCGCAGGTTGGCTATCTGGCTATGGGAGCTTGGGTCTTGCTCCCATTTCCTGGCAGGGAAACGACAGAAAGAATGTGACATGGGACCCGCCTCTGACACGTACGCCCCCAGGCGATATCCCATCCAGACTTCTGTGACCCCCTGCGCCTTCATAACTTTTCGAAACCAGTATTCCGACTCCAATCTACGCCTTTACTTGGGCTACTGCGGCTCGAACTTGCGCAAGGCATCCCCACCTCCGACACCATCCTCAGTGCATTTGTGAATTCTTCGCTTCTTTTGCGTCCCTTCAATCCTTGTACATTCAGTTGAATTGGAACTGTGTCGCTACCGATTCCTGGCCATTGTTGCAGGGAGATGGGAGTTACCTTACACATAGGTGCAGATGCCCGGGATGGTTGGGCGAATCGCGTATTCCTAGTCGCAGATGAAACCAAGCTGAAGGCACGAGTACATCGCATGGAGGTGAGCCCCGGCCCCGATGATTGGAGTTGCAGGTATAGTCGAGGGACTTTGAGAGTTATCAGTTCAGATGAGGGAGATAATGGACCGTCAGCGGGGGCTTTCGAGTTTATGGAAGCTGGAATTAGCGGGACCAAATTTAAAAAGTATCTTCTAGATAGACTAGACTAAGTATTCGAACAGCACCGGTATGAAACTTTTTTCTTCATTGTTTTTTGAACGCTTTGCTGGCCTGCACCATACTCCACTCCAGATAGGGGAAAACTCGGTGCACCCGTGACATCCGATGAGGGCGGAATAGGATCCTCAATTTGAGCGCTTGTGCCAAGTCCGCGGGGGCCCCGGTACTAGAGCTCTACACACTCGTACACACATGGATGGATCCTTTAAGCTAAAGAACTGATTCCTTCGTTCCACTTCGCTCATCAGACCGGACCACCAGTGGTAGGTGCTTTCACTCGTTGGGACACCATGATTGCAGTTTGCAACGGCAATGGCTGACCTCTTTGACTGCAGCGCAGATGACGAACAAGGTCTCTCTCCATATCGACCTCTTGGGACCTATCATCGACTGTCTTGGGGAGGAGGCTCGACCTGACGATGTCCCTTCCACATCTTTGGCGTTCCAAAGTCTTTTGGCCTGTTCCCTGGTATGCAAGGCTGCCCTGCACCCGTCGAGAACGCACATTTTCTACCGAATCAGTATTGGGGATACACGAAAGAAGCCATCGTGTCCTTCCCTTCGCCATTACCTCCAGGGGTCTATCGATATCCTACAATCCCACCCCCACCTCGTGCCATACATCCAACGGCTCACCCTTGACGGCGTGGACATTTTGATTGGGGACTACTACACCAGGGAGAGCAGCGACAGGTCCGGGCGGACTACGACGTTCAACGAGCTGTTCCCCTCATTTCTTCGAACCCTGACCCACCTTCGTTCTCTCCAATTCAAGAGCTTTGGTGGAGATTCATGGCGGTTCTCGCCACAAGAGTGGGATATGACGGATGCCGGTGTGCGAGCTGCGTTAGTGGACTGTCTGACCCGTCGCGAAGGAAATCTGCTTAGGGAAGTCGAACTAGAATCCTTCTCAGGCATACCCGCCCTCGTGCTAAGAAAGCTCTCGCCGACCGTCCGTCGTCTACACCTTGACTGCGTCAGCTTCGCAGACGACGACGTGGACGCTGATGGTGGGCGACACAGCATCATTGGCGATAGAGACGACGAATCATCGGCCCCAGACCAACCGGTAGCGCTTGATTCCCTGGTCATCGGAGACGGAAACATCCCCGCGCAAATTCTAAGCTCAGGGTTAAATTTGTCACGGCTCAAGAGCGTTGACCTGGTGATAGAACGCCAGCTGGACGATGAAGCGGCTTTCAAAATCCTCTCGATGTCTCAAGATACCCTTACCGAGGTGGGATTGACCTATGAACCATTTATCGACGGCGGTACGTCTGATTTGGCTCGTTACTATCACTTGCATTTACTCATGAACACCTCCAGTGACCCACGTTTACGCATCCCCGGTTTACAACGGGACGTACATTACTCCCATCAGGCTTCCTAACCTCCTCAAGCTCAATTTTACGTTCAGTATGAGTCGACCCAATCCAGACCACCCGCACGAGCCAGCCAGGAACGTTCCCCCCTGTACACCAACTGTGCTGAAGTACATTCACAGCTTCATTTCCCAACAACCCAATCTTCGAGAGCTTACTTTGACATTCACCGTGTTCGAGACGTACCCAACTCCGGGTCGCCGGTTCTTTGAGTCAAAGGGACAGAACCCTCAGTGGGCAATTCTCGATGATCTTCTGGCAGACTGTCAAAAGCTACCTGCGTTGAAACGCATCGCGATCGTCCCACAGGTTTCCATCCGTCTTGACGGATATTGGGATGCTGTCATGGGGTTTGAAGCAGAACCGCCCAGTCAGGACGAAGTATACTATGATAGGCGGGCAGAGAATGAAGTCATAGAGATTTTCTCAGTTTCGAAGGAGAGGATGGAGAGGATGGAGAGGACCGGGGGAGCATTCACATGTACAGTCAAGAGGGCATATGCTCGAAGAGACTAAGGAGAGGCCCTGTAGCTTGTTCACTTCTCATGCACCATTGACAGGCAATATAATAGTAGTACGCGATAGACTTTTGGGAGTACGATAGATGATATGCGTATCTATTAACGAGATCATCTATTTCCCACTTCATGGACGTCGCCTGTATGTATGTTCGACCCACCGGAATAAGCGCCTGTACCACCAAGCCCCTAACGCGTTTGATTGGCCATGCTTGGCTAGCCCTTCCGGTGATGGCGGCTTCCGAGCCCGCGGCCAAGGTCGGCCAGCCATCACAGTCCCAGGTCATCACGGTCGTCGACGTTGAGCTTGAGCCCCACGACATTCAGCGTTCAGGATGGCAGCAAAGGCAAAGGCCAGGTACGCAAAAGCACCCACAACTTTTTCAAATGTGTGTACTCATGAATGGTACAGGACTCTCATTGTTCGTCTAATTTCAACGGCGCAAACTGGTTTCTTCTACACCACCCAACGCCTGCGGCAGGGCCCAAAACTTTCAGCGGTCAAGTATGACCCAGTGGGTGAGTGACCTACCTCTCCTGAACACGCCAGATCGATGAACTGACGCGGAACGACGCTTGACAGTGAAACGGAGGGTGTTATTCGTGGAGAGCAAAAAGACCAAGAAGTAACCGTAGAGCTTCTTGGGCGGGATACGGACTGGTGCTGTAGAGGTGCGTTGCCACGTTCTTTAGATTCTATCGAAATGCTGACCTTGCCTTAACGCAGATATATATCTTATGATAATGGAATAATGCTCCCCGAAACCTGTGTGCCAGTTTTGAACGTCGGCGGTCACTTTTCCCTGGCTCAACGGTTGGCGACCCCTGCCAGTACAGACGAACGAAGCTCAGCTTCTTTTTGAACCTGCTACGTGGATAGTTCCCAGAGACAACCTGCCACTTTACCCCTTCGACAGATGGCCATTCGGCAAAACCCTCAAATTCCAGAAATGATGCAACAGTGCCCCCCATTCGCCCTTCTTGATACGTCAATGAACACTTTAAGCAATGTCAAGGGAATGTATTCCAATGGCGACATCAGCAGCTCGCCTTCTCGACAACTTAAGCTCCATTGGAGGTGGCCATTGGTCGGTCACCACTGCCATTTATGTCCGGAGCAAGCAACATCACGAACAGTTATCATCCGAACCTCGACGCCGAGCAGGTTGCCGTCACAACTGAGCCTGTCGACTGTTTCGCTTTTTCCATGGCGGACGGGGACTCGAGACTCGCACCGAGCGCTAGATAACGAGGCCATGACTCATGGCTGACCCTGCCACGTTTGGATCTCTTGTCTGTGCTCCATCTGGTATGTTCCCTTTCCTGGATCCTGAATCGCATTGCGTTTACTTGACTGATTGCCTGGTCGTAACATCGCCTCCGCGCAGAACGTGTCTGATAACACTAGTGCTTACCCGGGGTCCTGTGAATCTGACCCATCATCCGTTTGACACTGAATAATACAGCGCTAAGTATATGTTCCACAGTAGCCATGGCGCGAAGCTTCCTTCATCTTTCCATCACGAAGAACATATGGCTCCCTTCGCCCAGCGGCGAAAGCAATGGTAGCCGTGCTTCTTGTGGTAAGCCTTTGGCTTGCTTTAGTCAGGTTAAAGCGCTCACTCGGCGTATAGGGTCTTCTTCCATCACGGATTTGGAGTTGAAACACAACATTAACTTTGGAGAGCCTAAATCCGTGAATCATGATGCCAGGCAACTCGCCAGCTATCATTTAGAACCATCCCTAGAAGAAGCATACATTTTGCGGGCTGTCGATGGCTATCTTCTGCCGCTCCTTAGCCTTTCATTCTACATCAGGCGAATATCTCGGCGGGCAGTGCGATTTCACACCTCCGACCGACTTATAAACGACGAGTGCTACACCTGGGACCCGTGCTGACTTGCTGCGTTACCCACCTCAGTTTCCTCACCCCCTCGTTTCACGCTTCATATCACACCCCTCGCTACCGGCCCTTTCCTCTCCCTTCACAATGCGCGCCTGGTACTTTGACGAACTCCCTGGCCACCAGAAGCTCCCCCACATGGGCGAGCCCGTGCCCAACCAAAAAGTCTACGACTTGGGCGTCAAGCACTGGAAGATCCCCCTCGATGGACATGAAGAAACCATCAACCAGATTGCGAAAGAGCGGGACTATCCCAATAGGGACATCATTAACATCTCCAAAGAGGGACTAGGCGAGGTAAGTGATTGGTTTACCTTGTGTATCCGATGGACATAGTCGGCTGACGCTTTTTTTGCTAGTTGTATGATGAGAAGATGGTCTATTTCTTCCAAGAGTGAGTATTGCCGATGTACCATGTTTACCGGTCACTGAATACGTTCCGCATAGGCATATGCATGAGGATGAAGAGATCCGATACATTCTCGACGGCACGGGGTACTACGATATCCGCGGTTGGTTGCTTTCCCCTACCGGAATGTGGTGACGAAGAACCTAACCCACCGCTCTTCTCCAGAGACCCCCACCGACAAATGGATCCGCTTCCAAATTGAAGCTGAAGACCTCGTCATCATTCCAGTTGGTATTTACCACCGCTTCACTCTAGACGAAGGCGACTACATCAAATCTATCCGCTTGTTCCGTGCAGACCCCAAGTGGGTGTACATGTACCGCAGCAAGGAGATGGACGTGAACCCGTACCGGCTTGAGTATCTCAAGCAGACGAAGGAAAAGCTTGGACTGCCGGTTGCGCCTGCTGCTGTTGGATGGGGTGCTTGGCTATGGAGCTGGATTACTTGGAGCAAGCTTTAAAGCGTGGAACGTCTCGTCAGTACGAGACCTGAATCTGGTCTCGGTTGTATTTATGTTATGTTTATTCTTTTCTACATGCTTGTTCCTCATATGTATTATTACCCACTACAATTCTAGTCGTTAGCTCTGCACCGTTCTGTGAACATCGATGAAAGAGAGGATGGCATTCAACCCGTTTGTTTGCCGGCCTGCCGAAGATTTTGGCTTACCTCAGTCACTTCCCACGGTCAGACTCGCTCTCGCCGAGGTCGGAGTAAATCTCCTCTCTCGCAGCCACAGCCTAGCACGATGGCGCAATCAGAATTGCTTCTTGAACCCGGACAACCTATATAAGACACTAATAACGACGAGTAAGTCTTCTTACATCCCTCTAGACTCACCTAAAGCCTTCAGATTTCAGAATGCGAGCCTATTACTTCGACAATATCCCCGGCGATCAACGCCTCCCGCACGACTCGGGACGCCCAGTTTCCGAAGACACCTTGAGGAAACTCAATATCAGCTACTGGCGAATCGAATTGGACGGTTATCTACCCAAGCTCAATGCCGTTGCTGAAGAACGCGGCTACAAGAATCGCGACTTTATCAATGTTTCGAAAGCTGGTTTGGGAGATGTGAGTAGTTTTATTAGATCAGAAGTGCATGGGCCAATTAACCAAATCTCGCGCAGAGCTACGAAGAAAAGTTGAAGAACTTCTTCTCCGAGTGCGTTGTTTTCAGGGCTTGGAATCTCGAACTGTGTTGATGAACGACTGCAGGCATATGCACGAAGACGAGGAAATTCGATATGTCGTCGACGGTAGCGGTTTCTTCGACGTTCGAGGTGCGTCGCCGACCACTCGTTTCGGGTTTAGTCCGGTTAACGTTTTTCTTCTCTATAGAGTCCCCATCCGACGAATGGATTCGTATTGGTGTCGAGCCTGGCGATCTCCTCGTCATCCCTGCCGGAATCTACCACCGATTCACCCTGGACGAGAACAACTACATCAAGGCTATCCGGTTGTTCCAGGTTCGTACTCTCTGCGTGCCCATTGGACAGTACTCGGGCTTACCTCGTTCCATCAGGACGAACCCAAATGGATTCCTTACAACCGCAGCGAGGAGACTGAAGTCAATCCTCACCGAATCAACTACCTGCGGGAGATCGGCGTTGGAGCTTGATCAAGATACAGTATGCCGGACCCCAAGCATCGGTTACGGCCTTGGTGGTTTACCTCGCGTCTACCCGTTCGTGAACATCTAAGATAAGCTGTCTTCTTGTATATTGGTGACTTGTAACTTCAATTATATGCTGCCTTGCTCTCATGCCTAGGAGGTTTTATTGACAGTCGCTCTACAAACAACCCGTGCAGCCCGCTGGAGTGCTTTTACAATCAACGCATCACACTTGCTCTCCGCCTTGCGGTTTCTATGCGCTCTGGGATTTGCCGCTCGTATCCAATCCGCAGTTTCGCAGTTGAGATCTGTTCGCGTCTTGCTGTCATGCGCTCAATGATTCCAGCAAGGACAGGGTATATATACTTCGTCATCCACCACAAGCTTCTGTGAAGCTATCGCCTTCACTTTGTGAGGGCGCTATGTCCATCATTCCAGCCATCAAACCGGATATCCCTGGCTCATCCTCTGATCTCGCGCAAGAACCCCTTCAACCAGCTGGCCAAAGTCGCTGGATCTATTGCACCAAAGTCTTTATTTCTATTCTTCTGTCTTTTATTCTCTACTCTGCTGCATCTAACCTGGAGCGGTGGGAGGCGTTTCGGTCTTGGCTAGTTCAAGATATCTATGGTTCTGTTGTTCCGGAAAAGAAAGTGAGTGTTCTCTTCTGAGGACTGTATAATGCATACTAATAGATTGACCTAGATCTCGCCGGTATACGACCCCATCCCGCCCGGTATTGAACTCGGGGAATGTATCAAATGGGATGATTATTCCGACGTTCATGAAGTATCTTCGATTAGTGTCAGCCTCAGTCTCGACGATTCTGCGCGGGACCTTCTATTCGTTTCTCGAGGACAGCTTGCCTCTGGGACTTTCCGCCTTACGCAGTCGAACACAGGAAACCGGATCAACGTAAACGCAACAGTATCGACCAGCCTGGAGTACAAAGACATCAAGATTTGCAAAGTTGTTCGCGAGGATGGTGCTGTTGGTGTAGGGATATTCGTGAGTCCTGTTGGGAAACATTTCACGCTTCGCGAGAATCTCAAGATGCCTAGGCACCGTCCAACAGCGCGCCTCGGTACTCTCCCTGCAATGTCCCACCGAACATATCGTTCAACGTGGACCTCCCGATGTCCATGTCGTCTTTGAACTCCCTGGAAACCGACCTTCCTCGTTTTCGTCAATCGCTAACGGACCTCACGCAAGAGATGTTCTTCCACAAGCTTAAGCTCCAGTCAGCCTCATATCAGCCCATCTCTGTCGAGGTGTGTTATTGTTGTTTCCAAAGTTGGTTTCTTTACCCGATGCTTAAATAAGTTTGTTCCAATCAGTCAACCAGTGGAGAGAACATAAAAATCAAGACTCAAGGGGGTGTATCCGGCCGGTTCACCGCAAACTCTTCGTTTAGCGTCGAAGGCGAGGCCGAAGATATTGATGTCGAGCTGAACCTCGTCAACGACGATATCGATCGACCCACCCTTGCCAGGGTGAAGGGTGTACAGAGGTAGCCTGACGTTCCTATGCGCGTCTACTGCGAGGCTGAAACACTGCAGGTCCTGCTGGGGATGTCAACCAGTGCTGCGGGAAATCTCCGAATTGCCAGAGCAGAAGACCATGAAGATCTCTACTAACCTGACCATCCCGGATAACCGAGGGGGCGCCTTTGACATCGCCGCGACTTCACCTCATAGCTTCTCAATCAAAGTCGGCGACGCACCTTTGGACTCTGTCATCAACATCGCAGCAGGCATCGTTGGTGACAACGTTACCAGCGGCTGGGGTGACTTGGAGGTCCATCTCCCCTCGACATACGAAGGAAACTTCCTTCTTCACTTGGAAGATTCTGAGAAATAATTCTCACATGCGGATCTCGAGTTTAGCGATGCCGTTGAAGACCCTTCTGGACGGAACACTGGCAGGATGCGCCAGTTGAGGCTTTACGAGGCCCATCGACGCGGTGTACGCGGTTCGACATGGTGGTCGGAGGAAACGAAATCGAGGGGTAATGTGTCTCTGATAGTCGATCGGGGAAGTGCGTGCCTGAAGTTGTAAATAATTCTGCAATCGAAACCCGAGTCTGGATGGATTCTCAGGCGGGATGCGGGAATTACAGTCGGAAACCTTGGGCACGACTGCGGATCGAACTCTCGGATAACACGTGAGAAAATCCAAAGGCGGGCCCGTGCCGAAGCTCCGGCACAATGGGGCCAAGGTTTTCGGTGTTCTTCATTTGCCTCTCACCTCCACCTTCTGCGCCCAGATCAAGCCCAAGTGCTGCTGTTTTCATGGAAGGCTGGTGCTCTCCAATGGAACCGGGTTAAAATGACGGCACCAAACACCAATGCGGGTCCTGGGTCTAGAATAAGCATCAAAGTAGGCGTCATCGAAATTGCAGGGAATTCCAACAAATTACGCAGGCGTGCACATTTGGAAATCATCTTCAAGACCTCCTAACTCAATTCGGTGCCCGTTTCCCCTTGGGTCACGGCTGCGACAATACAACTTTGTCGCGCTGTCTCACTCTTCTGGCTGCGCAATGGCCTCGTGGCCCTCTTCTTGGCTGCGAAAGCGCAGCCAAAATCGCCGCGCACCTGCAGGGCTGAGTCTTGACCGCAGCCAATCTATCTCTATCTATCTTTGGAACTCAAGTACTCACCCCGTGATGCCCTTGGCATGATGTCGACTTCCTAAGGCACTCTGGATATATAACTGTTCGTCATTGGTTGTCCTTCGCTGCGGAACTCTTTCTTCTTCACACCACGTCTATTCATCGCTATGTCGTACCCTGGCGATACAAAGTTCGATTCCCCCAATGCACCTTTTCTGACGGATTCTCCTGGCCAACATGACCTCCTCGACTACGAGATTCGAAGCAAGCGAAGGCGACGAACGTTCAGGATCATGACTTGCTTCCTGGTTCTCGCCGGCATCTTGTTTGGAACTGAACTGTTGGGTCAATACTCCCCTCGTTGGTTCAGTGGCAGCAGCTTCGTCGGAGTGAGTCTCTTGTCTTGTACGATCTGTGAAGTTCTGACCAATCATGACATCAGTGTCCTGGACACCGCCGCCCTCACAGCTATCCCATTCCGCCTGGGATCAAGCTCGAGGAATGCACGGACTGGAACGACCTCCCTGATTCAGCGCGGGCGCTCAACTCGATGTCGACCAACATCACGCTCGACGATCCATCCAACCTGTTCTTCGTCTCCCGCGGTTCTCTTTCCTATGGCAAGATCCTCATTACCCAGTATGACAACCCGAGCAGGGACAGCGTAGAAGTCAATGTGGCTGTCAGGAATGGATTCCAGGAAATGTCGAAAGTCTGTAAGATAATCCGGGACGATGGGGCCAATGGCATTGGTATCTTTGTAAGTTGAGCCCATCATGTTAGGGGTGCGAAATGCTGATGATCATTGTCTAGACTCCCAATTGGGATCGCCGTCGTCGGGCTCGGGGACCCATCTTCGATGTCAAGGTCGACCTTCCCAAGTCAAGCAAGAAGAAACCGCTGGTCGTCCAGTCGCTCGAGACTGACCTTCCCATGTTCAGACATACACTCGGCAACATAGGAGAGCATGTATTCTTCAAGAACCTACTTCTATCCTCGATCAACGAGGCCATCGAAACCGGGGTAAGTTCATAGTTCTCAAGCCTTTGGGTTGGGCCTGTCGCTTACCGCGTGTGGTTCGGATAACATAGCCTTTGAGAACTGAGGTGGTCAACATTTCAACTGTGAACGCGGGCATTTCTGGTCGATACTATACCAATTCTAGCATCACGCTGAAGACTGTCAACGCTCCCATCAGTGTTCTTCTAGAGATGATCAATGAGAATGTCACTCACGCTACCACTGCCGAGCTTTACACCACGAATAGGTGTGTGAACCTTTTGAGCACCAAGTTAACCCACGGCTCGATCTCTGACTTCTTGCCTCCCCAGCCACATCGATTTCACAGCCAATCTAACGTCCACCCAGGAAAACGATGGTGGCGCCTTTGGAATCGTTGCTGAAACCGCCCGAGGGCACATCGACGCGGACATTGTCGAAACGCCCATCGACTCGATCCTCACTCTTGAAGCACAGACTGCTCTCGCCAGGATTGACGCCCGCCTTCCGACTACCTTCCAAGGGCAGTTCGACCTCGAGACGGTTTTGAGCAAGGCTTCTCTCGACTACAAGGAAGACGTCGAGGATCCAGCTGGCAAGGGAAGGAAACGACATCTCCAGGTGGATTCTGTGAAACGAAACCAGATCCAGGGCGCGACTTGGTGGTCGAACGAGAATAAGGCCAAAGGCTCTGCTGTTCTTAAAACTTCGATGGGAAAGGTTAACCTTCATTTGTAATCATATGTGTATTCGATTTATGGACCCGTTGACGACACACAACCCGTATGCACACGATATCTTCATTCTTTGACCTAAACTGTTGTAAAGCAGCGCAAGACAAAGTCTACCCCTCAAGCGCGGTGGCCAGATTATAGAGGGCCGACGAATAGGCTTTCGTTGTCGCCTCAACGCTTTGGATCTTAAGCAAAAGTACCTAATAGAACCGGCGTTACCGTTCTGTTTTGTCCGGCCAGTCAGACGACTCAAACTCACCTCATCGCTCTCGAGCCTTGAAAGATCCTCGCTATCGATCGTGCGTGCCGCCTCGACAGTCTGTTGAGGGATTAGCTTCGCCATGTTTACTCGAGGGGCGATTTAGACTAACCGTCTTCCAGGCCTCCAAGATGCATTCAGAGACCTCAGAGGGCTTTGGTATGCCTTCAATTTCCTTCTCGACCCGGCCTCGAATGGTGTCAATGGCCTTCTGCGCCTCCAGAAGCTCGGTGATCTGGGAAGTCACCAAATCGATCTGGCGCTTGAGGTCTGTCCGACAGCGCTTAGCAGGAGTTCTATGGTCGCATTCAAGAAGCAGAACAAACCATTGCGTTTCTCGTCTTCAGCCGTATTCCCTGGAGTCTTGGGGTCCTTATGCTTAGGCGGAGCACCACTGGAAATAAGCTTGTCGTCGTGCGGTTTTCTAACCTTAGAGCGCTGGACAAACGAGTTCAAAACAAGGTGATTAGTGAGCACCATTGAAGGGAAAGCCACAATAAACGTACACCCAAAGTTTCCAACCTGAATGAAAGTAGTTGAACGTTAGCCAATAGATAAGTGCAGTCTTTTGCAAGGCGTACTGTTTCTCTAACTTCTCCTTCGTCTTGGCAAGGTTGGCTGCATTAGTTTTGATTACGGCTGACTGAACCATGCATTCCGTGATCGCCTTCCCGAGAAGGCTGTGGAAGTCTTTCTCAGCTTCGGCAAAGCTGACGCTTAGGGGGGTTGAGTCGCCTTCTGGGCCTGACTCTGCCCGCTGTATACCGTGTCCATGAGATTATCCGGGCCTTGGGAGATGGTCTGACAGACATACCGCAATCACAGCTCGAAGGTCCTGATGTTTCTCGGACTCAGTAGCAGTGTTGTCGATGACATTGGGCAAGACAACTTCCACAAAGTCTAAAGCGGTGGACCACAGAAGGGATGAGTGGAGTGAGCACTAGGGGAACCCTGGTGCCAAGGAGTACATACCGTCGAGGCTCGCACGAGTTGACGCAGCTAACCCTCTCATGGTCCAGAGGTTGACCCTGTAACGCTATTAAACGGTATCAGCCAAGGCTAGTCGCACTAAATATGCATGTAGATTACCTTCTCCAACTCAGAGGCGCTTTCGTAGATGGCGGTCGAGTCGCCACCCTCGTCCTGGTCATCGCGTGGCTCGGTGCCGGCGGGATCTGAAGAATCCACGGCCAGGGTAACCAAGGCCTTCGCCTCCTTCTCGAAGGATTGGATCTTGGAGCCCAGGGCAAGGGATCTGTCTTGGAGATCCTTTATGTCCGCCATCCGACGCAAGCTATCTCCAGAGTAAGGGCCAGCAGCGACAACACCCGCGAGGCCTTGAACTGGCACTCCGATGTCGTTGGCATTGCCTGGGTGATAAGCAGGAGCTGGGAGTTGGGAGGTCATTGTGAAGTTGATTTCACGGTTGGGTGGAAGTTCTCGAGTTCTAATAATGGTTTCTTGTTGGCGCTGGAGGTAGTAGAACTTGTGACACGGATCTACTGAAGTTCCGACACGATAGCCTGAATGGTGGTCTCGTGAAGTCCTGAGAAACCATTCAGCCAGACAATTCTGCACGGGATATCACCTGGGCAGTGTATGTCGGTATCAGGTACTATCGCACATTCTTCCTGTCGGTTTTTCTTCCATGAATCTCAGGTAAAATCCAAGCCCCGTGGCCAACGAGGACCGATGCTCGTGGGTACGACGCTGCTCCAGCCGCAGCTTGTCTAAGGTACGTTCCTGACTTGAAGGTATTGATCGTGCCTTTCTGGGTGAGCGGATGGATTGAATGGTTCCCTTCAAAAAGATTCGAGATGGGTATCCAACAACATTACGAATGTCAAAACGGATCCATCCTATCCAAGTCCGCGTTTAGTCGAAATCCAGGCTGGCACATAATATTTTGGTTTGTAGACAACCTAGGACTTGTATTCCAAGTCCACAGACTATGGCACGCTGTCTGTCCTGTGTCTCTACCTTCATGAATACATTTCGATGCTCAACGAAGCAGCTTCCCTGGACTTTGATGGTACGGAATTATGATCGGGTACATTGTCTAATTGCCTCCGAAGACACTATCTAAGCGCCCGACTGTCACTTTCACCGGCTCTTGTCCATTTGTCTTCACTCCTGCCTATCTGGAAGTAGAAAGGCGTGGAAAATGTACCTGAAATCAGGACCGTCAGTAGGGAGGGGCCCCATACGGAATAACTAGAACTTTTGTTCTACATAGGTTTACAAAAATTTTGTCTTCACGTTCTAAGGCACCAAGTTTGTGATTTACCAAATCAGGACGGTGGTGCTGTCGCAAGGCCGGACGACGTCGGTATCCCATCTGACCTGGTCGAGTCCATATCCCTTTCCTCTAGGCCAGTGGCGTGAGATGGATTGAACTATCTTCCAACTTTTCGTCAATTTATCTCTGCATTTCCCAAGCGAGACGTCAGTCAAAGCTCGGTGGTTTGGACGGTCCGACCTATGCCCTGTGAAAAGACCCACTTCAAACGCGATGAACAAGTTCATCGACCTTTGGAGGCACAGCAGCGCTCCCACTATTAACGTTTCGGACAAGGGCCATCCTGGGATGTCTATAAAAGCGGCCTACTTTCAGTCTTTGTCGGCCATCTCCATTTACCCCATCCTCAGCCACTTGTAGCTCTCTCTATCTCTCTCAGAGATGTCGTTTCCCAACCCTCCTGCGTACACTGCCTCTCCAGAAAGTGTTCCCGGTTTCGACAAGCTCCCAGAAAACGTCAAAGCCCAACTCACGGAGGTACACGTCCTGACTCAGTCACCCCAGGTGGATGACGATGCCGCAAAAAAGGCGGCTGAAGCGGTGAAGAAGGCACAGCCAAAGCTCATCAAGGCCATCGAAGAGTTGGGTCGTGGCGCTCTCGAAATCGACGCCGCGTTCGAACGTGTTCGGATTCAACTGGGCGACGTCGACAGCTTGGACTTCAAGGACAAGAATGGAAACTCAGTTCAGAAGTTCCAGCCTACTTGGCTTGAATACCAGCAGGTCAGTGCCCGGACATCTCATCTCTACCACGCAAAAGAGATACTGACGTGCAGAGCATACAGCGCTGGAAGGATCTCCTCTGGGCCTCACGACAGACCGCGATTGAGACCGATGCCTATATTCAAGGTAAGATATTACAACGTCACCGTATCTGTACGCGTCTGACCATTCCATCTCTTAGACTTCCTCGAGGTTATTCTTCCCGGCATCGAATCAATCAAGAACGACAAGGATCTCGAGGATGCAAAGAAGGATCTAGCGGCTTTCCTAAAGGTTTGGAATTTGGTTTGCCTGGCGCACAGCTCAACACTGAGTGTTCATTACTTGGATAGCGAGCCCCGACCAGCGCTTCTGGGACCCCCGATGAGAGCGCCGGGCCTACAATCCACGAGAAGACAATCGAGGATTCTAAGCTGTACACCGACGGGTTCCAGAAATTGAAGAACGATGTCTCAGCATACAAAGAGAAAATCCTCGCTTTTACGGAATCCCTCGGTGACATTGAAAAGGATCTCAACGGGAAAATCGCAGCAGAACAGAAGATAATTGATGATGCGCAGGCTGAAATCTCGAGGTGAGCACGTTCCAGCGCGTATCTGGGTTGGATGTTCAAGCATGCACTATTACCTGCTCGGGTAGCCTCGATACAACCATTACCGCCTTGGCAAGTAAACTCGAAGCGATTAGCGTGTGCACTGGTGTCGGGGCTATGATCGGATTCATATTTTGTCCCCTCTACTCGCTCGCTATCCTCGTGAGTCTCCGAATCGATCACCTTCCCCCAGTACCTAGGTTTATGGTTGTCATGCAGGGAGCTGGACTTATCTATCTCTCCATCACCGCAAAGGAGCTGGATGATGTTAAGACTCACCGAGCAGGTATGCCCCTTTGTACCATCCAGGACTTCATGTCCATCATCTCTTTGAAATGAAATTGACCAAATTCATGATACAGAGCTCGTGAAAACCCGCGACGCCGCTAAATCGAGGAAAGGAGAGTACGAGAAGAAGCTGGAAGACCTTAAGAACATCAGGGCTACCCTTCAAGCCCAGGCTGACGGGGACATAGCTCTGATCGCGGCGAAGCTCTCGTGCTTGGAAAAGATTTGGATCATGGTATGGTACTTTCATGGACTGAAAATTCGACATAGGCGCTAGGGCTTACCAAGCAGCATTCAGGTTCACGAAGAAGCTACTCGAATCCACACCCAGTTGAAGGAGGTTTCTGCGAGGGAGGCTACCCAAAAGGTGATCTTATGCACAAAAGGTGGTTGCGTCGGAATGCTGACTTCACCTTATCTTCAAAGGCATTCCTGAGTCGCATCGCGATCATCAAGCAGAATTATATCAATTTCTCTGCTGCGCTGTCCTTGTACGCCACCAATACTGAACTCGAGCAAGTCATGAACGTCGACGAGCCCGAGGAGTGAACGTTATTCAATGCTTCAGCCTTAGACTGTTCCCGACTCGGTACGTGACTAGTATGAAGGGCCCGAATCAATCTTCTTACTTTTCCAATGTTTGTCATAAGGGGTTCGAGATCTACTGTATATGTATTATGTAGAACTTTCAAGTGACGAAAGATTATCACAAACAGAGGGTCCTGGAGTTAAAGGAGACATGGAAGGGACCGTTCCGTACCCGGAAGCTGAAGCAACAGCCTCTACATCTCACCTACTGACGACGCCCAGCCCTTCAAAAGTTGGACAATTCGCCCATGCCCAAACTCCGAGGCCAGAGAAAGGGCCGTCGCACCATGATAATCGACGAGGTCGAGCTGAACTTCAGGGCGCTGAAGCAGCAAGCGCACGATAGACTCACAGCCAAACTGGGAGGCTACCATCAAAGCCGACCGTCGGTCCCCGTTCGTAGCGTTGACCTCGAGTCCCTCGCATTCCAGCAAAAGCTGGACGATGTCGATCATGCCATATCTTGATGCAGTGATAAGAGCCGTCCATCCATACACATCGAATGCATTGAGGTCGATACCCCTGGCCTTGAGTAACCTCCGTGCAACGTTTATGTGTCCATGACGCGACCATGAGAGAAGTCCGTCCCTCTGCGTTTGCAGCATTGACGTCGATACCAGGGAAGTCGAGTAACTGCTGTACAGCGCCCTCCCATCCCTTTTTGGATGCCGACATCAAGGCTGTCCATCCGTTCTTGTCTGCAGCATTGACGAGGATACCAGGTGCCTGCAGCAGAAGCTTGACGTTGGCTTGATGTCCGTTTCCAGCGGCCAACATAAGTGCCGTCTGTCCATCGACATCGGCCACATCAACCAAAGCTCCTGGGAAGGACAGTAGAGACTGTAAGGTCGCTTCGTGGCCGTACCAAGCGGCGAACATCAACGCCGTCCGGCCAGAGCCATTGGTCGCGTTCACGTCGATGCCAGGCACACGTAGCAGTCTCTTGACGGTGCCAACATGCCCATTCCTCGAGGCAGACATCAACGCCGTCCACCCCACGACGTTTGCACGGTTGACCTCCGTCCCCCCAAACTGGACCAACTGATCGACTATCCTCTCCTCTCCTCCTCGTGCCGCTCCCATCAGCGCCGTCCAACCAGCGACGCTCATGGCATTCGCGTCTATCTTGTCGAACCCGAGTAATCGCCGAACCACCGATTCGAGATGAGCATTGGCGGCAATGATCAATGGTGTTCTCTGGCGATGTCGCGTGCGTGAATTGATGTCCCAACCGCAGTTCACGACGCGCTCCAGATAAGGCGTGAGGCCATAGCGGGCGGCGACGTGAAGTGGGTAATAGAAATCGAGGGCGTCCCAGTCATCGGAAGGGAAAGCTGTGCACTGCTGCAAGAAGCCTTCCACCAAGGGGGCGATCTCGGATGGGTAGTCGCACTCCGAAACATGATGGCCCCAGTGGTCCCTCGCGTAACGTAGGAGGGGCTGACGATCGAGGAGAGCACCGAGCTCTTCTTTACTTGATGGATTGTCCTTATGCATCCCACTGGATTCGAGCCGCTTGATCAAGACTTTGGCTATGAGGGCATGAGGAGAGGGGAAATCCGCCAGAAGCATGGGCGCCAATGCGTCCTTCGCCGTGAAGTCTGCGCAGGTCCGGTGAGTTGGGAGTCCCTTAGAATCCATCATTGACGAATCAGACTTACGGATAAGACGAACGAGCTCTTTATCGCCATGGACCTCCAGGAGACCACAACATGCAGCAATGATAGAGGGGCCGTCCGGGAGCGTTGGTTGCTGGTCCAAGGCGTGTGATTGCTGCTGGGTTCCCAGAGCATACTGCAAATCTCTAACAGACAGCGGTGTCCGAGAGAGAACCACCCATAGTAGAGCGAGCTTGGCCATATCTCGATGCTCTGGCCACTGAGCTTCAATGCGTTCCATGGCAGAGGCGTACATCCCTTGCAGCCCGGAAGGGAACTGTTCCAATTTTTGCTTCGCACTGGCAAGGGACAGACACCGTTGGAGCTCTTCCAGCTGAAGGGCAGCATGAAGGAACCTGAAACAACATTCAGTTGCGGGTAAACAAGGCAGGGACAAACCGTACATTCCGGCAGCCTTTCGCTGTATCTGCGCCGTCGCCTCTGCACGAAAATTGTTGGCGTCCAAGATCCTCGAGAGTCCAGGGTATCGTTCTAGTCGTTCTTGCACCAAGAGTTGGATATCTTCGTCTTGAGCCAGGATAGTGAAAAAAACGGCGCCCTCAAGGTTGGTGCCCAGGTCATCCAGCGGCCGCGAGGTGAGAATGAAGTTGCCTCGCAAACAATTAATGGCTCGAATAAAGTCGAATTGAACTTCGTTTAGCACTTCATCGACGCCATCGATGATATAAAATACGCAATCGAAATACTGTTCAAGCGTTTGCAAGAGCTCGACGAGTTCATCCAGCGAGGGTTCCGTCTCCTCCAGAGTGTGTCGTTCGTACAGAGGTTCGACGACAGCCACCAGGTCGGGGTGTCGCTCGATGCATTGTTTGATCAGAGCCTTGAGAATGTCGTCCACGGTGACCGGCTCGGTATAGCGGCTGTACACCATGAGGACGCAGATGTTGTCGGTCCCCTCCGCTAGGCTTAAGAGATCATCTGCGACATTCGACCTGGATTGATTGATCCAGTCAGAGATACCTATCGCGATCAGCAAAGTTCGTACTCACGCAAGCACCGTCTTGCCTGCACCAGCTGTGATTTGGATTAACAGGAGAACAAAGGGAAAGTGGAATACGATGTACTCACGAATTCCCATGCCCCACAGGATTCCGCTTTTGCTCTTCTTCCATTCCCTATAGAGTCGACTTTTGAGAAACCAATGCCCTGTTCCTGGGATACGCTTCTTCCGAACGTCCATGTGGATCGACCTGAAGTTGACGTTCGGCGCCAGCCACGTCCTTATCCTCCGAAGACGGGCCCCTGTGCACACTGTAAGAGGGCCAGGGTCCACTCAAGACAAGGAAAGTCACATACTGCGATCGTTGGGTGTAGAAGATGCTATGTAGTTCGAGATTTCAATCTGGACGAAATCGCGGCCAATCGCGTAGTGGTTCCCGCCACTGATCTCGACGGTGCGAGGATTGTTAAAGGTCGTGTCTTGATCGTTCAAATCATCTGAGTTGTAATTTTAGACATTAGAAAACGCGGTAGCTGATAGACGACGTACATGCTCCAGGCACAGGGTTATTGTGGGCCTTATCCGACGTCTAGTATGGGCGGCATTGAGAACGACGTGGAGAGCGAACGTTGCCAACAACCCACCGTGTTTCCTGAGAGCTGCTGACCCATACTTTTAATCCGGTGAGTTCAGGTATGTGGAGAGAGGGACATTAGGGTGATGTTGTAGGCAGAAGAGAAAGCCAAGGTAGGGTTAAGTACTACATAGCGGAACTGTGCTCAGTCTCACGCAAAATGACAAAAGCGAGGTTGACCAATCACTTCGGGATCGAAACTTGGGATGCCGGGGCGTTTTCCAATAGATAACAACGCTCATCCATCAGTCACTAGTCATTCCCTCGTCCTAAGTACCAAAGGAAAGAGATGAAGGAGTAAAGCGAAGCGGGACAACGAGCTGAAACCGAATAGGGACATCTGATGGCAATCATTGACATGTCATCATTCTCCACTGGAAAGGCACAGACGAGAGGTCGAGCGTTCGACCAGCGCAAGCGTCCACATGTCCTGTGGACTTCGTTTCGTTCAAGACAAAGATCAGAGAGGTTCCAGGCAGATAGGTAATAGAAGGATGAGTCTGACGACATCCCCCGCCCCATGGCCTTCGGCGGGCCCACGACAAGTGGAAGAACTGAAGATGAAGAGGCTTTTGGATACCTTGTCCTTAAGGTCACTGATCATGATTCCGGGAGTACATGTAATGCAGATGCCGAGTCATTCAAGTTGTTCTCTGTCCAACGACATGAAGACAGCCTAAATCAATGCATGCCTCCATGGTTATTACAATAACGGGTCGTCGTCCGTTCCAACTTTCAAGGGTTATCTCGTTAGCCTTGGGGGACGATCCAATCCTTTTTAGGCTACTAGTAGCTCATTCAAGCTAACATCTCCTATTAACCTTCTCCGTTACTGGCAACCACCTGCAACCACTAAGTTTGATGGGCGCTTAACCACATTTTAGCCGAGTACTGTCCATCAGATGTACATGAGCGGAGATTCTGGAGTAACCTCGAATGAATGAACGCTAAATAGGTCAGGCGAACATTCACGAACACACACAGTCGACCTAAAACTCGTGCTTCGCAATTCTCCAAAGTCTTGCAGACTTCGAAACAATCCCAAGCCCACACGACCCTGCCTCCAAAAAGGAATCACCGTACATCTGATGGTGTTTTACCGGTCCGACCATATCCGCAAACGATTCAAGAAGCATCTGTTGGAAGAAAGAATGGCAGATGCTAAATGATAAAAGCCCGATAAAAGCGCTGAATATTCTAGCGTTCACTTCCGAATAGGTGGACTTATATGACTTTGTTTGCGGAGAAGGCAGACTTCCATGTCCCATGTGGTTTCCATGGGATAAGACATATCAGACAAGCTTGCGCCTTCATTTCGCGTTGAGGAGTACGAGGACCCCTTGTCTCTACGGTGCTGAAGAGAAAGTGCGACGTTTCCGGCTCTGGATTGTCATGTCCCTGTACAAGTCACATAACATATCGTTTCGCTGTCGGCGAGGAGAGACACACTTGGGTCCGACATCTGAGCATCGTAACCTCCTAACATTCGTAATGATGAATCTGATGGGGAAGTCAAGCACTAACCCCATCCGTGATTTCAAAAGGGAAAGGAAGGTTGAAAGAAATTTGGGTCTGAGTCTTTCAGCTCATTCAATGGTGCATTGAAGTTGGAAGCAAAAGGATGAATACATTTTTCACTTGGAGTGGACGCTAGAAGCGAGAGCCTAGAGCGAGGGAGGAGGGCGGATAAGCGCTTAGGGGCGGGTATTCCCCCATCCGGACACGTGGCTGGGCAGCTGACCTAATACAGACTTTTGAAGGTTGTCCGGAAAGGGCAGGTCGCTTCATCCCTGTCCTGTTAACGCTCGTCAGCATGCGGTCAATTTAACCCTCCCTTCTTCTCAAAACAGTCAACAAATCGCCCTTCTTCTTCTTTTCCCTGTTTCTCCCTCTTTTGCCCTCTACGCCCGCTACAACCCTTCACCCGCTCGTCCATTACCCCTCAGCTTCAGCCACCCCCACACGACGGCCCTCTCCATTCTACACCCCCCACGTCGTCGCGACTAATTTCATTTTCGTCTCGTCGTTAGCGTTTGGCTTTTTGCGAGAATGTCAGGGTGCCCAGAACCCCTAGAACGTGTACGACGCCTTCGTTTCACGTTTCATCCAGAATGCTAATTTGACTCGCGGTTCGCAACGTAGATCTTCCGCCAGGTAGAGGAGGAGAGCGAGAGGCGTGCAGAGGAGGAGCTGAAACGAGCGGAGGAGCTGGACAAGTTTGTCCAAGAGTCGACGACAGTGCGGAAGACCAGGACGAGGCGGCGGGGGAGTATCTCAATTTCGAGGCTGGGACAGGTACGCTACGCTCGGGGTTTCGTTCGTATGGCTTCTGGTTCGCTGACGTTGGGGAACGGCAGTTCACTGTGGAGGAGATGGAAGACCTGGCTAAAAGCCCTTCAGGACCCGCTTCTCCGAAAGGCTTCTCGATAGCTTCGACTTCGCCGTTCTATCAGGCCCAGATTGCTGTACGTCTCTTCGTTGTCACCGAGGTACTACCTCATCTGAACACGTATCACAGAACGCCAGTACGAGCTCGGTAGCCTCCGGTGCCTCCGCCTTCTCGAACGACGAAGCGCACACAGAAGACCTGAGCCAGGTCATCCAAGTGCAACAGATCCCGTCCAAAACGAGTACAATCTCAAAGATACTTCCACGGCGACTCAGCCGCGCGCGCTCGTCGTCCGTCATTCCAAGTAGCGAAGGCAACGTCGTCCCAATAGGCATTGGCGTGTCTGTGCAAGAGACGACGGTCCACTCGTCGGCGGCGAGCATTGCGGAGACCGAGTCGCGTGGTCCCTCACGCCGGGCTAGCGTGCATGCACCACGAATGCTCAAGTCCCAACCATCGAAAGCGTCGCTGAAAGGCTCGACGACATCCAACGCTACTGGATGGGTCGCCCGTGCACGCGGTTTCACCCAAAAGTTCAGGCGGAAGAGCAAGCAAAACTTTGGCGATGACTCGGTTCAAGCGCAATGATAGAGGGTCATTCAAGTACGCATCAAGCAAACCCTATCCACCCACCCCTTGGCTTCGTTTCCTGGTTTCAACGACATCCTCTCTTGTCATCGGCTCTTCTACACATTCTTCATCTCTTGCCTATCCGTCCCTTGCATTTGTACTATTATTGCTCCATAGATTTCGCTGCTTTCCTCTTGTTCCCGGTCTCTCTGTCTCCCCCATTCTCTCTCTTGCTTTGCGTTCCATCGTGTGGATATTTGTTTCCTGGTCTCAAAAATTCAATACCGGTGCTCGTGGTCTTCATACAGCTGCTTTGTATTACTTTGTGTGAATGTCGTCCTGGACAGGATTCAAGCTCTCATCCTGGAAGCGTCTTCGCTACATGCACCCATCGAACCTCCTTCCTTCAAGACATTGCTATCGATCATAATCTCATTACAGGACATATAGCTTTCCGCTGGATCCATGGGGCGAGATGTACTGGGTTTCTTCAATTCTTGGACGAGGTAAGCATCTTTCCGGTCCAGGTTATTCCAATCTTTCTTATATGAGTTATCTAGATTCTACTCGCATGGTTCCCTGAAAGGCGGGCTTCCCATGGACACAGCGGCGTGCTTGTCGCTAACCAACTCTTCTCGGTAATTCAATTGACTTCGCCAGGATTCGAACCGACATCGTCTCCGCCTCAATCCCGACGCTCATCAAAATTAAAACCCCGCCCATGCCCCGCCCTCACGACCCATCCAGATCCCGCGCCTTTTTCTTCTTCGAATCCACCATGATTATGACCTGCGCTCCACCATTGAGGTATCCCGCCTTTGCAGAATATCGCGCTAACACCTGTAGCGTTCACCTCCAACGTCATTTAAATTTGGGAGTACACTAGGTCGATACATTCTAACGACGATTTTACGAAACGCGATGGCCTACGTTGAATTCAGGCGAGGTTGGTATCTCGAGTCCAGGTACGCCTTTGCCTTTTCGTTTCTTGTACTTGATTTTTCTCTGACAAGAGAGATACATAAAAGGCGTTATGATTAAAAGACTTCTGAAAAGGGCGGGGACTCCTTCGAGTACTACAGGCTCGATTTCTCTGTTTTCGGCGGCCCTTCCTGCGGCGGCCTAGCGGGTTGCCTCTGTCTGAGCCTGGGTTCACTGGAACCTAGAGAGGAGTTAGTGTTGAGCCTTGCTTCGCACTTGGGACATTTTCGAGCGACCTATCCAAAACGCCGGGCGTCGCCGTCAATATCATGAACCAGCACGGTTTCACCCCGCTTATCATACATAGCTGCACAACTTGGCCATTCAGCTCATCCGCATCATCGAGGCGCTCCTTCAAATTCTGGGCGGTCGGATAAACGCGACGAATCGTGAGGGTTGGACGGCCCTAATCTTTGAACTTGGGTTTAAACTTGCGGGAGGTTAATTTACGAACCGTTTGACTGCATACTTTTAACAGGGCATACTACGGTACGTATATACTATCTCAATCGTGACGATCCACTAGAGACTGAAGAAAGACCCCAAGGGCGCTGGAACGTTGTCAACGGCTCCTCCGCTTCCGTCACTCCGTATCACTTTCATCACTAGACTCCTCTTCAATTTCGACTCTCCACCACTCCTCTCCGCCCTCAAACATGGCCAGTCTTTTGGACATTGCCGTCACAAACCAAGGTGGGAACCTCTCAGGTTCCGACCTCAGCGCGTAAAATAGCTCCTTCCATCCCCGGCGTCGCCGCCCGAACTTGACCTCCCATCCAGTTGCAAATTTAATGATTCGAGCAGTGACACCTTCCCAGCCTACCCAAATGGCCTGCTCTAGTGCCGTGAACCCCTTAAAATCACACCTTATTGTAAGGTCAATTCCCGGAGCTTGAAGGAGTTGCTCGAAAACGTCTAGGTGGCCGTATCCTGCAGCGATGATCAAAGCTGTCCGTCCCACTGTGTTTCGAAGATTGACATCGATGCCTGGAGCTTGGAGGAGGCGTCTGACAATGCCTGTAGAGTTTCGCAGCAAAGCTTGCATCAACGCTGTTTCACCAGATTTATCCTGGGCATTAACCGCAACCCCCGGGACTCGGAGGAGACGCTCTACCATCCCTTCCTGTGCCATCCGGGAGGCTTCCATCAATGCTGTCTGACCTGTCAGTGGAACTGGTGCGTTGACGTCGATGTCTGGACATCCTAAAAGTGCCTCTGCGCAGGCCACATGGCCTTTGTTGGACGCGAAACCGAGCGCAGTCCGACCAAACCTGGAGTGTGCGTTGATGTCGACACCCTGGGCTATTGGAACACCGAGACATGACCCGGCTTGTTGGTTGCATGGATCGGCGAGGGTAGCTTGTATGAACTCCGGGAAGTCATATGCAGCAGCAACGTGTAGCGGCGAAAGGATATCGAAAATCCACAAATCGACGTAGGCAAATGAAACACACTGTTGGAGGAAGGCGGCAGCGACTTCAACAGAATCTCTGCAACCCCGGACATGATCGGGCCAACGTTGATAAGCATATTGAAGAAGAGGTTGTCCCTCCAGGTATTCCAGCAGCTCGTCCTCGTCGTCCAGAGTCGAATCGAGGATGTTGTTGTCAATGAGTCGCTGATGTAAGACTTTGGTGATGAGTAGATGGGGCTGGGGGTGGTCCTTGAGCAACAGCGGTTCAAGAGCATCCTTGGCAGTGAAGTCTGTGCAAAGCGATCAGCGCAGTCCAAAGGCAGGAGCAGTGGTAAAGGCAACGTACGAACGAGGCGAACGACATCTGTTTCGGGATGGTGCTCCACCAGACCGCAGCACAGGGAGATAATGGATTGTTTCCTCGGCATTCGGTTCAGCTCAACGCTGTAGGTGTTCGGGTTGACAGCCAATGCAGCTTGTAGATCCCGAAGCGTGAATTGATCTCGGGCGTGAACGAGCCAGAGTAGAGCCGTCTTCGCGATTCTCGCTGACCGAGGTCCTTGCGCTTCGATTCGACGAAAGGTGAGGGTGTACATTTCCGTGATGTCTGCCGGAAAGTTGTCCAATTCCTCCTGGACGTCTGCGAGGCAGAGACAGTCTCGGAGTGCCTCCATCTGCAATGCAGCGTGCAGGAACCTGAGTAAAGTCTGCGGTCAGTGCCCTGCGCAGATCGGAGGTGAGGCGGCGGGGGCCTTACATTCCATTAGCCTTCTCCAAAATATCCCGATGATCTTCTCTCGACAACCCGCATCTTCGAGGATCCCATTCAGACCCTGGTACCACATAAGCTTCTCCTCGATGAGAAGCGTCATATCTTCGTTACGCGCCACCAAAGGGAACTGAACCGCACGCTGCAGATTCGACTGCAACTCTTCCAAGCGCCGGGATGCAATGACAAAGTTGCCTCGCAGTTGATTGATGGCTTTAACGAGCTGGATTCGGGTGTGGAACTGGACCTCGTCCATGCCATCAAGGCCATAGTAGACAAAGTCGAAATGCCCCTCTAGCTTGAGAAGGAGATCGATCAGATTGTCCGAGGTTGGCTCTGTTCGCTCCGATGTGCAGCGTTTTTTGATCGGCTTGACGAGCTCGGCGAGGTGTTGGTGCCGCTCGACGACTTGGAGGACGAACCCTTTCAGGATGTCGCATAGGGAAAGAGGTTCGGTGTAACGGTTGTAGGCGAAGAGGACGCAAACCTTTCGATCGGTCGACTCTTCAAGTGGCAGTAGGTCGTCGATAACACGAGACCTATGGGCGGTTTGAATCGCTAGAAGTAGATCCCATTTGTGAGAACCACTCACATTAAGACTGTTTTCCCAGCGCCGGCTAGTAAGCGTTGCTGTTAGAGCACGATAGGACATTGTTAAAACAGGACACTCACGGATTCCCGTCCCACATAGAACGCCGCCCCTGGACCGTTTCCATTGCTGATACTCGGGACTGTTTATGAGCCAGTCTCCCGTGGATCCGACTCGTTTCTGCCTAACGTCGTTATGGATGGCTCGAAAGTTAACCTTCACATTCAGCCAGTCCCTAATCCCTTCTACCAGGGGGGCTAGACGTTCGTTGAGAGGCGAGGTCCTTTACAGTCGGCGGTGCCACTCACACATATCCTCCGCTGACGCTTGGGGAACATAGTTGTGTATGATCTGCGTGACGTTGCCGCCAGCGATGACCCCGCCGTTGAGTTGATTGCCGACGAACGATCCTAGGGGGGAAGCTGCAGGGACCTCCACGGTGTGTGGGCCCCTCTCTGCTACATCCATTCTGCTATAGTGTATTAGCATCGGGCGTGATATCAACGTCATCTCAGACCTACCCTTGGCGACTACGTTCAAACTAACCCTCGGCCTGGGACGATTAGGGGGGAGGGCGCGAATCTTCGAGTCGCGGATGTCGTAGGTGAGATAAGAGCAAGATAATCGATGGAGAACAGAGATTTCCGCCTTGTTTCCAAAAGGCGAAGAAGCTCTTTGTGGGCGGGTGTGCGTGACCCTCTGTGGGCGCCTCGCATTGAATCAGGCAGTGTCAGGCCTGGAAGCATAGATTGACAGAGAAGACACGTCAGCCTTGAGAACCGACAGTCATCACAAGATATAATTGACATATTAAAGAGTTTTCTGCCCATTGTTGAATTTTGGTTCGAACCTTTTATAAATGGGAGACGACGGGGAGAGGAAGGAAAGAGAAACCGTGACTGAGATCGACACGAAAATTGATGCCATCACTCCGGGAGTTCGAGCCCAGTCTGGGGGACGAACTTGAATGCTCCAGTGGCCTCCATCCACCTCTGCGACGTTGACGTTGATCGAGTTTTCCCGGGTCCCCAAAGTTCTCTATGTACATTACTCAATCGCAACAATTTATCTATTACCTTCCCTAGGAAAGTCTCCATTCCCTATATTACAACATCAGCTTCTGAAGAGCACATGCAGCACTTCTTGAAACCTCGACCGTAAGACGTCTATCTATACTTTCTACTTCTTCACATCGCGTGCCACAAAGGATACACAGGTAAACGGTTCAATCGACCGAACCATAGGCCAACTGTCAGGGATCCATTCCTTCACAGGGGGATAGGGCGAACGATCAAAACAGAGTTGAAGGCCATACGTAGGGCTCTTAACACCGGAAATGGCCCTCCAGAACGATGGGATGAATTCTCCCTTCCGAACGACAACTCTGAAGCACTTTGGCTCCAACGCGCTGGGCCTCAGCTGGATTACTCCAATCTCCGAACTGCGAGAGGCGGGTATGAGGGACATGGGGTTCGTGTCCTTCGAGAACGTGATCTCGATCGTCGCAATGAGTGCGTCGGTTGAGGGCGGCTCCAGCCCGAGGAGCTTGCCCAAAAGGGACTGAGCGGGGGGATCGCTGTCGTTAACGGGGCCAGAGGCAACAATCTTCCAGGTGAGATGAGCAGCCAAGGCAATGGTCAGCTCAGAGCGGACAAGAATCTACAAACGAGGCATTTAAAAAGAGAATATTTTGCATCGCGAATGGACCAAACCTCGCCAGTCCCGTCTTCTTTTAAAATCAGCGTGTGCGCACCCTCGAAGTCGCCTATCCAATGGTGGGACAACAGAGCAGTAATTGCTCTATCGTTTGACATGATGGTGGATGTGTTGGTATCGGTAGGAGGGGACCTGGGAGGAATGTGAAAGGACTATGTGGAACCCCTGTAGTCGTCCCATGCTTTTGAATAACAGAGCCCACTGACGTTTCATGAGTGCTACAGTGGGCGCAGTACGTTGTGGGCGCTCACCACATCCACAGGAGCGTGGACACACAGACACACTCTCTACACCCGGATCCGCATCCATCCCCACCACGATCGTCTGAAGACGGAGCCCAAGCGCACCGCCTCCCTCTCCATCCGAGCCAACCCTTCTCCACGCCGACTGAGGGTCGAACAATCGTACAAGGGGATAGAACCGAAAAGGAGAAGTGGGGTCGAGGTTTCATTGTACTGCGATAGCACGATGGTGTAGACCTAGCCATTCAGACCTGAGTGGGTCTTGAAGGTCGTCGGTCGCAGGAGGCGGTTGCGAATTATAGGTTGGGGTTGTTCGGAAACTCCACTTCGACATTGGGCTCGAGGTTCTTCGACACGCGGTTTGCTCTACTTGAAAAATAATACAGCGTGTCGGCGTGAAACATGCACGAATTCGACTCGTCCCAAATACCTCCAGTAATCAACACAGGTGTGGTTCGGTCTTGATATGTAAAAATCGTTCACGAACTATCGCCATCGGGTCCCTGGCCACCCGCCAAACCTTCTATCCCGAGCTTTCCAGCGGCGACGTCCATATGGCGCTGAGCGATATTCTCAACGGACTCATACGCAGCGCCAACCTTTCCCGCATCGGCCAGGCCAGGAATGCCCATCGCGCGAAGGTATTCATTGGCTAGAAAGAATGCTAAAGGGGATCAGGCTGGAATATAATATGCGAATCAAGTTCGAGACGAACATACCAGTCCGCTTGTTCCCATCCATAAACGGATGCCCTTTAATGATCCCGTACGACAAAGTAGCTGCGAAATACGCTGGAGGGCGTTCCGGCTCGTAGAAAGACAGCTGGAGCGGCCGACTGACGGACGATTCTAGCTCGTTGGGTTTGACGAGGACGGATGGCGCTGGGTGTACGATTTGGGCATTTATACGTTTCACGTATTCTGGCGTAAAGAGACGAGAGAGTCGCACGGCGTGAGCGGACATTTCTGGCGATGTGAATGCTCGGAAAGGAAGATGGGCGGACTTTGGAAAACTTGGTGGGCGACGCGCCGCCAATCCTAGACGTTTTAGATTTTTTGGATACTTTTGGTGAAGATGACGCAATCCCGCCCTGCGGCCCCTGCCCGCCTCAATCCGACTCGCCACAGACGGCAACCACCACCATCTACATTCACATTGAAAACCTCCGCCAACGATGCTCCGTACCTGCTGGACCAAAAATCTCAATCCTTCCTTTCGTCGCCTTTCTCCCGGTAGATCCCCTTGGTCGAACCTTCCCTCCCGCTCCAACCATCAACAAGCCCTCCCACCACAACACTTCAAGGTCACTCTGGACGGCGGTACCTTGTACATTCCCCAAGAAGTAGCAGAAGCCCTGGGATGGAAAGAAGGCACTCCTACCGAGGGTGTAGCACTTCGACTCTCTGGCTGGGCCCCGCACTATTTCGCTATCACGCAGAAGGGTACTGACGCAGGCAAGTCGGATTCGGAACGAACGTGCTTCCCAACCCAATCTCAAGTACCCACCTCTTTCATTAGATCTACTGGCTCATGGTACCATCGAAAGCAGTCGAAACCCTGTCGTCCAGGAAACCCTTGAGTACCTCAAGAAGAATGACTCTATGTGACTCATCCAGATACACGCTCATGCCGCTTTCCTAGTGCGGTTTCCTCGTTCTCTCCGAGTCTTTCTTCCCTCTCTCGTACATCTTTAGACCTCGATGACACAACCCCCACCATGAATTACACCTCGCCTTCATCTGCTCAACCGAAAGCCGGGGTACGCCCCCTCCCAATCTCCATTCACTCACTTGGTCTCTGTCTCGAAGCTAGAGGGAATAGTTCTGTTTCGCGATGAAGTGTCCGAGGTCTGGGTGTGAGGGTAGTCTCCCGTGGTCACACTGACGCTGACGATGGAGAGTGGAATCCGTTGATCACAACTTGTACGCGTCAATTTTGGTCGTCGATCATGTTCTCCACGCACGACATCTCGATTCTCGTTGTTCAATTGTAAATCGCCTCTACTTCCAGTGTCTGCCTGCCAAACTCCTCGGTGTCAGAAAATCAGTTCGCCCTCCTCGCAGGTGGTCCACCCATATCAAACATACAATTCAAACCCTCGCCCGTGGGCCATAGAACGCTTTTCCCTCTCTCCTTTGCTCATCCATCTCTCCACCCACAAAAACAGTCCTACCAAACGACCGAATCGACTCAACCATAACGCCAAAACCAGACAACCACTCCTCCACACCCGGGTACGGCGACCGATCAAAGCAAAGTTGAAGACTATACTTGGCTCCATAAACCGAGTTGAACACCTGTTTCTTTACAACCACTCGGAAGCGTTTAGGCGTTAAACCTTCATCCCTCAACCGCTTACCCCCTCCGATGTTCGGACTGAAATCTGCAGGGACGGGCGTCATAGGCTCCGTGCCATCCTTGAGGATGGTGCTCTCGATCGTCGCAGCGAGCGCTTGGGTCGAGGGCGGCTCCAGCCTGAGAAGTTTTCCCAGAAACGACTGGGCGGGTGGGTCTCACTCGTCCACGGGGCCCGAGTCGATGATCTTCCAGGTGAGATGAGCAGCCAACGCCATGGTCAGCCCAGGGGCCAGCGGTCGCCATAATCTACACAAAAAACAGGCTTCCTTTAGAAGGAGAATCACTTTACTTGTTTGTTGCGCAGAGTGGTAAATGTCAATGACGAACCTCGCCGGATCCGTCTTCTTTCAAGAGTAGCACGTGGGTCCCCTCAGTGGATGTCGGTTATCCACTTGCGAGACAACAGGGCGGTAATGGCTGTATTGCTCGACATGGTGGCGGAATACGTTGTCGTGGTATCAAGGGATCTGGGGGGAATGCGAAGAAAAAACCGTAGTCGAGCCGTTGTTTTCAGTACCGTGACGAAGGATGCTGACGTTTTGTGAGTCCTACCACGCTCATGAGACAGTGTAGTTTTTAACTCTTCACTGTGCGGCGCAGCGGCGTGATCTGGCCGCTCATCACATCCACATCGGACTGTGGAATCACACTGACAGATACAGACGCACACATAGTGACTGGATCAGCTCCAGTGATGCCGCTGCCGCAGCACGGGCGGCATACTCGACTTGATTCACGGATACTTCGAAGAGACCCTGAGCATATAGTATCAGAGTAGATGAGGAGGGTGCTAATGACCTCTGATACAAACAATCGAAGACAAGGCGGAAAGGCGGATGGAGCGTGCAATAAGACAATAGCGAGTTTTTGTTATCTCCGGGACGTGTGAGTGTGATTGGCGGGTGGGCGGTATTGGTCTCCCAAATGGAGGAAGCACTGCCTTGCAGCGAAGCTTGGGGGGAAACCACCCAACCGGTTTAAACCCCCACATCATCACGCAGATGGTCGCCGCCCAACGGTGGTGGTGGGAAGAGGGTGGTCCATATATCCTCGTACGAGGTTTCGTTGTCGAACCCGCCCTTTGCTTCACGGATTGCCAGCTTCTCCACGATAAGCATTCACAGTGTATGGAATGAAATGGAATACGTACCTGGAGCAAAGCGCGCCCACCAGGATGCTTGATGACACCTTTCTTCTCAATTTCCAACAACCCAGGGAGAATCTCTTCAATCTCAAAGGGCGTCCCAGGCGGAAGACCGCACTCCAGCCCCCACGCCAACACCTGGATGATAGCATGCAGAGCGCGTACTTCATCTTCACTCTCCGGGAAGAAATCTCTAAAATTCTCACCCGCAGGCAGCTGAAGCCCCCGAGTGATACCGCACGCCATGTACGCGACCGACTTGCACAGACCGGAGCTCGCGCAGGCGCCGTACATCATCGCCCGAAGCAGGTAGTCGTTCTGTGGGTGGACGTTGACGTCCATCTTCTCGTCGGCCTGCCGCTTCAGCATCTCATAGACGCTCCGTAAGAAATCGTCGGATGAAAGGTTCCAGATAGCCCAGAGTTTGTCGGCGTTCCCGATCGAGCTTAGATGTTCGGCGATTTGAAGGGCGTGGGTTGGGTTGCGGAGGCGGAGATATGGGAGGAAGGACTTGATGATACTCTCGAGAGTGGAAAAGGACGGGTTGGCGCATATCAGGGCAAGGAGCCGGCTTGTGTCGGGGTTGGCAAAGGCGGCGAAGATTTCTTCTTGGGACATTGGTATTGGATCGAGGACTAGTGTTGGTCAATATGGAGTAAGCGAGTGAGAGGCGAATGAGTGCACCGGGAAGGCAGATCGTTCACTTCCCATCATCTCATCTGCGTCGGCGTTTGAAGAGAGGAGTGGGCGTCCACTGGCAGATTGCAAATGGAAGGCTTTCGTAAAGTGATCCCGGACCAGCGACCAAGCTGGGCACTGGGCCATCGTTGGGCTGGGGATAGTCATCGACGTTGAAATACACGTAGTTCGAGGGCTGGTTGGATGGACACTCAGGTGTCTTCAGTTCCGGAGTATCGCAGTTCGGAGCGTCAAAACAATGTCGACCTTTGCCTGGTCTTTTTTTGCCTCCCTGTCGAATGGGATTGGCGGAATCATATCATATTCGTTGTCGCACTTGTGAGAACCATTGAGAGACGCGCATGCGTGTCTACGAGCCAGAGAAGCGTACAGGCCAATGTTGCAGCCTGGTCATTGCAGTGACAAGAACTTGAAACGAAGAGGGGCATGTCAATCTCCAGGTCCGGCAAGAAGTCGTGAGAACGCAGATCAATGCTTTCTCAGGGAGCAGCTGAGACGGTCATAACTAAAAGAGCGCGCTTCGCCGCAGAGCCTGCTACCACTGAGCTACGCCCATACCCACCCATCTTACTCGACCTCTCGCTATATCCTATCCGCCAACCATGGCCCGACCTCAACCACAACTTCACCGAGCATTCAACGTTCAATGTATCCATCCATCTACGAGCAAACCTGACCGAAACACCACAGCAAGGCGTGTTGATATACTCGATTGGGGAATTGGACCGTCGGGATGACGAGCATAGACACAACCCAGGTACACGACCAGCGGAGGAGGATTACTTCGATCCTCCCTTGCTCCTCTCTCTGGCTCCTCTCTCTGGCTCCTCGCTATTCCGTTCGACCTCTCTCTCATCTTCCTCATGTCAACCCATCTTCGACACCCAGAGGACCAACCCAATAGTCCATTCAAACGCCTCGCGAAGCTTAAACGTCGAACAATGGTTGAAAGCGGGTGGGTCTGGGAGACGAGCATTACGCACAATGGGTTGGGCGGTCTGGAGAGCAGGAGACGTTGTTCACGTACGTCAAAGACCAAGTCCTGACTCTGCGCGGCGAGCTGAGACGAACTTTTCGTGGCGAAAAAGCGGTTGTCGCGCTTGGACAGGGATGGCGGAGTATTGGCGCAATTGAGGGTCAGTTCAAGAAGGTGAAGCGGGAGGAGTCGAATACCTCTGAACTCCTGTGCCCTTGGATCTAAGTGTATCGTGTACCAGTCATTACTACCCACCAACTCACAATCGCATCTCCAGTTACGGTTTTGAATATTGCGCGTAGCAGATGCAGAGATTGGTACAGAGCTGGATGGGCGAAGAAGTTGGTTCCAATTGGAAGGTTTCAGCGACGTTTTGCAGAAAGGTTCAAATAGGACTGTACTTCGCAGTCCTTATACGTTCTTCGTTGAGTTCGACGAAGCCTCAAACATACTTGCTTATGCAGCCTCGCAGACATTCTTCTAGGCGCACCTGGTGAAGATTAATATTGAACAGTGTGTTTATTTATGAGTTCTTATCAGCTTCAGACTAGGTACACATGCAGACTGCCCAAACTCTCAACAGTAGATTACATTTCCCTCCTTATTGCTCCTTTATCTCGCGTGCCACAAACGAAACCCTGTTAAACGGCTCGACCGACTCAACCATATCCCTGTAATCAAGCGACCACTCCTCCACAGGGAGATACGGCGAAGGATCAAAACTATGCCGAAGACCATACTTGGTCCCAAACTCCTTCCTCCAAAACGGCGGCTGGAAAACCCCTTCTCTGCACGACAACCCTGAAACGTTTCGGCTCCAAACCAACTCTCCTCAGTCGAGAGCCCGATCTCCTCCAATTTCCGAATTGCGGTGGGCGGGGACGAGGGTCATGGGGTTCTTATCCTTCGAGATGGTGATTTCGATCGTCGCGATTCAGAGGGCTTCGGTCGAGCGTGGGTCCAGCCGGAGGAGCTTGCCCAAGAACGACTGCGCTGGTGGGTCGTCGTAGTCAACGGGGCCAGAGCCGATAACCTTCCAGGTGAGATGAGCAGCCAGCGCAATGGTCAGCTCCGAGCGCGCAACAATCTAACGATATACAAAAGGATCTGGAATGTTATTGCGGGATGCAGAACTGCGACGGCCCTGGACGTCGCCTATCCGGTAATTCCGAGTCTGTATCGCTGGACATGGTGGTGGATTTGACGTCGAGTTAGGGAAACTGACTTGGGTGGAAATGGAAGAGATAGTGCGAGACCATCTCAATCAGCCGGTGGTTTTGAGTGTGTAGCGACGCCTACTGGCGTTTCACGAGTAAGTACCGGTGGAGGCAGTGCGTTACTTGCTCTCCCTGCACGGCGCAGCTGTTTCATCGGGAACGCGAGCATCGGGCGCTCATCACGGATTGATGCCGTATTGATGGCTCATGGGCGCTCTTGATGGTGGCAGGAAGCAAGACCTCGACTCGTGCAGCATGTTGGCAATGGCCTGACCTGCGTTGGTGCAACTCACACACGCACCCATAAGTAGTAAGTAGCGATCTCCGCACCGCACGCTGGGCGCTGATCTACCATTGATCGTCATCTTCGTGAATCGTTTCGTGAAACTTTGTTGAGTGCACCTGACCGTCTGCGGATCGTCCGACGTTACATGCTGACCCAGATTCCTAGGTTTTGCTGCTGGAAAGGCTGAGACCGGGTACAATGGAAGTACGTTCGAATTCAGATCCCTTCATTGGGTGCCACTCCTGCGCGACCAGGTGCGATCTACGGTTCCACATGATGCTCGGTTAGCGCTTAGCCGTCGCTTCACGGAAAAACACCCAGGAGCCACCACGATGCTCGGTTGAAACTAAGCGGACGGGTCATGGGGAATGTTGAGAAGCCACCATCACGCCCCTTGCCTCCCGAGTCCCGACAGCTTGGCTTTTTCGCGCTGGGCGCTCCGCCAAGGGGAAAAATCGAGAATAAAAGGGCTGGCGTCGACGAGGTTGTTTCCCCAGCCCGGTGCTCCCATTCCCCTCTACACCCCGCAGCAAAGGCCGGTTCCTTTCTGCAGCGCACTCCCTTCTCCCACTCGTCCAATCAATCAATCCCTCGTCGCTCGTCGCCATGTCCATCCTCTCCAAGTCGTTCGCCCTTTTCCTGCTCGTCAGCAGCATCGTCGTCTCTGTGGAAGGCAACCCCACGCCTACCATCACAATTGGGTATCGGGTGGTCAACAAGGTTAGTAGAGCTATCATTCTTTCATAGAGACCGCTACTTACACTCGCTCTTCATTCACCAGGACGCAGCCGAGGCCTACAAAAAGAACGGCAACAAGCTCAGCTTTTTGCCTAGCGCTGGCGGGCAGCAACTCGGTCATGGTGCCTACGTCTCTCCAGGTCCAGGAGAGTGGCCAGGCCAGATGCAATGCTGGATCACAGCCAAGGCCAGCGAGTGGAACAACGCCCCCAAGGTCTGGATCCCTCAGACGGGGATCGAGTCGATCAACAACGGCAAAGCCATCTGCGGCACCCCACTCTTTTGGCAGAAGAACTCGGCCTATCGGGAGGACTACATCAAGAAGAAGGGCGCCACCCCCGGCAAGGCCGTATTGTTCTCGCACATCGAGCTTGATCCCAAGAAGGAACCAGGGCCTGCAGTGCAGATGTTGATCCCACCAGGGGTTGCCAATGACCCCAAGTACGACATCCGCATCTTTTGCTTGCCTCCGAACGACCCCAAAATCCCGAAGGAGCGTATTTCATGGCAGTCCTGGGGTATCAGGGAGTACGGCCAAGAGTGTCGTCCTCAGTCTGGTGGCGGCTCTTCGTCAAGAAGCCCTTCTCCGGTATGTCGTATTTTCCCGGTCCCGCCTGATCGATAACTGATTCCTCTTCAAAGGCTGGGAGCGGAAGTCGAAGCTCAACACCCCCACCCAAGGCCGGTCCCTCGAAAGGTTCGCCCAAACCAGGCTCCAAGTCACCATCGCCTGGCCCCAGCAAGAAAGTGAAGCGCGACTTGTCGTCATATCTCGATTTGGAAACCCGGGCTATGCTCGCTTTGGAGAGACGCGTCTTGCAGCGACGCGCATTGAGACGTGCTCTAGAAGACGAGGTCTACAATTGATAGCTTCGATAGTATTATCTCTGTAGCACAGGTGTTTTGGGAATTAAACCTTCGGTATCATTGATGTCGAGTATGAATTCGCACCTCGTCCATTTGGGGACACTTCTCCTCCTCCGGGTGATTTGCGCTTGCCGTTTCCGGGGTCGCAGCGGTGGGCGAGATTCGATATCGATGCGTCGCTGTAGTCCTTTTGTAGCACCTTCCTTGGAACGTCGACCATGCAAGCACACTTTCCAGGCACTGCCTGCAACTTCCATCATTTGCAGAGGTACTACGGTCGAGCGATCCGAGGCGATGTTCTGAAGGGTGTCGTTGTGATCCACAGAGAATCAACATATAGACGGGTAGGCAGTTCCTGGACAAGTTGAGAACCCCTGTCGAGAGGCCACCACAGACAAGCAAGGTCGGTATGAGAGCGCTGAAAGGCGGCGTCGATACCGAAGGTTAGCCGCCCAGGGTCGGATACCCGTTATACAACATGTAGTTCATAGAGACCCCTACCTGTAGGACGAAGTCCCACCTACAGGTAGGCAATATATCACGTGGATAAATCAGTCATAACACTATCACCTGCCTGATAGACGACAGCGTATCACGAATTAGACATTGGTTATATAGTAGTAACCTAACCGTCGGTACATGTGGTCTGTGGTTCTGTGGAACCACAGACATACAAACATACAAAGGTCTATGGTTCCACAGAACAACGGGCGTACAAGGTCTGCGGTTCCACAGAGCCACGGGCGTACAAGGTCTGCGGTTCCACAAAACAGGAGTGACACGGGGGTCGGGTATACATGGTTCAGTTGAGCCTGTGGTCCAAGGTCTGCGGTTCCACAGAGCCACGGGCGTACAAGGTCTGCGGTTCCACAAAACAGGAGTGACACGGGGTCGGGGGTGCATGGTTCAGCTGAGCCGCAGATCCGAATCTACAATGAGAGGGAAAAGGATTTAGGCGCCCGGGTATACATGGTTCAGTTGAGCCTGTGGTCCAAGGTCTCCGGTTCCANAGANGCACGGGNGTNCAANGTNTGCNGTTCCNCAAANCANGANTGACNCGGGGTCGGGTATACATGGTTCAGCTNANCCTGTGNTCTGTGGTTCCAAGGANCCATCGGTGTGGTANNGATCCTCGGCCTAGCCGTGGAAAACTCCTAACACGCACAATCCGCGCGCGACCGGTCGTGAGATGACATTGGTCAGCAGGCGTATCGATCCGCCTGCTGACCAATGTCATCTCACGCCAAGACAATGGCCGCTGCGGTACCACAGAGACACAGGCGTACAAGGTCTGCGGTTCCACAAAACAGGAGTGACACGGGGTCGGGGGTGCATGGTTCAGCTGAGCCGCAGATCCGAATCTACAATGGGAGGGAAAAGGATTTAGGCGCCCGGGAAAGTCCGCGCGCGGCGTACAGCAGACCGGGGGCTTCCCTTTGCCGCGCATTGCAGACGGTCTCTACTAGCCGTTCTCCACTCAGTTCAAAGTCGGTATATAGGCTTCTTAGGTACCAATAAACATTTTTAGCATAAAAAAAAACGAGTCACGATCCCCCTGGGGACTTTGGTGAGTAAGCCATCGAGTAAGTTATATAGACGTGGCACCTGTGGTTCAGGTGAACCTTAGGGTACTCCCTACGGGTCACCTGAACCACAGGTGGACTTGCGACGGATGAAGGTAGAGCGACACCACAGGTGGACATGGGCACGGGAGGGGGTATTGAGTAGGTTAGACGCACCCGCGGTTCAGGTGGACTGTAGAGGCTCTCCCCTACGGGTCACCTGAACCACAGGTGGATGGATGGTTCACCTGAACCACAGGTGAACATGGGCACGGGAGGGGGTATTGAGTAGGTTGGACGCACCCGCGGTTCAGGTGGACTTGGGATGGATGAAGAAAGGCTTGACATCACTATTCAACGCCCACTCGAAATATAACAGGTGACTTAAGATCTTATGGGGGCACACGTCGAAAGGTATGATATCATTTAGTATTCAACGCCTATTCAAAATATAACAATCTAGTACAGTGCCCCAACTGCTCTTCTCTCCCGCACTCGGTTCCAAACCGACAAAAACACTTTTGAATAGATGATCGCCCTCGTTTGTGACATGTAACTAACCGATTTGCGAATCTTCTTCAGGCCGCCATTACCGCACTCGGCGGCACTGGAATTTATCTTCACTAGCCGTGGATCCACATTGGCATATTCCGAAAGAAACGCAGCGGGGGAGCACTTTGTATGACCGGAGCTGTGAAAATGATCAATAGAAAAGTAAGTGTTCTGGAAAAACTCTGGCTCTCGAAGCATGCAGTAAGGCCCCAGGGAGCAAGCAAAGTCGTAAACAACGTGCTTAGGGGCAACAGGCCAGCGCGTCACCATAGCCGAAAACACATCGTCTCGCCCTTCGCTTTCAGCGATACAGTGGAATCCATAGCAGATACCATGCGTGCACCAGGCCACCATAAGTCCTCCTGTCAGTCGCTGTTCCCCGTACTGCGTGAAATACTTTCCACAATTGTCGCCCCGCTTTGAAGACTTGTCCCTTTGCTGGTCTCCCCTCAGCCCTGGGTATTTGGGTCGATGCCTTATTTGCGGCATACTATACAAGCACCCCGTCTGAGCAGGATTAGCGGGCCTCCATCCAATACTCCAATGATACATTCTCACCTGCTTCCAGTCTCCATCTGCCCCATGGTCTCCAACCGCATCCTGTACATCAGGGAGGGGGTCCTCCACCTTCAACATCGACAGAACCGTGGATGCTCGTTCCATGAGCCACGACATGATGGGAACGAGAGAGGTAATGTCTTCATGTACTTGTACAAGCTTGTAGAGGGCCGGAATCCCGAGGATTTGTGTGGCCGTCTCCTTCGTAGGGTTCGCCATAAACGATCGCAGCGCGTTAAGTGATGAGTTGTTGATAAGCTGAAGCACTGACTCCTCAGCGGCGATCTAAGGTGCAAAGGTGATTGGTTACTCAGGACATCATGAAAAGACAAGTTACGACTGTACCTGAATGAAAAAGCTCTTGTATGCCGCAGGCGTCTTTCTTCGTTGAGCATATGTAGACTCCCCAAAGCTCTCTTCGAAAAGCGCCCCCAGAGCTGGGCAAATCTCCTCCAGACTCTCCTTTACGGTGTTCACCCTGTTCAGGTGCTCCCCGATCGCCTTTAGTTCGCGGCTACGACCTTTGGAAGGCGACGATGTGATCGCGCCTTCTTCTTCAAGCTCGGTGAGTGCGTCCAGGCTTGGGGGGTCTACTGCCAATCGGACCTGCTTTCGAAGAGCAGCATCAAGAATAAGCTGTTGGCGAGGGTTGTACCTGACGTTCCTGCGGACCAAAGACGAATCGGAAACCTTTGTGGGAGGCTTCAGCGTCGAAGTTAGGTGCTTTCTCCCGAACGCCAGCGTTATACCATCCCAAATGACGGTCTCGGGGTAGTCACCGCACCTCGAGCACTTCATATCGCTAGAGAACCCTTGCAACGACACGTAGGAGAACCACACTGTGCGAAACAAGTCCTCCCCCATGAAGCTGTCCCCAGTCGCTCGGTAGCGTCGCGAAAGGTGGAGCACCCACGAGGAGAACGGAGTCTCGGAGCTGGTATACGCACTAGTATATTCGTCCAACAGTTCGTGCGAAACCAGAATAGTGTTGTTGAAGTTGAAGAGGCCTTTCTCGCGAAGATCAGGGCCGATGAATCGACGACGAGAGGGTGGGCATCGCGGGCAAGGCTGAAGCTGGATGAGATGGACAAGTACCCCGCAAAGCGTGTAGATCTTGCATTGACGCAGTTCTGACGGTCGTCCCTCGTCATAGAACGTTCTCCCCTCGGGACAAGGGCAAGATGATTGGGAGTCCAGGAGGAACGGATGATCAGGGGGAGAGCGGAAGGGTGGTGGTGTAGGGTAGTGGAGGGGGTCGCTGGGCAAAGACGCCCATGTAGGAACGTTGATCGGGAGGTGGGATACCTGCCCACAGCGACTACCGACTAACATCGTCTTCAGTGCCAGGTTTCAGGAATGTGTGTATTGTTGCTCACCAAGTTCGTTTACAGGACTACCCGCAGCACGACCATTGTGGCTGCCCATGACTCCATCGCCCTCACCATCTCCTACTACTTGCCAAACACGTCGTATGTGAACACAGGTTCCGGTCCCCGGATCCTTGGAGCAACGCCATGACCCACTCCAACTCCCAGGGGCGCCGACGTGCTTGACAAATGCGCGACCTTTCAAGGCGGAACTCGATGCAGAGAGAACAGAGAAGTAGGAAGCCACATTGTCATTTTGAACGGCGTTCTGTAGGAACATAATTGCTAGGGAAGGCTCAGCTGACCATCAGTTAGGTTACGGAGACTCTTGCATCCTCTAAGAAGACCTTTAAACGTACAGTTTTGATTACCCCCAAACTCTAGCAAGGACTCGACATCGTACTTGACGAAGAATTGCGCGTGAATACAGGTACTATCCAGGCCGCTCGGACAAGTGCAAGCCACGAGTATTGGATCCACATCGCCCATCAGAACCTTGTACTCCAGGTGGTACCAGTTATCCTTCCACTTTCTCAGTTTTGCGATGATGTGACCAATTTGAGTAGACTTACCACAGAATGACCCTTCTCTACATCCCACCCTTGCACCGCAAATAGCTTTCCTTCCAGGTGGTAGAACCCAGCAACATGCGCAGTGACGGCATCGACATATGTGTCGATACGATCGGCGGCGATCTCGGACGAGATAGTGGCAGAGTCCATATCGGGTTCAATTACCTCGTGATCATCAAGTTGAAGATCGAGCGCTTGGGTTGGTTCCACATCGATGTCCTCCCCAACCATGTCTGGTTGCTCCTGGGGCCTGGGCCGTTGCTGGCGGCTCTTTCGTGGGCGGGGCTGAAACTTCAGTGTGCGCTGGGCTTTCGTAGGTGAGTCCCATTCCTCATTTCTGGCTGCTTCGAGCAAAGCTGATGGATAACCAGATGATGCATCTTCGTCGCTGTCGTCCCAATTAACAACCCTTTTTCGTCGGCTCATTTCCTTGCTAGGTGCACGTTGGTTGGGAAGAGAAAGGGTATCTGGAACAATCAGTAAAAAAGATGAGTCATCCCTGCCCCCCTAAAAAGGTTTCCACTGGCTAAAAACCGGCGTGAAGCGTCGGCTACCCACCGCGGCAGATCTCTCCATTTCACCTCACCTGCCGCAGCCCTGAATTGCCAAGTGCTCTCACGTTCTTCGGACAACTCAAAAACACGCCGTTCTCCTGCTGCCTACCCCCATCCCCTTCCCTACGATGGCTCAGACTCGTTCCAAGTCCGCTTCCCCGAAGAAGAAAGCGAGCACCCCTCGCAGTCCGGTGGCCCTCGGGCAGGTGAAGCCAAAGCCCTCCAGGAAGCCTAGGCAATGTCAGAGGTGTCCCGGTCGCCCTCTGCTGTCCACTTGCGAGCATCGATATCGCAAACGCTCGGTCCCAGCAGCCTCAGTGAGTAAACACTAATTCTCCTCTTTTCCCGTGTATTGATCTACATTTTGTGCTCTTTTGCACGTCGAACAAGGACAACACCTTGCCTGTGGTCCACCCTACTAACCAAGGGCCTCTATCGACTGCCTCCCAGCCTCAGGACCCGTTCATGCAAGTTATCGACCCCGTACTTCTCCGAGAAGATCAGGAAGTCCGTGCCCAAGCGTCTGGCGGGGTCATTTCGGGTGCGAAGATGTTGCCTGCAAGTGCTAGTAAGTTTTATGTTCCCCAACATGGCCAATAAATTTTATAACACCTCTGCAGCTAATGCCCTCGCGTCTTCAAGCCCTACAGCTCCTCCTAGTCCTCGTGCTCCGTCAACCACCCCTCCAGGCTCCCCCAGTGGCATGTCCCCACTTACACCCCGCCGTTTTTCAACACCTCCACGAGTTGTGAAACGCACACAGCCCTCTGGAGTTAACCCCAAGTGGGGCAAGGTCCAGGGTGCTGGTCGCGGAAACGATGTGTGGGGTGAGTGTCCAATATTCAAGTCCTGTGTATCTCCCGCTAACGGCGTCCAATGTACATTTCTCAGAGGTCCACCGCGTTCGTGAGCTCAAGCCTCCCATCAAGGACCAGGCCTTGGCCACTCGAAAGCTTGAACGATGGACCGTCGACCTCATTTCTCGCGTAAGCCCTCTCGTCTTTTTCAAAGGTTCCATGACTGATCTGACCTTAACCGTTAGGCCGAGGCCGTTTCGACGCGCACTGGCTGTTGGCTTTACCTGGCCATACAGCATCCGTCGTCCAAGACTCCCTTCACCCACTTCACTTCTCGGAAGCTTCGCAATGACGCCGCGAGCGATGTCGAGCTCATTCACAAGCAGGTCCGTCATACAATGAACTCCCTCACCCGTGGCCACAAGCGAAGCATGTTCGAGGCTGAGAAGGAGCTGGAGGTGGCGAATGCCAAGGCCAGCAGTGCCACCAAGCGGGCAGAGCGTGCGGAGGAGGAGCTTCTTCGCCTCAAACGTATCTTGGTCGCTCAGGGTATCCGCGTCGACGAGTAGATGTAAAGGTTTTTGTATTCTCATCCCAATATCTCGTACAAACAAGCCCCTGTAGCTTGTTATTAATAAATGAATGCCGGTTTATCTTTGATAGTGAGTGAGATCGAAAAAGTTTATTGTTGGAACTCTAGCTGGTTTGTATTGAACGCATGTACGAACTCTTGGGCGTCACTGAAAAGGTACGTTTCCATGTCATCAATCCATCCTTGTACACGGTCGATTTCCTCCAGATATCCGTCAATCTTGCGCAAGATATCTTCAACCCCTCTGAATTGAAGAATTTCGTCTTTAGAGGACTTTATTGTATGCCTCCAAGGCTGAAACTTGGCCGTTTGACGACAGAGGTAATCTCGGATATGGCGACAACCTTCCCCATTCCTGAGGAGTGCGAGGACTTGGTGGGACATGGATTGCGCATACCGGACTCCATCTTTCCCAATGTTTTTAAGGAAAGATTGGAATGCCGACTTTGCCCTTTCGATATGCTTTTGAAGTTCTTCTAAGTCTCTGTAAGAAGCCAACTTAATCAGTACTTGCGACTCACGCAGATGAGGCCGCATCATTGACGTACTCGTCTCTCTTTTTGGAACTGCTATTGTCGGGGGAGGGAGGGAGGTTGGACCCACTATTGCCTCTGTTAAATGGTAGGTGGTTAGCAGACTGAGCTGGCCAATCTACAAGCGTAACATGTTCTGTACCGTCTGGACTTCGTCTTTCTTCTTTCCCTTCGGCGCTCGTTAATGAGTCCCTTATTTCTGAGTGTGTTTTTTTGGCAAATCTAGGGATGCTGGTCGACCAGAGAGAGATGCACAGTTACCTTTCATAATACCGTTTATTCTTTAGTCGATTGGCTTCTTTTTGCTCGGCTTTGGTCCGGTATTTCCTTGCGCGAGCCATCGAGTAAGTGGGAGTGTGAGTGAAAGTATGATGGAGTTGGGGTCCTCTTAGGCGCCACGGTCTGACTTTTTACTGGGCTCAGGTACATTCAAAATTCCAACAAGAAACCCTACGTATGTCTGGCTGGAGCATCATTCACCCTTTTTCGAAGCCATAAAGCATGTCCTTCAGTGTATATACCAGGTTTCTTGTGGGAGGAGGAGACCTCGGCATAACGGCTTCAAGTTTCGGGAATAACCGAAACCCATCAGTCGCGCCTCATACCTCTCGCGACACCCTTGCCTTTCCTTATCTCTCTCGCAACGCCCTACTGTCTGCAAGCCTCGTCGTCATCCATCCATGGACACCCTCCCAGAATCCTTCATTCTTTCTTTTGATAGTCCCCTCGGGGAAGTCCCCCTAACATCGTCAGTCCCAAACACACCAACTGATCGTGTCTCCTTCACCCGAAGGGAATTACGTCGTAACCTCACCCGCCTCGAGCTTCATCGTTGGGCACTGTCGAACCTTGTCAAAGGCTGGTACTTGGATGATTCGGGATTCTATCGTCGGAACCGAGGTACGTGGCACACCTTGCATTACACTCACCAATATCTGACCCTTACCCGTCCAACCAGCAACGGGAATACCAGGTTCGGGGCTACAAATTCTTTTTCTATACATCCCAAACTAACATACGTATTTTAGACAAGTCCGTTAAGCTGGGGGAGGCCGATCTTCTTGCAGATTGGAACCTTCATTTGGTGATCGCTCATGGTGGTTGGCACGGATTTGAACGGGATCTGCGAACACGGATCGAAGAACTTCTGAGGTCGAAGAGGTCGGTCGACGAGCAGTTTTCCGAAGGGGTCAAGCTCAGAGGGAGCTACAATCTCCCCACTCGTGTGCCCTCGATGATTAACGACTCAGGGATAATCACCGAATGTGATTTTCCTTTCATGTTGGACGACTACAGCGACGAGGAGGTGCGGGTGATGCGGTTCATCGAGGAGCATGCGAAGAAAGTCTACTTGGAGGGTGGAGGATCAGTCTCGTCTTAGGGTTCAGTAGTAGACTGGTGTAGTTTAGTTTCTTTGTACAATCTCTCGCTTTTTCTCCCTGGTTTGAGGCGACTATGGGGTACTTTTTGTGAATTTGCCACTTGAAACTCGTTTGACCCCCAAAAAAACCTGTCCCGATTAGGCAATGGATCGTTTTGCGCCGACCTTGATCCGGTCTTTGATCGTGGGAAGCAACCTGGAAACTTTCACCAAGAAGGCTGCCCCTATCCCTTTTCGGTATGTTTTCCGCCTTCACCACATGGTCTTCCCATCGGCGATTGCTCTATGCGTACCGGTGACGCGACCGGAGCGATGGAATGCATTCCTTCAAGGTAACATATCGGGTTTTGGGATAGGTCAAGAAATTGAAAACAGACCGGCCGCCCCGATCGTATCCATGGGTAAGAGAAAAAGCTCGGATAACGCGCAATAACTGTGTTCCGGGCTGGGCGATAAGGATAGGGGGTGAGACTGGCAGGAGTAAGGCAAGTCGGGTAGTCCATATATTTTATTTCTTCACTCATATCGTTTACTCCTCGGCCACTTCAGAGCCAGTACCTGAAGAGAGCCAACACCTGATCCACGTATATCAGACGCTGGATTTCAGATCGCGCGCTCTGAGATCGCCATGAAATCACGGTAAAAAACCTACATGTCAGATCGGGCCATGAAGGAATCTCGCCGGATCGTAGGCATGTGGCCACCTTGCTTGGCCAGGGACATATGATTCACAAATTCACGAATTCGGTCTGGGGTGTCACATGGTCCCGTATGCGCCTGGGGTTTTGGTGAACTCTACGCGGCACCTCTGGTTTCATTGAACTGTCACTAAGCTCTCTGGTTCTACTGGACCACACCGAATTCTCCTCTGGTTCCCTTGAATCGCACACAGCAAACTAGACATGCCCCCAAAGAGAACAGCCACTATTCCAACGGCTCCCGAGTTTCCGCCTCCAAAGACACTTGGTACGCCGCTCCCTTTGGTTTTCTTTTTTCGTTTTCGTTTTTTCTTTTGTTTTTTTTGGATTTCATAGAGCCTGACAACATCACTTTCAATAGACGAGTTCCAAAAGGCTATCATAGTCACTGAAGACTGGATCCGGGAGCTCGAGGCGTCGAAGGCTCTTGCGATCGCTGATCGCACAAAGACTGCAAGTATGTTTAGGCGTCCGATGGTACTACGATAGATTGCTCACCTATCGTTTCACCCAGAGAACAAGCGCGCTGGCAAAACACAGATTATCAACTCCATTGCCCTCTCTATCGAGGAGGGCAATGCCCGGCTTGAGGGTCTGCGCCAGGGTCTCGCGTCTGTGGGGGTTGGTGAAGACTCCCCAAAGCGAGATATGGTCCCACAGAACACGGCGTCGCTGCTGACGCACTTTGGTGAAGAGGATGCTCGTAAGTTTCCTTTAACTAATCCTGAGTTGATGCTTACCTGGAAACTCAGAAGGCGAGCCCGACCCTTCCTACACGCAACCTGCACTTGCGCGTGAAGTCCCAGGTTCCACAGGCAGCGTCAAAGATAATACCCCAGACCCCTCCTTAAGTAATCTGGGAAACAAGGGCGAAGGGCACGAGGGGACACAGTCCCCAGATCAGACGTTGGACCACGAGGGCCTGGAGGATTTGAAGAAAGGGGAGGAGGAAAAACTGGACGGTGAGTCGCCAGCTGCACCTTGATGGTTGAATGCTAACGGCTGGTGCGTGCAGCAACCGTCGCCGAGACCAACTGGGACCTTTACACCGAAATCGCGATGCTTGTCGACGAGGACAGGGCGGCATCTTCCTTGAGTGCGGAAGGCCTCACTGCGTACCTTAACTGCATACTTCTGTCGATCGAAAACGACTTTGAGGTAGCCGACGACAACATTGACAAGGACCCTCGGCTTGTTGAAATCCTCGAAGGTATGTATTATGTTTTAAGATTCATGACAGTCGGCTGAAGGCATCGTTAGGGAACAAAAACGTCTTAAGCGTTTGGGGATGGAGGCTGTACCTCAAAGTGAGGAAGGTCGTTGACAAGTACCAGGAGATGGGTCGCCTGGCCCATGTGAAGCGTACCGACCTTCTCCGGCGACTGGGGAAATCTATTTGGACAAACCAGGACCACGATCCAGAGGATGGTTTGCTGAAGATGAGAGACATGGGGGACGAGGGGGAGGAGGACGAGGAGGACGTGGACGAGGAGGAGGACGAGGAGGAGGAGGAGGAGGACCGCCGAACGGGTAGGCCCAAGGCGACAACCAGGATTGGGTCGTTGACCCGTGAGGAGGTCATCAAGCAGCGCTACGGCGAGTCCTTTGCTTTCTATCCATTGCCGCCAACTAACAGATCACTCTAACTGTAGAGAACGCATTTAACGCGCTATGCAACGCACTCTGCATGGAGGTCGACATCCCTAATGGTGCTAGGTTTGATGCGCGTCGCTTTGCGGAGTTTTTGGCGGGGTATGGGACGTCTTCGATTCTAATTGCAATGGAGACATTCATCGTTCGGAGGGGGGTCACCCGTTGCCACTACCACACGCTCTCGGACAAGTCCTCCAAGAAGAACGACTCCACGCGCGAGGGGGTCACCGGTGTCCCATACAGCCCCACGAAGACTGTCTTCGCATCCCGCAGGCTCCTGCGCGCCGTCCCCGACCGACTTCCTGACCAAGTGGGCCTCATGCCGCGATCGGTTGAGCAGCCGGAACAAGGTCCCAGTTCAATCAATGGGGTCACATTCCACGAGCTGTGCAACTTCTTCCCTCGTGCTGCAGACGGTCGACGATATCTCCATTGTGGCTGCGATCTTCAAGACGCCCTGACCGACTTCTTCTTCTGGAAGGCCTTCCCCTACATCTCGTCGCGTTCCAAGGGCACTGAGGAGCTTTTTGGAATGCCAGTGCCACCACGGATTAGGGATGGTCAAGGGGTTTTAAAACCCCCAGGGTAGAGGCCAGGGGTAGAGCGGGGGTAGGGGTAAGGGTAGGTCTCCGGCTACCCTTGGCCAAACCCCACCCCTGGTCGGGGGTAAGGGTTTTGATAAAAACAAAACAAAACCTATTTATTTCAACATCTATGTATTGTATCTACTAAACAACTGCTGTATGTGTGATATAGCACATAAAAATATCCATATAGACTACTATAACTAAAGGTTAGTGCCAAAATACTTAAAACCCTTGGTCAAAACCCTCAGGGTTGAGGGGTAAGGGTACTACCCCTACCCCTCAGTCAGGGGTAGGGGTTTTGGGGGGTGGGGGTAAGGGTAGGTGTCCGGCTACCCGGGGGTTACCCCTGTCCTTCCCTACCACGGATCCGGACTTGGTTCTGCAGGATCCTCGAGGAACTTGGAATCAATGTCCAGGACCTGTATGCCTATGACCACACTGGCAATTTCCGCACTCGCGAAGAGGTTGTGAAGGCCAGAATCGCTCGTCTTTGGGATTTGATTGCTGAGGATGCGGAGAAAGCCTTAGTTTTGAAGCCGAAGAGGCGGCGGGAGGAGGAAGACGCTCGTTCACACTCTGAGCAGGAACGGGCGGCTTCGTCACGTCAAAAGCAGGATCTTTGCGCATCCTCTTCCGTTGCTCAATCACTGGCTGCTTGTTTTTGTCATCGTTTTCGGTTTTTGTTTCGGGTTTTCTTTTTTTTGTGGTATACATATTGTAAGATTACCGTGTCCCACCCTGGCTGTCTCTGTGTGTTTGAAAGAAAAGCGAGGATGCGAATGAGTTGAAAAACTAGGTTTGACTAATCTATCGTTCAGGTGAACCGCAGACGGAATATCTTAATCGACGTTATCCACATACACACATTGATCTGTGGAAACTCTAGAGCTCATCTCATGCCTTGGTTCAGTTGAACTGTAGAGGACGGCGTCTACGGTTCACCTGAACCACAGGGCGTTCTAGATGGAGAAGAGCGCGACAAAAAATAGAAGTCCCTCTGCGGTTCAGGTGAGCCGTAGACACCATCGGCTAGGGTTCACCTGAACCGCAGGTGCGTTCTACCTTTGTCGGACTTGTCTCAGTCTCACCTACAGTTCACGTGAGCCGTAGACGCCAACGCCTACGGCTCACCACAGACTTGTTCTACCTTGAGTCGGGCTCTTCTTCTGTCAGTCCCTCGGTGGTTCAGGTGAGCCTTAGACAGCCACACCTACGGTTCAGGTGGTGAGACTGACTTGTGTGGTTCAGGTGAGCCGTAGACCTTGAGTCGGGCTCTTCTTCTGTCAGTCCCTCGGTGGTTCAGGCGAGCCGTATACAGCAACACGTACGGTTCACCTGAACCATAGACGATAGGTGAGACTGACTTGTGTGGTTCAGGTGAGCCGCAGACACCAACGCCTACGGCTCACCTGAACCACAGACTTGTTCTACCTTGAGTCAGGTCTAAGTCCCTCTGTGGTTCAGGTAAACCGTAGGCGTTGGTGGTTCACCTGAGCCACAGCGGTGTTCTACCTTTTGTCGGGCACTTCTCCCTCTCAAAGTAGGTAGAACACCGCTGTGGTTCAAGTGAGCCATATATACCAACGTCTAGGGTTCATCTGAACCACGGACGTGTTCTACATCTCCATGTCAAGTCCCTCTGTGGTTCAAGTAAGCCATAGACACCATCGCCTAGGGTTCACCTGAACCGCAGCAGCATTCTCCTTTGTCGGGCTTTTCTCATCGCATACGGTTCACCTGAACGGCAGAGGCGTCTATAAGGTTCACGTGAACCACAGGTGAGACTGACCTGCATGGTTCAATTGAACCGTACCGGAAGGCGTCTACGGCTCACCCGAGCCACAGGTGCGTTAGGTGCGTTCTTTGTCGGGCTTTTCTCGTCGCCTACGGTTCACCTGAACGGCAGATGCGTCTATAACGTTCACCTTGCTTTTGTTGATCCCACTAGACGCCACCGTCTATGGTCCACCTGAACCACAGATGTCACGCTTCTGTACATTTGAGGGCACCTCAACGGAGAGTGACCTTCGATGAATCTGTGGTTCAGCTGAACCGTAGGTGAGGACTTAAAAGTTCAGGTGGACCGTAGGGTAAGACGTCTAGGGCAGAGCAGAACCGTAGGTACGCCTCATGTTGCTCAGCTAAACCGTAGAGCCTCCATAAACCACCTACCACCTATCGTCTAGATTCAGTGGAACGGCCTATATGATTCCGTGACCCCATAGTGGGCACCTCAACGATGAATCTGTGGTTCAGCTGAACCGTAGGTGTGAACCTCTAGGGCTCAGCTGGACCGTAGGCGAAGACCTCTAGGGCTCAGCTTAACTGCAGGTGAAGACGTCTAGGCTTCAGCTGAACCGTAGGGACACCCTCGTATTGTTCAGCTGAACCGTAGAGGCCCGATAAACCACCTACCTATCGTCTAGATTCAGTGGAACAGCGTATATGATTCGGTGACCCATAGCCTATAGGGTGGGCACCTCAACGATGAATCTGTGGTTCAGCTGAACCGTAGGTGTGACCCTCAAGGGTTCAGCTGGACCGTAGGCGAAGACTTCTAGGGCTCAGCTGAACCGTAGACGTCTTCACCTGCGGTTCAGCTGAACCGTAGACGTCTTCACCTGCGGTTCAGCTGAACCGTAGACGTCTTCACCTGCGGTTCAGCTGAACCGTAGGGACGCCCTCGTGTTGTTCAGCTGAACCGTAGAGCCTCCATAAACCACCGACCTATCGTCTAGATTCAGTTGAACGGCCTATGTATATGATTCGGTGGCGATATCGATGCTCCGTGGTTTAGTTCAACTGTACTAGTGTAATACTAACCTATTCATTGTATTGTCATTGAATTACAGGACTTTATGTTGAATCACGTGCATAACCTACAGGTAGGGGTCGGCTCGTCCTACAGGTAGGTGTCGCTATGTACTACATAGCATCCAGCGGCTGCCCCCCCAGGGTTCTATTCGCCAGAAGCCATCTCGCGATGCCAGAAACGACTGTAGAATTTGTTATTCGTATAGTTTGGCTTGGGCTGTGTAGATGAACGACAGAGAAGCGCTTGTTATATGGAGGAACGAGGAAGATGAGCAAGAAGAACGAAGACGAGCAAAACGAACCTCGGCTGCCCCAGCGCTGAAAATGGATCAGCCATCCTGAGCTCGAGTTCGAACCTCGGTCGTCGCACAAATGACAATGTTCCGCTGGCCATCAAAGACAGAAATCTGGATGGAATCCAATGTCCAACAAAACAGCAGTTACAATAAGTATATGGATTAGCGTGTACAGCAAACAGCAAACACAACTACAAGAAGGATGATCAACGTCTATGTGGTGTCTAGTAGAGGTCGTTAGAATAACTTAAAGCAATCTACGAGGGGTCGGGTTAACGTCTATTCAGTCTATCGCCCCTCACATCTCCTCAACGAACGCGTTCACACCTCAACGAACCCACTTCATATCTCAGCGAATCCCCTCACCCCCTCCCAAACCCTGACACCCCCCTCATACCCCACCAACCCCCTCCACTCCTCCCTCAACCTCACCCGCACAATCCGAGTCGACGTGCAAAACACACTCGTACTCGGCAGGAACTGGCGCGACTGCAGATCCGGATTTCGCGGTACCGGTTCTCGAGGTACCTCGGGACCGGGCTGGCTAGGTCGAGGTTCAGAGGACTGAAAATCGGGTTGACCCAATTTCGAGACAGGTTTCGAATTCGAGAATTTGGCGGTGTTAAGTTGGGGAGGTGTGAAGATTCCGTTCATATACACCTGTGCTCCCCCCTTCTCGTCTCCTGCCTCCCCATCCAGACCAACAACATCCACCTCCTCATCTTCCCCTTCAGCCAGGGGTTTGACAGGCCGAATAACCCGCACCTCGTACTCATCATGCAACTTCCACATTAAACGATGAACCGGCGTATACCCCTCCTCGTCCTCGCCTTCGAAACGGGGTAGCGTAGTCGAGTGGTCCTCGGTCGTCGTCGATGTAGCTGACTCGTCCATCGCAGTTGGCGCAGTCGAGTCGTCCGCCGAAGTCGTGTTTCCTTCCAGGCTGCCAACTGGACGAAGAGGTTCGACATCCACCCGAGAATTGTCAGCCTCGTCTCTCGAACCTTCCTGCGCAACCTCCGGCCCTCCGTGACCTTCAACCCGCCTCTCACCCCTATCTTTCATTCCGCCATCCCAATGCTCGTCCTTCAGCCCACGCTCATCGCCACCCTCCGCTGAATGCACCACCTTACCCTCCACCCGAGACAAATCCTCCTCAACACCAACTGAAGGCCGAACCGTCGCACAGGGCGAGAGAACCGAAGGAGAAGTGGGGTCGAGGTTTAGTCGAGCTGTGGTGGTCGGGGGATCCAGGGCGTCGGACCCAGGAGCGTTCTCACCAGGAGGCGCAGGCTGAGATTCCACCATACGTTCTTCCTCCCCCACGACTCTCTCCTCCACGACCTCACTCTCCCCATCCTCACCTCCTTCTCTACCCAGTCCAGAACACCCTCCAGCACCGCCCCCAATCTCCTGCACAACCAGATAACACAACGCCATCGACATAACGTCCACCATACACTCCTCGTTAGACGCAAGGAGTAGCGTAATGGGCTCTTCCGAGTCCTCTCCTCCTCTTCCTTCCCGCTCTCGTACATCCCCAGACACTGACCGTGACGACAACACCACACCCATAAACTTACACCCCTCCTTCATCTGCTCAACCGACAGCCGTGTACAGCCCCTCGCAATCTCAATTGGTTCACCCCCTTTGCGTTTGGACGCGAGCGATGAAAGGGAGGGCACCGTAAGACATAAGTTTTGTAGTGAGCCGTTGGGAGGTGGAGGTGGGGGTTTGGACGATGATAGCGCCGGTGACGACGCTGTTGGCGAGGAAGATAGAGAGTCGGTTTCGTCTATCGTGAGTATGCCGCGTATCCTCCTCCTTTTCTTCGTCGGGTGTGTTGAGTGAGAAAGGGTGTCGATTTCCCGTTCGACGTCCTCCCAGATGTTCGTCGTGGCATTCTGCGAAACCGACCCTCCATCCCATCCTTTCCGCCCTCTCCATTCCTCCTCATTTCCATCTCCACCTTTCTCCTCCTCAGTATTACCCTTTCGACACCGCAACCGGATATCTTCATCACACACCCCAATCCATACGCCCCTCCCGACCTCTTGCAGCTTCATCCTCTCGCGCAAGGGTTCACGCTGATCGACCCTCTTCGAGACCGAAACCGATGTCGACCGATAGCCAGGAGGAACAGACCGCGGCGGGCGACTACTGTCCAACCTTGGATGTGGATGTCCATATCCATTCGCTAATCCATCCTCCCCTCCATCTTCACGCAAACTCCCAATCCTCTCTAAGGAAAACCCACGTCTATCACGGCCTCTAACTTCCTCCTCCCTACCCCCAAGTCCCTCGTCGTCGTTATAGTCGTCGTTGGATAGGCTACGTCGGAGTGTGCTCACTCCCTGCGAGACACTCCTCGGCGTCCGGCGATCGATGTACGCCCGTTTATACGAAGCCTGGATCGTCTTCCTGCGTCTGGGGAGGTTGCCGACATGCGGCTGCAGATGCTGCGAGGTCGTGCTATCCTTCGTCAACGGTCCTGCACCAGGCGTGGCTTGAGGTTCAGGGATAGTCATCGATGCAAGAAGAGGATTAGACTCGAGTTGTGGTGTCCTTGGAGCGTTGAACGAAGGACCGAGCAGGCGCTCGAGGGTGTACGCATAGCTCGGCCGCATCTTCCCCCTTTCGAGCGCGCTGAGGAGTTCTTTTTGTGCGTTTGCGCGGTGGACGCTCTCGGTTTCGTGGAGGAATCCGTCTTCGGTTTTGTTGGAATCGAAGTCGGTTTCTGCGTCGTCGTCGTCGTCGGCTTCAGGTTCCTCTGGAGCCGGGGCATGATGCGGGTTCTCGTCCTGCGTCGAAGGCTGGGGCTGGGGACTCTCCTGCGCCTCGTCCACCTTGCCGACCTCCATCCTCGTCCGACTGCGAGAACTTCGCGCCCAACTACTGCTGCTGCTACTCCTACTTCGCCTTCTGCTCCTACTCCGACTGACGACCCTCATCCTTGTGCGACGCGGTAAATGGCTATGGTGCGGTTCCACAAAGCCCCGTCCGCTCATCTTGGCTGATTGACTTGTATGAGGGGCGGTGGCGATTTGGAGGGGTGGTCCTTTGCGGGCTGAGGCGACGTTGTTAAAGGGGTTTGGGAGGGAGGAAGGGGGAGGTGGAGGAGCGATGGAGAGGTTTAGGTGGTTTCGGGTGGGGTTAGTGGGTGTATCGTTGGTTTCGGGGTTGTGGGCGGTTGACTGATTGAGTCCATCGTCGATGTATAATAGAATTTCAGCGCATCGAAAAGGAAATCGTTAGTGAAGATAATGAAAGAAGATGAGGAAGCGTACGTCGGGTTCAGCTGATATACGGATTTCTTTCTCGTCAGTGGTGTTAGGATCGGGGATGTGGATGATGAGCGTCGAAGTGCTGGCTGTCGTTAGTGAGAACGGCGAGTCCATCGTCTGTTGTTTCGTCGTCGTGGGCGTCAGCGTCTGGGAGAGATAACGGTCAACATCTCTAGCTGATTGCGACAGAAAGACAACGTACCAAATAGTCTGCAATAGATAGTCTTTCTCTCCTTCTCTACGGATGTCTTCAAATCCTCTGCTTTCCTAGCACCAATAAATCGAATACCCAACACTCTTATACCAGTCACAAATCGGAGAGGAAGAAGGAAAAAAAAAACGCTGCAACGAGGCGAACACGTTTCGTGCGCCAGTAAATGAAGGGAACCAAAAAAGAAAGGGCAAAAGGGAAACGTTCGCCCTTTGCTTTGCTCCACTCTTCACTTTAGTCACAACCCCGAAAAGGTTAGGAAGAAGGAAACGATTGTATAGGAGTTTCCTAAAGACCGACACCCGAGTACGTCAGTGGGTTCTGAGACAGTGCCTGCTTTGTTGGTGATAATCAATTTCGTGGGAGCTGGGTGATCCGTGTTCGCACGGATGAAAGGATCCGGCGTCTTCTTGGCTTTCTCTCCGCGACGACCATGCAACTTTTATCTATTTCTTTTCTTTTACTTTTGGCTCGAAATCATGCAAGGCGTGTCGATTTCAAATGAGAAGCCATGCGACATATGGCCCTCCTGATACCACCTAACGCAAAGAAACCGACGAAAGGAAAATTGGCTTGAATACCCCGTCCTGTGCTCCAGCAAGACGAGATCCTGGAACTCTCTCAGCCGTTCCGTCCGTGTTATATCCATCCACGCACTCGCACCAACGCTATCGGGCTCCTAATCGCGATTGTCGTAACAAATCTAGCCGAATAATTATTGATGTCACGCAGCAGTGCATGAAAGCAGCCACGGTCAGCTCATCCTCGCGCAGTTGTTATACTTGTTGACCAACACATAGACTTAGAGGACGAAGTTAATGAAGACGACGACAGCGACTTCGACATCGCCATCGAACCCGTTCAACCCTGGGAACGACCAACGAAGATGAGAGCAGCGGTATCCCCTCAATACGCGAGCCCCAAACCCACCGTGGACTACCAGACACTCATCTCGACGGTGTTCTAGGTATGGTCACTGGTCTCTAAACGGACGTCGAAAAGGCTGTATTCCTCGTTGTACCTCCGACCCACTCCTCCATCCGTCCAGCATCACCGTTCTGTTCTCTCGCCTGGTATGCTATTCGACCTCAAGCGCTATTCGCAACTACACCATTCCTCCACGTCCGCCCGACTCTAACGCTCATTTACATAACGGCCAAGCCCAGGACATTTCCCTGTCGGACACTCGCGAGATCTATCACGCGCCTACCTCACTTCGCTGTCGGTCCTCTCGCCTTGTTCGGATGGTAGAGAGGAGGTTGCAACCCCGATCATCGATCGCTGTCCGCCCTCGCGTAGGTCACCACGCTTAATACGGCTGGGGAGACCAGGTCCGTAATACTGTCAGTTTCTACCGAGCACGAGTGCGGTTTTTGTACACCGTACCCAAATCGTCCGCGTGAGTTGTGCAAGGGAGGAGTGGAGCAGGCTGGTTGGGTACGAGGGTGGTGTGAGGGTTTGGGAGGAGGCACGAGGGTGTTTGCGGGCAGTGAGTGATGGTGTTCTTGTTGGTATGGGGGAAGGTGCTCGTTGAGGAGCTGTGACGGCGTTGGAAGGGGCAAACGTTGCTGTTGCCCTGAACCTTCTCGATGATTTAACGTAGTTGTGTTTGCTTCTGTACGTGCTAATTCATTCGTGCACTGCAAATACTGTGTCTAACGCTGGATAACGGCTTCCATCCAAGGCAGTCATTGAGTTTACAAACCTTGCGGATTGCGAAATTCGAATTGATGGCATCATCCAGGGCTAGGACAAACCCGCCTCTTCTTCCTTGTTCCTCTCCGTCCTCGTTTCCTCATCATAACCGGTCAATTCTGTCCTTCTTTCGACACCGCCCAAGCCAAAAAATAAACGAGTAACGAACGTCACTGCCATTTCCGACATGGCGACACTGGTTCTGGCGAATAGCACCCTGGGCGTCTAGCATCTGTATTGGAAAGCCTCGTGTCGACACCGCCTTGCAGTGCTCACAGCACAATCATGACATTCCATAAGACGGCTAACCCACCTGGTACTGGCGTGGCTTTTGCATTAACTTGGTGCTCAATGGCTAGAGCCGTGACCAGCGAGGACGATGTCAACCTCGATGGGAAGGTGTGGGACCCGTGCTTCCGGCGCGGCGAACCACGAGAACATGGCTGCCTCATCATCAATGACAATGCATTGGGCGTGGCGCACGTTGTATTCTCACCATTTTCATTTATTCACTTCTCTCACAGCCTTCTCGATTCGTGTCAACTGTGAGTCCTCCCTCTCCTGTTCTGAACTTGTCCCTTGTCCTGTCACTACGTATACCGTGCTAATCGAATCTGGTGAACGTTTAGATTTGTCATGGCTTGTCCGAGAGGTCTAGGGCGAGAAATCCCTCTTGGGACAGCTTCGAGCAGAAGAGAGCGCTCGGGATCTTCAGCGTCAATCTTGGTCAGGTGAATCATGATCTATGATATACCGTTGCTTGGGGTTAGCCTCATGTCAGTTGTACAGCAGTCAAGTCCCGTGGAAGTACAGGCATCAGCACAGCTTACGTTCTGTATATAAAGGCTCAGGGAAGGCAGGCCGCCCGTTCGCTTCTTTATTTCCCACCCGCCTCTGGCGCTGTTTCGACATACTTAAGGTGAGTTCTTTACACTCTACGAGTCCTTTGCTCTGATGGCTTCGGCAGAATGGCGGTGGAGCCAAGGAATCCCGCTCCAGTAGTAGAGGCCCTGCCCACTACAATTAATCTACAGGCAGACAGCCAGGTCCATAGCGGCGGCATTGTGACAAGTGGACCTGTCACCCAAAACATCATAAACAATAACTACCCTCCTGCACCACCACCTCCGGCAAAGGATGACGAGAATGGTGAGCATGACCGATGGAACGTCAAATCTGCTATTAGTATTAAGAGCTCACCTGGTGCGCAGCGAAACTGGTTGCAGAAATCATGGATTGGCTCAAAGCCAAAGTGAACTTTCGAGCTATCCACAGCGACGTGAAGAAGAAGCGGGCTAAGGGCACGGGAGACTGGTTCATCAACAGCGACGAGTACCGAGAGTGGAAAACTGGCGAGGGCTCCGTTCTCTGCGCGACTGGCATCCGTGAGTCCCATGTTCAATATGTCGCTACCATATCTAACACCAACGTTTAGCCGGCGCTGGAAAAACGACGTTGATGTGAGTCTCATTCTCAAGGCGGGCGTCTTGCGATACTGAAAGTCCCTCACAGGTCGCGTGTTATCGATGATCTACTGCTCGACGAGTCCAGCAACCCAAACATCTGCGTCCTCTTCATCTACAACCGCTACGACGATCTGCTATCCACAGCCGAGATTCTGAAGGGTTTGGTTCTTCAAGCTACTCAGAAACAAAACCGACAGTTCTTGGACGCTGTCAAGTCGATCCAATCGCGCCGCAAACTACAAGGAATCGACCCAACCGAGGAAGACTTAATCGGCCTCCTTCTCCAGCTGGAGGTTATTTTCGACCGCGTCTACTATGTCTTTGACGGTGCAGACGAACTGGTCCAGCCCCAGGTCCAGTCTACAACTCTAGTCGAACTTATCAGTGCAATCAATCAACTGAAAGGAAACGCCATCGTTGCATCCCGACCATTACAAGTGCTGCAGAAATTGGAACGCGCGAATCAAGTGGATTTGAAGGCCGAAAGCGATGATATGCGGACCCTCATCAACAACAAGATCGACTGGTCCCCGAATCTTAGTGAGGTACTCGAGGAGACTGGGAAGCGAGAAGAGATCGTCGCCGATATAATAGAGAAAGCCAACCACATGTGCGTTGGTGCCCCTTCAACATGAACTCCGGCTGACCACGATTACTTTGTCAGGTTCTTGCACGCTGCCTTGCAAGTCGAGGCGCTCGTCAACTGTCATACACCGGCTGATGTGGAGGAAGAGCTGAAAAACTTTCCGAGGAATATTACGGATATGTACAAGACCACCTTGCACCGAATCAAAGCCCAAGATCCTCGATCTGTGCGAATCGCGACGACTGCGTTACTATGGCTTGTTCATGCCAAGGCACCCCTCAGAGTACAGGACCTACAGTCTGCGTTGTCAGCCCACCCAGTGACGCATAGCGTCGAAACGAGCCGCAAACCCCCGTTGAAGTCCATCCTATCGGTGTGCTGTGGGCTGGTAGAACATCACCCTGAAACTGACGTTGTTCGCCTTGTCCGTACGTCGCTTATATCACTGTGGGCTCCCACCCAAGCTAACCGTTTATCACAGACTTGACTGCTCGGGAGGCTTTGGAACCACTGTTGCTCGAGGAGCAGCCGCACCCGCACGCAGCGATCACCAAGGTCCTCCTTCAGCTCATGATTGACAACAACATCCCCAATTGTCCCCTGGAACATGGGCACGAAATGCAGGAGCTCCTCCAGACACCTCTGCTTCGATATGCCTATGAACACTGGGGAGATCATGCTAGGGAACCTCGGGACCAGGCTGGCGCTCGTGAAGTCGTCGCCAGCTTCTTGCACCGATGTGTTTCGTTCCCTTACGGGAATGTGGATTGGTTGCAGTTTGGATTCGATATCCTTCAGCCACTTCATGTCGCTGCGGCGTACGGCTTCCGGTGGTTCATTGAAGACATCCTCGCCAGTCATGACCAGCCCCTGCCACACGACCGACCACGTACCGGACAACTCAGCCACCCCGAAATGGATGTCAACATGCGATCCGCAAAGGGCGAGACTGCTCTACATTTGGCTTTGGACAATGGCCATGGTGTGTGCGCGAAGGCCCTGCTACGATTCCGTGACATCGATATCAATGCTGTGAATGGGGAGGGAAGGACGGCGCTGATGAAGGCTGCAGGGGGAGGCCACAAAGACGTCGTCGAGCGCCTTCTTCGAGTGCCTGGGATCGAGGTCAACGCGGTGGATCGGTGGGGAAGGACGGCGCTGATGAAGGCTGTAGTGGGTGGCCACAAAGACGTCGTCGAGCGCCTTCTTCAAGAGCCTGGGATCAACGTCAACACAGTGGATGGGGAGGGAAGGACGGCGCTGATGGACGCTGCAGGGCGAGGTCACAAAGACATCGTCGAACGCCTTCTTCGAGAGCCTGGGATCGAGGTCAACGCGGTGGATGGGGAGGGAAGGACGGCGCTGATGAAGGCTGTAGTGGGAGGTCACAAAGACATCGTCGAGCGCCTTCTTCGAGTGCCTGGGATCGAGGTCAACACGGTGGATCGGCAGGGAAGGACGGTGCTGATGTGGGCTGCAGCGGGAGGTCACAACGACATCGTCGAGCGCCTTCTTCAAGAGCCTGGGATCGAGGTCAACGCGGTGGATGAGGAGGGAAGGACGGCGCTGATGATAGCTGCCTGGTGGGGTCACGAAGACGTCGTGGAGCGCCTTCTTCGAGTGCCTGGGATCGACGTCAAAGCAGTGGATCGGCGGGGAAACACGGCGCTGATGATGGCTGCAGGGGGAGGTCACAAAGACGTCGTGGAGTGCCTTCTTCGAGAGCCTGGGATCGACGTCAACGCAATGGATGTGGAGGGAAGGACGGCGCTGATGGAGGCTGCAATGCAAAATCATGAGGACATCGTCGAGCTGCTTCTCCGAGTGCCTGGGATCAACGTCAACACAGTGGATGGGGAGGGAAGGACCGCGCTGATGATGGCTGCAGGGAGAGGTCACAAAGCCATTGTCGCGCGCCTTCTCCGAGTGCCCGGGATCGAGGTCAACACTGTGGATGGGTTGGGAAGGACGGCGCTGATGATAGCTGCAGGGGGAGGTCATGAAGACATCGTTGAGCGCCTTCTTCGAGAGCCACTGTGCCTGGGATCGACGTCAACGCGGTGGATCGGCGGGGAAGGACGGCGCTGATGGACGCTGCAGTGACAGGTTACGAAGACATTGTCGAGTGCCTTATTCGAGTGCCCGGGATCGAGGTCAACACTGTGGATGGGTTGGGAAGGACGGCGCTGATGGAGGCTGCAGGAAGGAGCCGATCCGCGCTCGATGAAGGCTTCCTCTTGCTTTATCCGGTGCTCCGAAACTATCCAGCGACTGTCGATGCGCTCCTTCAACAGCCAGGGATCACCTGCAACGCTGTGGATGAAATTGGACAGACTGCGTTGATGATAGCAGCTCAAGGGGACGACGCAGGCATTGTTTCACAGCTTCTCCGACATCCGAGGGTTGATGTCAACGCCGTAGATCACTGTGGAAGGACAGCCTTGGACCTAGCGCGTGAGGAGGCAAGGAAGGCACGGGAAAGAGTGGTAGTAGAGCGTGAGCGAGCGTTGCCATACTCCCTCTCCCTTCTCATGGGCCCTTGGGAGAATGCGGCAGAGCAGGCGGAGAAGCGAGTGGCAGCAGTGGAGGCGATTGTCCAACTCCTCGCGGATGTGTCAGAACTTTCCAACTGTATTGACCCGCCTACTGACCGTGAAAGATCGAGCACTACAGTGTGAGCTCTCTCTCTCTCTCTACTTCGCTCGTTATCTCATGGCCATTGTTCTGAAATTCTCGTTTCTTAGATTGGATTTCCCGCAGGCACCATTGCAAGACACCGCCTCGAGCGATAACTTGAGCATCAACTGTTCATGTTGTCCCGAGACCTCCTCAGCTAGCATTGAAGCTTTGCGTCAAGTCCTAGACCAGCAAATCCCCCAGGTGTGTTCATTATCGTCTCTGTAGCGTCTCGTGGCTGATCGAGCTTCACTCGTGCGCGCCTCCTCGTTGCAGTCGTCGAATCGTTACCTCTCCTTCTCTTCTCTTTATCTTCATTGATCGTTGGATTCTGACACAGCTACGAGCCCGATAACGAGTGTTTAAATGTAGGTATTGTGTAGTTTTATAGTGTACTCCCAGATAATAGATATGAGATTCGATGTCTTCTACATCCAGAGTACACATAGTCCGATGTGCAAAGATGTTCCTAGTCACCTCCACGGACGTACCTGCAACGTGTGTTGTTGACCAAGTGAATCCTATTCAAAGTCTGCCATAACTTCATCCCCCATTCTAGAGGGCCGCGTGTCTAGGTCAAGGTGCGGAACATTGTTCTCGTTTGGTCGTACACCAGCGTTGTGCCTGTGCTCGTTGTCACCGTCATAGTTAAACGTTGCCATCGCGTAGGCGAACACCTCTTCCCGCCGCCCCTCGATTGATTACGCCGTTGCTCATGGAGGAGCCATTGGAATGTTGAATCTAGTGGCATTGAGATACATGTTGCTGAAGTCGAGGCCGAGCGGTAAGTGGTGGATAGGAGAATGAGAGGCATCGCATAGGCTGTCCGTGAATCCTGACGAGTCGAGATTTGCCTTCCCATGACGCTACACGACAATCGAGGAAGAGCGGGTTCGAGGGACGATGACTAGGCAGCAGCCTGACGTCTATGTGTAATTGCACCATCTGAACCACGACGTTCTGCAAACTTATTGCAAAACTTGGTTGGACAACAACTCTCGATTTCAAGTGTCTACTTCAATGTCGCTGACCCACCCAACTGAACGATCGCCCAACGAGTCCATATCTCCCCTAGCGCGCACGGAGAACCGCTGCAAACCTTGGACTGTTGAAGTTGCGAGTGACAAGGGCGTTGGGATCGAAACATGTGCAGGAAATAGCCTGTGGTTTAGCGAAGAGACCAGCGCTGGGTTGGAGTCGAGGATGGAGAATGGAGGCAGGCGTCTATGCTTGACACCTCCCATCGACGAAAGAAATTCGACGGAATCACCATCGGCGCCGCCGCGATGTGAAGCTGAATACCAGCAGCAACACAATGCTTCCAACCGCCATCCTCTCCTGCCATCAGGCCATTCTCTTACTAGGAGTCTTCCACTCGACTCTAAGACAACCGAAGACGGGTTCGCATACGAAGTCGACGACGGAGACGCGGCCCAGCAACGCGTCACGCTTGAGAACCTGCTCAGCCCTTCGTTCAATGCGACTATTGTTGTGGGCGTGTTTGGGTGCGTCGACTGACCGAGCGCCTGCGTCCGTAGTAGAGAAATGATATAGAGAGAAATGAAATAGAGAGCAATGAAAATTATTTCAGGAATCAGGATGTTCGATTTTTCGTGTGTTGAGTACAGTTGGGTGGGGGTAACTAGGGAAAGAAAAGGAAGAAAAAATTATCTACCTCCTCTCTTCATCTTCCGTGGGCTCTTCCCCGCTTTGTGTCGCGCGGACCGTTTCCGTTTGGTCCTCGATTGGCTGGCAAGCCGAGGATGAGGTGGATGCTGGCGGCAGAGCTGGATAGCTGGGGTTGACTGATTCGCTGAGTCGTCGTGTCGAATCGAATACGGTCGGTTCGGGTACTGTCTTCTAGGCCGTTGAGCGTAGTGCTGACGTGGGTGACGAAAAGAGGGGTGTCGGTGGTGTGCTCAATCTCGGACTCGACTTCCCAGCAGCTCTCTCGACTCATGATGACTAGCCAGAGCCGAGTCAACAGGGCATCGAGTTTGCTGGTGGGGATGCATCTAGTACCGAGTGTCGAGGTGGTGGTTGAGAAGCAAACTGCGACATTACGTCGGCAGTGTTTGTTGTGTGTGAGTATGCGCGCTTAGGCGCTCGGCTTTATCCGTGTTCTCACGGGTGCCTTGCCGAATCTGGGGCGTCTCCGATGGCTTTCCTTCCTCTCAACGACCAGAACGACCAGACATCTACTCTTTTCCTCGCAGACACACGGACGGCTCTCAATGGCTGTTACAGAACGCGACATAAACTCGATATTACTCCGCGATGACCTTGTTACTCCTGATTTCAATTCGACACGGGGACCAGGCAAACATTTAGCTCTATTTGTGAACCACGATATCGGTGCTATGGAAAGCTCTGGCGGCTGCAAGACCTCAGTAGAACCTGAGGCCTGAAGACTCCTCGTTTACCCATCCAACCAACCCACCGATTTGTGCCGACTTCAACACCGTTGACCTCCCGCCAACCCAACGATGGTCCGGTTTGGGTCTGGTGCTCAGCGTTCAACGTTCGACCCCCGATCCGAACCTCACCGGGGAGAAAGCTATTCGTATTCCGGACGAACCGGGCGCTCACGATGTACGTTCCCTCCATCTTCTTGCATAGCCATTACTGACAATTGACAAGCCATCTGGTTTCAGGCGCATGCAGACCATGACGATGTATCCCAATCGGTTCCATCCAGACCCAGCCCTCTGCAACCTGTATGTCAACGGAACACCCAGCCGAAACTACCCAAACCTCCTCGCGTCGTCTATCTCCCCTTTCAGCCCTCCTGAGCTCATAATCGACCCCACTGCCAAACCACCGCTGCTCCAGCCGATGTGATCACGATCGATGATACGGACTCTTCCTCCGCACCATCGAACCTAAACCTGGAAGCGTCGCTATTGAGGATACTCCCGTTCATCATTTGCTGTGGAAGTTGCTTGATGGATGAGGAGGATAGGGATGGAGGAGCCGAGAAGGACGGAGGCGAGACGACAAGGAAGGAGGACAGGTGCATAATATGAACGGCATTTTCACACCTCCACAACCTGACCTCGCGTTGCCCAGTTCCACAGTTCGAAAGCACCCCAAGCCGCTCTTCAGTCCTGCGAACCTAGACCTAACCAATCCAGTACCGAGGTGCCTCAAGAGGCATACCCCGAAATCCAGATTACCAATCCCTACAATTCCTACCGAGAATGAGTGTGTTTTGTACGCCCAACCAGATCGCACGTGTGAAGTTGAGGCAGGAGTGGAGGGGGCTGGTTGGGCATGAGGGTGGTTTGAGGGTTTGGGAATGGGTCAAAGGATACACTGAGGAGATGTGAAGAGTTGGAAGTGGCGATGGACTAAGTACACGATGACCCGACCCCTCTTAGATTGCTGTAAGTTATTCCAACGACCTCTAGACATCACATGGACATTGATCATGGTTTGTCGCCGTGTTTGACGTTGTACATCCATCTACACAGTCGCAAATCTTGACCACTGCTCGAATGTATCGGACTAAAAGTGGTGGGACCAGGGTGTGTGCTGGGAGCAGTCCGCTGTGAGGGGAGGATACGTTCGGGATGGTGACCTGATCCGAGGATGTCATGGAGTGGAAGGATGAAGTTCAGGAAGACGACGACAGACCAACGACAACGGTGTCCCCTCAATCGACGAGCCCCAAACCCGCCGCGGATTACCAGATGGCACTCGTCTCGAGGGTGTTCTATATGATCACTGGTCTCTAAATGGACGTCGAAAAGGCTGCATCCCTCATTGTACCTCCTACCCACTCCTCCATCCGTCGACCATCGCCGTTCTGTTCTCTCACCTGGTATGCCATTCAACGTCAAGCGCTATCCGCAATTCCACCATTCGCCCTCGGTGGCGACCTCCCAGCGCACCCAACACCTACCAAAGTCAGTTTGAACGTCGCTTCTAACTACACCAATCCCATCCCACCGACTGACCGATGAACTAGCGCATTGTTGACCGTTGTCCATCCGCCAACCAACGTTTGACGAAGGGACAGATGATGGTTCCCGACTTGTCGTTCTGGTCGCCGACACCCAGCACCTTGATGCTCAATGACCACACCCCCGATCCCAAACACTGGGAGAAGGAGGCGCAGTAGCAACAATTGGACCAGGAGTTCTGGATGGAGATCGCGTGGGGAAGATGGAGTCTTATGTGGCAATGTCCTGGCTCGGGTAGACTAACGCCTTAACGACTCGATGCAAAACGGTAATTTCACGGTACCCACCCCTTCGCCCTCGCATCTGGCCCGATGGAGATTGGGAAGAGGTGCATCCCGCTCTCAGTTAAGGATGTTGGAGGGATGTGGGCTGACGGCGGAGGTTGTTAGGCTTTCGAGGAGGGATCGCCTTGGGTGGGAGGGGATTCAGAGGTTGCGCGTTTGGACGAGTTTCAAGGCGATGGTGAAAAACGAAGGATACTGATGGGTGATTCGGGCGATGGTGGTGAAGCGAGCGTAAAGGTTTCTGAAGCGGAGGATGGGCGTGATGACAGAGGGAAGGCAATTGGCGGCGGGAGGCTGGTTGAAGATGAAGGAGGGTGGGCAGGAGGATGGTCGAAAGGAGGATGCAACTGCAATCTGCGAGCGTCCAACCGATGTTACGTCCAACTCGGAATCGTCCCTCATCTCCCTCATTCCCCCAGAATCGTAATTGGGGCGCGCTTGCCGTTCTTTCGACACCGCCCGTTCCAATTCAAATGAAAAACGAATACAGGTACTTATCATTAGAATCATGATGTGGTGGCTTCTGGCGAATAACCCCGGCTCCGGCAGTGCCTTACACATTCGGGGTGTGCAATTCCGAAAGCCTCATATCGACACCGCCTTGCAGCACTCCCAACCGAACGCAAACGCGTTGGGAAGGCCTATTTACCTGTAATTGGAACCTTCTGAGCAGGTCAGGCTCTGTCGTCTGACTCTCAGCAGCTGGACTTCTGAACGGCGAGCGCTATGTTGACATCAAGGGAACCCCACCTGCACCCGGCGTGGCGAACACGAGGACCCACATCATTGGTGGTACTATATTGGGCGCTTGAAGCTCGAGATTCATATCATTTGAGGTTCTGCAGCCTCTTCATTCTCCCTGTGAGTCCTCCGACGTTTGTTCCGACCTTGCTTGTTGATCATAATTTCTCGCCATCTCGATTTCGCACTTAGAACCCTACTGTATGTCACCTTTGACATCTCTGTTGGGCGAGGTGGGAATACCTCTTGGCAGCGCTTCAAGCACCCAAATAGCTGAGCATCTCCAGCGCTAATCTCGGTCAGGTGGGTCTGCCATACTTTCCTTACCATTAATTCGGGTATAGCCTCATGTCAACTGTATAGCAGTCAAGCCCCGTGGGAGACAGGTGTCTGACACAGCCTTTATGCTGTATAAAGGCTCGAAGAAGGCGGAGAGTGCCTGTACGCTTCTTGATACCCAAGGCCCCGTTGTCGCCATTGCAATCGAAGGTGAGCTTGTTTTGGGACGTGTGTTGCTTTTTTTCTGATGCCATTTGATAGGATGACCGTGGCATCGACGAGCCGCATTCCAGCAGACGTGGCTACGAAAATCGTGCTACAGGCAGGCAGCCAGGTCACTAGCGGCGCCACAGTCACAACCGGAAATGTCATCCAACACTTCCACGCCAATGCACCACCGGACAACTCGAATGGTGAGTATCGCGAATGGTGTTCGAAACCCTTGCTGAAGCTCACTGGGCGCGTAGGCAAACTGGTTGAAGAAATCGCGGACTGGCTCAAAACCAAAGTCAACTTTCGAGCCATCCACAACGACGTTACGAAGAAAAGGGCCGAGGACACGGGGGATTGGTTCATCGACAGTCCCGCGTACAAGGAATGGAAACAGAACAAAGGGTCCGTTCTTTGTGGAACTGGCATAGGTGAGTGCCACGTTTGATATGCTAACACCTCGCCTGACAGCCATGTTTAGCCGGTGCTGGTAAGACGACGTTGATGTGAGGGTCTCACTCTTCAACCGGGTTTCTTGTATGGCTAAAGCCTTCCCAGGTCGCGTGTCATCGACGATCTGCTGCACGAAGAGTCCAATGACCCAAAAATTTGCGTCCTCTTCACCTACAACCGTTATGACGATCTGCTATCCACCGCCGAGATTCTGAAGGGTTTGGTTCTCCAGGCTACGCAGAAGCAGATCCCGCAGTTCCTTGACGCCGTCAAATCGACTCAATCACGGTGTAAACAGCAACGAGTTGAACCAACCGAAGACGACATGATCAGTCTCCTCCTCAAGCTGGAGGATATCTTCGACCGCGTCTATTATATCTTCGATGGCGCAGACGAGCTGGTCCAGCCACACGTCAAGACTAAAACTCTAGAAGGGCTCATCAAGGCAATCAATGGACTGAAAGGCGGAAATGCCATCATTGCATCCCGGCCATTACAAGTGCTGAAAAAATTCGAACGTGTTACTGAAGTCGAGTTGAACGCCCAAAGCGACGATATGCGAATCCTCATCAATGGCAAGATCGACTGGTCTCCAAACCTTCGTGAGGTGCTCGAGGAGAGTGGGAAGCGAGAAGAGATCGTCGACGACATAATAGACAGAGCTGGTGGGATGTAAGTGGGAGATCCTTGGAATGGACATCGACTGACACTGTTTTTCTCTAGGTTCCTGCACGCTGCGTTGCAAGTGGAAACACTCGACGGCTGCCCCACTATTGCAGATGTACGAGAGGAGCTGAGGAACTTCCCGAAGGACATAACAGCAATGTACAAGAAGACTTTCGACCGAATTGAAGGCCAACACCCCCGGTTTGTGACACTGGCGAAGATGACCTTGCTTTGGCTTGTACATGCCAAGGGCTCGCTCCGGGTAGAGGACCTCCGGGCTGCGCTGGGGGTCAGCCCAGAGACGTTCAGTGTTGAGGAGGACCGCATTCCCAAACTGGACGCCATCATCTCAGCATGCTCCGGTCTGATAGAACATCATCAGGAGACTGGCGTTGCTCGCCTTGTTCGTACGTGGCTTTGGCTACTGGCAACACTGATTTGAACTAATCGTTCCGCATAGACTTCACTGCCCGAGACGCTTTGGAGCCACTGTTGGCCCGCGACTTCCCCCAACCCCATAAACTCATCACCAAGATTCTTCTTCAACGAATGATCGACAACAACATCCCCAATTGCACCGTGGAAGGCTGGTCTGAACTGCGAGAACTCCTTCGGAAACCTCTCCTTGATTACGCTTATAAACACTGGGCAGAGCATGTCAGGGAATGCGGGGAAGAGGACGACACTCGTCGAGACGTTGCCAACTTTCTGTGCAAGTGTACTTCGTTTCCACAGAGGGACCAGTACTCCTTTATGGGTTACGATTCCTTTCAACCATTGCACCTCGCTGCCGCCTACAACTTCCCGTGGTTTATCGAAGAGGTCCTGGCACGCCATAATCTGTCTCTGGTACACAACCAACAACCTTGTGGACACTCCAATTTCGAGGGATTGGATGTCAATGCGCAATCCAGAGAAGGTGTAACCGCTCTCAGGTTGGCCGCGCTGCATGGACATGGAAGCTGTATACAGCTCCTTTTAGGATTCCCCGCCATTGACGTCAACACTGGATATACAACGCCGCTGGCACAAGCTGCCTGGAATGGTCACGCAGACATTGTCGAGCGGCTTCTCAAGGTGCCAGGCATCGACGTCAACGCTGGATTTGCAACGGCGCTGGCACAAGCTGCAGGGAGTGGTCACGCAGACATTGTCGAGCGGCTGCTCAAGGTGCCGGGCATCGACGTCAACGCTGGATTTGAAAACGCGCTGGCACAAGCTGCAGGGAGTGGTCACGCAGACATTGTCGAGCGGCTTCTCAAGGTGCCGGGCATCGACGTCAACGCTGGAGTTCCAACGGCGCTGGCACAAGCTGCAGAGAGTGGTCACACAGACATCGTCGAGCGGCTTCTCAAGGTGCCGGGCATCGACGTCAATGCTGGAGATCCAACGGCGCTGGCACGAGCTGTAGGGGTTGGTCACACAGACATGGTCGAGCGGCTTCTCAAGGTGCCGTGCATCGACGTCAACGCTGGAGATACAACGGCGCTGGCGTGGGCTGCATTGAGTGGTCGCCAAGACATCGTCGAGCGGCTTCTCAAGGTGCCGGGCATCGACGTCAACGCTGGAGTTCCAACGGCGCTGGCACGAGCTGCAGGGAGCAGTCACACAGACATTGTCGAACGGCTTCTCAAGGTGCCGGGCATCGACGTCAATGCTGGAGATCCAACGGCGCTGGCACGAGCTGTAGGGGTTGGTCACACAGACATGGTCGAGCGGCTTCTCAAGGTGCCGGGCATCGACGTCAACGCTGGAGATACAACGGCGCTGGCACAAGCTGCAGAGAGTGGTCACACAGACATCGTCGAGCGGCTTCTCAAGGTGCCGGGCATCGACGTCAATGCTGGAGATCCAACGGCGCTGGCACGAGCTGTAGGAGTTGGTCACACAGACATGGTCGAGCGGCTTCTCAAGGTGCCGGGCATCGACGTCAACGCTGGAGATACAACGGCGCTGGCGTGGGCTGCATTGAGTGGTCACACAGACATTGTCGAGCGGCTTCTCAAGGTGCCGGGCATCGACGTCAACACTGGACGTGCAACGGCGCTGGCACGAGCTGCAGAGAGTGGTCACACAGACATCGTCGAGCGGCTTCTCAAGGTGCCGGGCATCGACGTCAACGCTCCGGATACGGATGTATTTGGGTTAGGGAGGACGGCACTAATGAAGGCTGTAGCGAATGGTCACAAAGATATTGTCGCGAGACTTCTCAAAGTTCCAGGAATTGCGGTGAGCGTTATCGATGACCATGGAAGGACAGCCTTGGATCTCGCGCGTGAAGTCGCAGCAAGTGCCCATCGGGGGATCGATGATGATGATGAAAATGTAGCACAGGTGATACTCCAAATGCTAATGGATGCTCAGACGGATGAGTCGACGCCAGCCTTTGTCGACGCTACTTCCGCCGTGGATGGCTGCCAGATAATGAACGAGAGCTTGTAAGTTTATTTTTGTGCATTTCTTCATGACATTGCTCTGAGTGGCTTGTTCATAGAATCAACTCCTGTTGGGCCCCGCCGCTGTACCCCAGCTGGGAACGCGAGAATCCTGACGATGGCTCGACTTCATACTGGATGAGCTACTCGGTGGAATCCTCTAATGATCTCCAGCCTATCGATCCACCCGTAAGCCGTGGCGCAACATCCCCGACTAGCCTGTAAGCTTCACCTTCATCGTATTCTGGCATCGTTTAACAAGCGTACTTGTTAGGCCTGAATCCAGCAGGAAGCGCAAACTTCCGACGGGCGATCACGCTGCGACAGATTGCTTGTGTGGCCTTCCGGTGAGAGAAGAACAAGGTGCACTTCGCTGCCAGGGTCAAAATTGTCACACTGTATGGGTATGTTTCCTGATCTCTACTCTGTTTTTCAATCGCCTGAAGGGTTTTCAGTATCATCTCGACTGCGTTGGCGCCGAAGCGAATTCCATGGATTGGATGTGTGATGCATGTGTTAACTCGGATGGGACGACTGGGAGAGAGAAGAGAATGAGGCTTTCATAACGTAAAAATTTTGTATTTTGACCTAGATACAAGAAAATCGCTGTCGGCTACGATTGTTGCAATGTGTGGGGGAAGAAGTAATAGCAGCGATTTTAGAGGGGGCAAGCACTGAGTTACATGTCGGTCATTACTTCATCTCGAGCCCTAAGACTAATCAACGGGAACGTTGGCGGTCGTCATCGGAGCTGGCAGTGGGGGGGCTCTAATTCGTATGCGCGTATTGGATGACCACACCCTACGACGACGTTATCCACACCCCCTGCGAATTCGACTGTTCCAACTTGATCCACACCATCCCTGCTAGGCTCTACGACGCACTCGAACATCACTCTCCTTCCCCCGCAGACTGCCCTCCTCCCCTGAAGACCACCCAACCCATGTGCGTAATGTTCGTAGCTGAAGCGCGCCCCTTTGTTCGACGTTGAGACTGAAGCTTCATGCGGCATTCGAGGGAATGTTGGCATGGAGAAGTCGGATTGGGGGGTCTTGCTTCTGTTGGCTCTCATCCGACGATGATTATGGAGCTGTGGTTCTGTGAGAACGTCGTACGTGGTTGTCTATCTATCCTCAGCATCCCATCACCATGGTTCTCTCCTCTCCCTGCTTGTCCCACGGCGAGTGCTCCTTCCCACTACCTATGCCGAGCTGGAAGCTCTTCCCGTCGTTCTTCCGCCAGTTCTGGAGTGACTCGGCGAACACTGAATGCTTGTTGGGGTCGAGGTTGAGCGGTAGGTGGTGGAATAGCGTAACAAGATGGCTCGAATGGAATGGCGAGTGGGAGGTGCAGAGAGGATTGGTGTAGACCGGGCACATTGGTCAGTGTCTTGTTACTCGTCGATCGTACCCACGCGTTGCGTCAATGCTCGTCACCCCACAGTCAGCGCTCCCGTAGACAAGGCGAACAGGTATCCTTTCCCGCTGTTCTTCGTCGAGTTTGCTCAAGGAGGGTCTGGTCATCTTTCGAATGCTCCGTAAAGTCGAGTTTAGGGCCAGCACTGGGGATGGGAGGTGGACGATGGGATTTGGAGGTGTTTAATAAGGCGGGGAGCGCTGTGGAACAAGCCATTAAGGAACGTCCAATGACGTTTCGTCGCTGAGAGGCGTCAGCGTCAAATAGGATGCCTCAGCGTCGATCTTGAGTACAAGGGTCCTTGTAGGTGGTAATTGAAGTGTTGACTTTCTGCGAATCCTCTACGAAACTAGGCGACTAGCGTGTTTCGCGGTATCGATGGCGGACCAAAGGCTTGCGTCCATGTGTCTCGATCGCCATGGGAGATGCAGCGGGAAGTCGTGGTATCGCAGAGCTCAACACTCAGGACTGGCAAGCGGTACGAGCCTTGGAGATAGAAGTAATCGACGTCGAATTGGAGGCTGCGAGTTGTTTAGACCTGGCGTGTACCGTGGACAAGAATGGCTATTTGCATCACTGTTTCCTCTTGTGCACCGTCGCCACAGTCCTTGATCGAACTACATTGAAGCCCAATTTCTTCGATTCCCAAAGTCATTTCGTGTAGAGGGAGTGGGTGGTTAAGCTGGGAGAGGGACAAGCCGAAGCGCTTAGCGCTGGTGCGTCTCAACACCTGGGAAGCATTGATCCGGGCTCGGTATTTGATCCGCGTTCTCACAGTTTGTTGCCGAACCTGGACCTGGAGCCAACGACTGATGCTTGACTGATGCGCCTCTTCGTTTGTCAGGCTGCAACGTCGGACTCCACACTCCTTCTCGCTCGTATGCTCAGGCTCAGCTTAGTCGCTGGTCCGGGATCACTTACGAAAGCTCTGGACGCCGACAGCCAGCACTTGGACGCTCATCATCCACGTCGCCGATCGCAACAGCACCAACGAGAAGGAAATACGTATCTCTGGTGAACCCGACGCCCACGATGTACGTCTTCCGTTCCCTTTGCTGACGATTTCCTTTTCGATGCGCTCAAATTCTACTGTACATCGACAACGAACGCAATCAGCCAACCACCCACAACCCCGAAACCGACGATACACTCACCAACCCCACCCGAAATCACTTTCAGCCTCTCCATCGCTCCTCCATCGCTCCTCCACCTCCTCCACCCTCCCTCCCAGCACCCTTCAACCACGCCGCCGCAGCCCGCAAAGGACCACCCCTCCCAATCGCCACCGCACCTCAAACACCAATTCAATCAGTCAAGATGAGCGGACGAGGTTTGTGACCGGCGTGAACGATATGAATCTCGATGGAAAGGTGTGGGTCCCTCTTCCGGCGTAATTCCAAGCCGCTCAGCCTTTTCCAGCGCCAATCTTGGTCAGGTGGGTGACGATATGGTCTACCACTGCGTTGGGCTCGGCCTCATGTCACCTATACGCAAGGCAGTCAGTCGGTAGTGTGGGTGTCATCACAGCTTTCATGCTGGGTATAAAGGGTCGGACGAGTCAGGACTCGGGGTGCGAGTTTGCTTCTTGATACCACAACCCCCAATTGTCACTTGTCCCGACCCCGCAGGTGAGTTCTTTCTTTCTATGTCGCCAGTGTGTTCTGATATTATTTGGTAGGATGGACGTGGCGTCAGCGAGCACAAATTTGGTTGCCCATGTCATACAAACAGGCAACCAGGTCGGCAGCGGCGGGATAGCGGCAGGCGGCAATGTTATCCAAAATATTACACAACATAACTACCTCTCTGCACCACCACCAACTCCTCCAAGGGATGGCTCGAATGGTGAGTATGGTAGATGGAGGAGCTATGGGCCACTGTCAAGGACTCATCAGCTGCATAGCCGCAATGGTAACGGAAATCAGGGATTGGCTTGGTGCTAAAGTCAACTTTCGTGCCATCCACAACGACGTTAAGAGGAAACGGACCAAGGGAACGGGAGATTGGTTCATCAACAGCCCCAAGTACCAAGAATGGAAAGCTGAGAAGGGGAATGTTCTTTGCGGGACGGGCATCGGTGAGTGTTGTGCTTTATATGTGACTACTTGAGCTAATAGCAGTATTTAGCGGGCGCTGGAAAAACAACCCTGATGTGAGGATGTCATCTGCAATGCGACTGTCTTTCAGCACTAAGGTCACCTCCTGACAGGTCGCATGTTATCGACAATCTACTACATGAAGAGTCCACCGACCCGAAGATCTGCGTCCTCTTTGCCTATAACCGTTACGACGACCTGCTGTCCACGGCCGATATTCTGAAGGGGTTGGTTCTCCAAGCTGCCCAGAAGCAGAATGAACGATTCCTGGACGCTGTCAAGTCTACCCTGTCGCGCTGCAAACAGCAAGGAGTCAAGCCAACTGAAGACGACTTGATCGGTCTCCTCCACCAATGCGAGGCCATTTTCGACCGCGTCTATTATGTTTTCGATGGCGCGGACGAACTGATTCGGCCCGATGTCAAGTCAGAAGTTCTGGTCGAACTCGTCAAAACCATCAACCAACTGAATGGAAACATTATCATCTCATCCCGACCGTTGCAAGTGCTGCAGAAATTGAAACACGTCAAACAAGTCGAGCTGAAGGCCCAAGACGATGACATGTGGATCCTCATCAACGACGAAATCGACTGGTCGTCAACCCTTGGTGAGCTACTCGAAGAGGCGTGGTGTCGAGAAGACATCGTGGGCGCTATAATAGATAATGCTAGCGGGATGTAAGTGGGATTACCTTCAAAACGGAAACGGACTCCGACTGACTGCAGGTTTTGGCTAGGTTCCTACACGCTTCCCTGCAGGTGAAGGCGCTCCAGGGTTGCCCTACGCTCGCCGATGTGTGGGAGGAGCTCGACAGCTTCCCAAAAGATATAACCGCGATGTACGAGAAGACCTTCCGTCGAATAGAGGACCAGCCAATTCGATTTGCCACTATGGCGAAGCTGGCGCTGCTTTGGCTCGTTCATGCCAAAGGCCAGCTCGGGGTGAAGGACTTGCGGGCTGCGTTGGCCATCAACCCAGAAACGTTCCGTGTTGAAGAAGACCGTGTTCCCAAACTCGAATCTATCATTTCGGCATGCTCGGGTCTGGTCGAGTACCATGAGCAAACCGACGTTATTCGCCTCATCCGTACGTCACTCTTAACTGTTGTTAGACCCCTGAATCAATCGTTTTTTGTTTTGTTTTTTTTTCTTTAGATTTCACTGCTCGGGATGCGCTGGAGCCGCTGTTGCTCCAGGACTACCCTCAGCCTCACGCGCTCATCACCAGGGTTCTACTTCAACTCATGATTGATAACACCATCGCCAACTGTACCGTAGAAGACAGGGTCGAACTGGAGGAACTGCTCAAGAGACCCCTCCTTCGATATGCCTATCAGCGTTGGGCAGATCATGCCAAGGAATCCGGGGATCAGGCTGGTGTTCGGAAAGACATCGCCAACTTCCTGTACCAATGTTCCTCGTTCCCCTACGTTGCGAAGGGGGATAGTCCTGGCTTCGATGGCGAAATCTCCGATGGCCCATGGTCAACCTTCGATCTCATTCAGCCACTGCACGTTTCTGTCGTGTACGACCTTCCGTGGTTCATCGAGGAAGTTCTCGCTGGTCAGGATATCCAGCCCCCGCCATACCACCAACCACCTAGCGGACTCCCCGTTTGCTACGGATTGGATGTCAACGCACAATCTACGGGAGGAGTAACTGCTCTGCATTTGGCGGCGCACCGTGGCCAAAGGGTGTGTGTAGATGCCCTCTTAAGATTCCCCACCATCGATGTCAACGCTAGGAGTGGGCGGTTGGGACGGACGGCGCTGATGGAGGCTGCAAGGGCAGGTGACCGAGACAGTGTGGAACGACTTCTCCGAGCGCCAGGCATCAATGTCAATGTGATGGACAACTTTGGGTGGACGGCGCTAATGGAGGCTGCATGTTTGAAAGACACCATCAACCATTTCTTCTCAATACCAGCGTGGACCGGGGTCGATGCTGGGGAAGAACGTGGTTGCAACGACATTGTTGAACCGCTTTTAGGTGTGCCAGGGATCGAAGTCGATGTTGTGAATTGGTTGGGGAGGACGGCGCTTATGGAGGCTGTACGGAGAGGTCACCGGGGCACTGTCGAGCGACTTTTTCGAGTTTCGGGAGTGGAGGTCCCCAGTGTGGATAGACTGGGAAGGACACCCCTGATGCTGGCCGCGGAGGGAGGTAACGAAGATATCTTTGAACGATTTCTGAATGTGCCAGGTGTTGACGTCAACGATGGTGACAGTCTGGGGACAACGGTTCTAATGGAGGCTGTAGCACGGGGTCGCACAGGGATGGTCACACGTCTCCTCGAGATGCCAGGAGTCAATGTCAATGCGAGGGATGTGCATGGAAGGACAGCATTGATGTTGGCTGCACAGAGGGGTGACAAATGGGCTGTCGGACGACTCCTGGAGGTGCCAGGAGCGGATATTGACACTGTGGATAGGGAAGGAGGGTCATCAGTCTTGAAATTAGCAGATATGGATGCATGGGCGGCAGTTTGGGAACTGTCTCAGAAACCGTATTTGTCGATCCGAGAGCTCAACTTCCTCTATGGGCAGAGACAGGGGATGGCAGAAAGAGAGGAGGTAGTCCGACTCCTTGAGGATGCCCAAAACCATCGGTCAGCAGTGCGCGCTGGCGCTGGTAACTGCGACGTTGCTTCGGTTGGTAGTGGATGGGAGACTTTGGACTCTGACATGTGGGTTGCTACTAGTATCTCTGCCGACTGCGAGCTGTCCGCTAGTAGTACTTCTCCTTTGTAAGTCATTCTTTGGGTATATTGCCCTTGGAACTTGGATAACCTTACCTGGGCATCTCATAGGCCACATTTTCCGCCAACGCCTTCCCCGATATCTAGCGAGGAGAGTGAAGAAAAGGAGGGCGGTAAGTCTATCAGAGGCGACCACTCGTCTTTCTCCGACGATGAAGCCTTGGGACACGCTCCGGTGGAAAACCGATTTTCAATGGTGCGTTGTATGTTTCTTTTTGCATTGTGTCTCATGGTATCTAAACTTTCGACGCTATAGTCTTATCGTGTTGGTTTAATGCTTTTTTCGATATTTGTCCTTCTTGTCACGTATCGTTGCATTACGGAACCGCAGTATATTCGACAAGCCATGGATCTATGAAAATATAATCTAGGTCTTGTTCTAAATCTCGGGGCCATGGAGAGAGGCTGCCAAGGAGGATCGAAGGAGAGTGGGGTCTCATTGGCCACCGGGAGTGTCCTCTTCCTCGTTGGTCGTGTTCATGGACTCGAGTACTAGGCCAACGCACCTTCCCGCCGTTATCGCACCTCAGGATTTCGAAGTTCGCCCAGACTCGTCTTGGAAGTCTTAAATTGTTTGAACCCTCTCAAGCTGTTTCCGAGGGTTCCTCGAGAGCCCGTACCCCGAAAGCCAGACCCGCATCCAGAGTGCGAGTACGTTAGTTCCCTATCATGACGCAATCAAGATCAAGACATAATTCGTTCCCTAAGTAGTTCCACAATTATCCGCATGAAAGATCGTCTGTGAAAGTCCCTTCAAATAGGGTTACTCTGGATATGATCACTGAACCTAGAAATAATAATACAGCACCCTACTCGGAACACCCATCGGAGAGGATGACCCAATCATGAAAACCCCTAAATCAACCGGAGAGAGAGGACAGGACCACTTAATGCTGAGGTTCTGGGTATTGCGGAATGCGCGGGTGTTTCACCTGGTCTGGCAGGAAAGTGGGAGTCGTGGGCGAGGGGAGTTGGCCAGGAGAAACGTTGGGGCTGGCAGAACCTGGGGTGTAGAGGATAGGAACGTTGCTATTCGTAGTCGTGGGGACTGATACCATGCTCGAACCGGTTGGCGTTGCCCCAGCAGAAACTGGACGTTGGTCACGGGAGTACTCTACCATTTGGGAAGGGTAGTACATCCCCGAAGTGGGAGGAGGACTGTGTGGCGACGAGGGAGCATTCCCGGTGGACATAGGAGTTGCGAACGGCGGGATCAGGTCGGTGGTGGCAGCCTTCTGCTTTGCGTTCCTTCGCCTGAGGAAGAGATAGACGAGAATGCCGCACACCGCTAGGAAAACAACACCGCCGACTGTGCCTCCTACGATCGCTCCCACTGGGGTCTCCTGTGAGGACATAGCACCACTCCCGTTGGTACCTCCAGAAGTTCCGCCACTCGACCCTCCACCGCTCTTGCCTCCACCTCTAATGGTCCCGCCAATGGTTGCAGTGCGGGAGGATTGATAGTTGTTGACGTCCCCATTCTCGACGAAGAGGTAGTCAAGGGTGAGAGGAACGGAGGGTCCGTCATACGTCACTACAAGAGTATGCGGGCCGCGAGAGCTTAGACGGGGTGTCTCGAAGAGTTGCTGGAAGTTCAACTCTTGGGTAGCGTCGGAGGGTATACCGGGAATTTCGAACTCGACGGGGTCGCTACCGTCGATTGACCAGGAGGCGGTGGATGGGCCGGTGGGGTACTGCGGGATTATGCCTACCCACGTCACCTTGGTACCTTGAACGGATGTGCTGGTGAGTAGGGAAGTGATAAATCGATGCGCTCGTGATGACTCACCATTGAACTCGAGTTGGGCCTGGGCACCGCTGTTCAACGTGTACATGGTATAGTTGTCGTACTTATACCAGTTGGAGTCGTAAGTCCATCCGCCATCTTGGTTTCCTAGCCGTACCGTGGGGTGGTAGGTGTCGGTTTCGTCCCAAGGAGGAGAGACCTCGATGTAGTCGACGTAAAAGGGGTAGGATGAAGTCCCTGCAGCGAGGAGGGTGAGGTTGTGGGGACCGTTGTCGTCGAATGTAGCCCTGCAGAGGGGGTACCCGTTAATCGGCTGGCGGGTCGAACCCTGGAGGGGCTGCGAGGGTTCGCCGTCAAACAGGCATATCCATAGTGGTTCAACGTCTGTGGGTGTACCAGTGACATTGTAGATGCGGCTCGTCCCGTACACGTAGATGGCCGACCCTTTTGGACAGAGGTGAGATTATAAAGATGATGAGCAGACTGTAGAATGGAACGCAGATATGCATACGATTGAGACACCTCTCGAAATATGTATTCCAGCCATCCGACGTACTCGTTTCCTTGGCCTGAATTAACGTGTTGGGAGCCGTTGTAGATTTGTCCCCAGTAGTTGTAGGGATATTCGAAGGTTTCGCGGCTGGTGTCCCAGTAGCTTCCCCAGGTGATGCTGGGGTCGGTGTCGTCGATGACAGCCAAACGCGTTCGCCTGCTGGATGTGGTCATCTTCGTTTGTACCGACGCTGTTAGGGTACCTGCGTTGTAAGTCCCAGTTAGCATTGAATATGATAGCCTGGGGCATAGGAACTGTCTCAGAGTACCGTTACTACCTACCTCGATGACTGCGTGTACGGTGTTGGGCAGGGAGGGGAGAAAAAAACCCTGGCTGAATGGAAGACAGCCTGCTGCATTTAAACTGAAATAGCGCGTATTGTTTTGTATTTGGTGATCAGGCACGCGTGAATACATACTTCCCGACGACGCTATTCCGGAATTGACTCAATGGCCTGATGGGCGGCTGATCATGTGCGCCGGACCTGGGCGCTTACTTTTTATTCTTCTAGGAAGCTGGCATGTTCACAGGGCCTACAGTCCTGCTTCGAGACCTGACTCCTAAGTAAGATGTACCGAAGAGGGAAAGATACAGTCTCTGAATTCAGTCCCTCTGGACTTGTTCAGGCGTGCCCCTTTTCAATGGTGTGGGATGGTTAGTCGGTGCATTACGATTGGCTTTGAATAGGTTGTTTCCGTTATGGTATGGTGACTATAGTCTGTACCCTTTATCTATAGGTGGCGTGAGATGGCAGGCCACTGTGTCGAACTTTGAAGTTCCTCCCGGTCACCCACTCACGGCATTGCTTACGGCCAGAGACAGGTCAAATTTACCATCCCGTCTCCCAACCCGCGTTCCTCCCGTTTGAATTGTTATATTACTTACCTGATTTTCTGTTGTATGTAATGAGAGTTGGACAGGGTATGCGCGAGTGTGGTGGGAGGTACAGTCTAGACCTGCGATGGTGATGAATTACTGAATTACCAAGGACGTTTCCGAGATGGGCGCCTATTTTCCATTCTGGGATCAGTGTTCACATCAAAGCCTCGCCATCTCGTTGTTTTGCGGGAGGAAAGGCATTTGGTTTGACACAATTTTTTAGATTGTGGACCAGTGATACGTTCATCACAGGGACTGTCTATATGGAATGTAGCTCATGTGCCAACCGAGTTTGGTGCATGACTTGAACCTGAGGGCAAAGGCCGGCGCGGGGCGCCGTTGTTGGTGATAATCAAAGTTCGTGGGATTTGGTTGATCCGTGTTCGCACGCATGAGATGCCGATCCCGCGAGCGACCGCGTCTGTGGCCTTGGTTTGCGACCACGACGTCTGGCCGCTGGCGACCTGCATGGCTTTATACACCATCCTTTTGTTACTGAAGAGGCGAGACGGATTGGTTTCGAACGCAATGATGTGGCACAAACGTCTCTACGGTCCTGCCTACCGGCTTAGCGCTTTAGGAAAACGGCGGCATCGACATCGACTTGGAATCGCAACACATGATACCCTGCAGCCACCGACGAAGATGAGGACAGGCGTGGCCCCTCAATAGACGAGGCCCAAACGCACACGGGTTGGCAGATCATGCAGCGTGCTGAAGGTCAAGGATACCAAGACGACGCCGAAGAGGTCAATTGACGACGCCCAAATTCACCAACGTCAGTGATACTGAACGTTTATTTCCAAAACACACGTACTACATAGACCTGTGACAGGTCCCTCGGCCATTTTTTTTGAGGAATGTTTCGACAAGACCACCAAGCTGAGATTCCGAAGCAAGGTGGACAAGCAGTTAACCCTCCTTTAGGCTCATGCAACCTTCAGATCCGAGGTAGCATCATTCTTCGAATCTCCTATCAGCACCATCTTGGCCTCTGTCAAGGAGCAGATCCTGTCCGCTCACCGACCTATCCACGTGTGTTTGTCCATTCCATGAATGTTGCCCCCGGTTAACGATTCCCGCAGTCGATCTTCCTAGTTGGCGGCTTCGCAGCTAGCGACTACCTCTACACTCAACTGGACGACCTGTCTGCTCTCGGCTTGACGGTACTTCGCCCCGACAGTCATGTGCAAGTATCTCTTTCGCCATACACCCTACCTTAACTCACCCTCATTCCAGGAACAAAGCAGTCGCTGACGGTGCTCTCTCTTTCTACCTCGACCACCGCGTCGTCTCCCGTGTCTCTCGATTCACCTATGGCGTCAACTGCCACGTACCCTACAACCCACGCGACGAGGAACACCAAATCCGCTCCATCACCAGCTGGTTCTCTGCTTCTGGCAACCGTCGCCTACCAGGTTTCTTCAGTGTTATCCTCCCCAAGGTACTTTTACATCTCTTTGGATGGAAAGGATGAAGCGGAGACTCGAGGCCAACGGCCCTCCGCCGAATGCTCTCCACATGTAGTTTACTTTATGCCTTTCTATCTATGATGATTTCCGGAGCTGATCTCTTCCCTTCTTGCCCGACACGAAGAAAATCACCGACGTTCAGAACACGCAAGTCTCGGAAACGAAAGAGTTTAGGCGATCCTATTTCGAAGAGTCCGACTACTTATCCAACTTTAGCTGCGTCTCTGTTGCTCTGGATTGTTACCGGGGCAAAGTGGAGAATCCTAAATGGACGGACGTTGATGCTGGTGGGTCGTCGATCCCTTCTATCATCGTGTCAGGCATTTGCTGATCGCTTCGCGCCAGAGAACTGCTCGACACTTTGCTCAATCGAGGTCAACTATGCATCGCTTTCATCGACGTCGACATCTCCCGTCGTTGCGAGGTCGAGCTCGAGAGTGCACTATGTACGTCAAATCTGTTACCCTTGTAGGCCTCCCTCCGAGACTTTCGGAAACCTCTTGACTTGACGATATCAAGATCAATGATACCGTAAGTGTATTTTCCATAACACATGTACTACAGAGATGATACTATCGAAGCTGTCAATTGTAGAGGTCTCCTAGGGCACGTCTCAATGTACGTTACGACAGTCGCTGCAAGGCGCGTCTCTCCAAATCGAGAGACGACAAGTCGCGCTTCACCCGCTTGCCGGGGCCAGGCGATGGGGGCTTTGAGCCAGGCTTCGAGGAGGCATGCTTAGGGCTCGCAGAATTTGGGGAGGCGGGCTTGGGTGAGCCGGGTTTCGGGGAACCGGCCTTGGGTGGAGGTGTTGATTTCCTATTTCCGCTCCCCGACTTTGAAGATGCAGTCAGTTATCTACTCGCGACCGGGAAAAAATAACGACATACCGGGGAAGGAGTTCTGGACGAGGAGCCACCCTCAGAACCACACTCTGTTCTGTAATCCTTGATACCCCAGGTTTCCCAAGCAGCAAGCTTTGTCGGAATCTGCTGGTCCCCTGGAGGGAAGCAATAAATGCGGATGTCTAACTTGGGATTCTCACCAACCGCCTTGGGAATAAGCATCTGGACCTTATCCTTCTTAGGGTCTGGTATTTTGTTTTTATCTGTCTCGATGTGCGAGAACAGGACGGTGTTGGCGGGGGTGGCTCCTCTCCTCTTGATATAATCCTCCCGGTGGTAACGGTTTTCGTTCCAAAAGAGCCGGGAGCCGCAAACGGCCTTGCCATTGTCGATCGAATCGATGGCGAACTGGTGGATCCAGACTTTGGGAACCCTGTCCCACTCGACTCCATTGGCTTGGATGAAGCATTGCATGTCCCCCTCCCACTCTCCTGGACCTGGAGAGGCGTAGACCCCAGGGCCGAGTTGCTGCCCGTTAGCCGGGATCGAAAAGTCGAGTTTGTTTCCGTTTTTCGCGTAGGCCTCGGCTACTTTCTAGAAAATGAGCGAGTGTAAGTGGCGGCCTACGTGGAAGGACGATAGCGTTACTGACCTTTGGGACCACCCGATACCCAATTAGTTTGGTAGGGATAGGGTTGCCTTCGACAGAGACGACGATGCTGCTGACGAGGAGAAAAAGGGCGAACGACTTGGAGAGGATGGACATAGCGACGAGCGACGAGGGTTTGACTGTTTTGACGAGCAGGAGAAGGAGAGTGTGCTGCAGAAAGGAACCGGCCTTTTCTGCTGGGTGTAGAGGGAAGTGGGAGCACCGGGCTGGAGAGACAACCTCATCGACGCCAGCCCTTTTATCCTCAAACTGTCCCGTTCACGGAGCGCCCAGTGAGGTAAACTGAGGGTTTCCAAGTACAAGGAGCGTGACGACTTCTGAGAATTCTTCTGATGAAGGGCTAAACTCGAGTATACCGTGGAATCGTTGTTTGCACCTAGTCGGGTACAACGGGGATGGCACCCACCAATGTCAGTGAATCCCCTCCAGCAATCAGGTTGTGCTTTCTCTGTCATGCGTATGTGTACGATGATGGAGCAGGGAACGTAAAACACTACCCTTTGTCGCCGGAGTGGTCCTCAGAATTGCCGCAGTTCAAGTAGCATAACTCAGATATTGCACCTAATGTAGGATCCGCCGGTCCGGTGCACTCAGCAAAGTTACAAACCAGCAGTGAACCAGGACGAAGGATCAACAGTGCTGATCCCCCGCCCAGTGGGCTTGTCGGAGATCGATATGGGTCTGTGTGTGGGTTGCACCGGCGCTATCAGGCCAGCGGCTACCCGAGCACAAGTCCTGGTCGCCTTCTCTTCCAAAATTTGGAAGCCCATCCATCAATAGCGCCCACGAGCGCTTGAGCACCCACTGCTCGGCCTAGCGCCGCTTATGAGAGAACAATACTACACTGCCTCAGTAAAACGTCAGTATCCTTCGCCCACAGCACACAAGACCATCGGCAGGCCGAGATTGTTCCACCAAGTGAGTTACATTCACACGGGGTTCCGCCGTATTGTGCCCTGAGTGGTACTAGATGTCCAGGCCGAACACGGATAACTACTGCCAAAAGAAGACAAATCCGGCGTTATTTTGTATATAGATGCAATGCACCAGGAAGGCTTTCTAGCGTTGGGTGATATTGGCATGGACTGGGCATGGGGGTCATTCGCGTAGCTTGATTTTGGAAATATAACTCACTGCCGGCATGCGATCACACCAGTGATGAAGAAACTATTCTCAAAGGTGGAGTTTGTGGATAAGAAACAAGAGGTTGAGAACAGCTCTACCTGAACCCCGGCTCCACAACCGCCCATACCTTCCTATATGCCCACAATGAATGTCCACTTGAAACAAGCGCTGCTTCGGGCGTCAACTTTTGTCATTATTTGCGTTTGTTAGGATCTGAGAGCGTCGGCTTCTATGTCGCCTTTGCCCTATGCGCGTCTGTCTTGTTCCTATGCATCACTTCAGTTGCGGATCTTTCAGCTGTAGGTTACTCAGGGAGGCTCTCAAAACCTTCTGGACGTAACCGCGGCAACATTGATGATACTGAAAGTTTATTTCCCAAAACGGCGCTTTTACTACAGCGATAATACTATCGAAGCTACTTATCAATTGTAGATCTCGTCTTCTAGAGCACGCCTCAATGCGCGTCGCTGCAGGGCGCGTCTCTCCAAAGCGAGCATAGCCCGGGTTTCCAAATCGAGAGACGACGACAAGTCGCGTTTCTTCTTGCTGGGGCCGGGCGATGGCGACCTGGAGCCAGACTTTGGTGAAGAGGACCTAGGGGAACCAGCCTTGGGTGGGGGTGTTGAGCTCCTACTTCCGCTCCCAGCCTTTGAAGAGGAATCAGTTATTGACCAGGCGGGACCGGAAAAGCATAAACGACATACCGGAGAAGGGCTTCGTGATGAGGAGCCAGAATTGCACTCTTGACCGTAATCCTTGATACCCCAGGATTCCCAAGAAACACGGTCCTTCGGAATCTTGGGGTCTCCTGTAGGGAAGCAGTAGATGCGGATGTCGTACTTGGGGTCATTGGCAACCGCCGGGGGGATGAGCATCTGTAATTTCGGCCCTGGTGCCTTCTTGGGATCATTCTCGATGTGCGAAAACAATACAGTGTTGGCGGGGGTGGAGCCCTTCTTTTTGATGTACTCCTCCCGGTTGGCGCGGTTCTTCTCCCAGAAGAGTGGGGTGCCACAGATGGCCCTGCCGTTCTCGATGGACTCGATCCCGACCTGAGGGACCCAGACCTTGGGGGCGTTGGCCCACTCGCTCGCTTTGGCTTGGATGAAGCATTGCATCTCGCCCACCCACTCTCCTGGAGCTGGAGAGACGTAGGCACCAGGACCGAGTTGCTGCCCGCCAGCACTGGCCAAAAAGCTGAGCTTGTTGCCGTTTTTCTTGTAGGCCTCGGCTGCGTCCTGGTGAATGAAGAACGAGTGTAAGTAGCGGTCTCCATGAAAAAATGATAGCTCTACTAACCTTGTTGACCATCCGATACCCAATTGTAATGGTGGGCATAGGGTTCCCTTCGACAGAGACAACGATGCTGCTGACGAGGAGGAAAACGGCCAACGACTTGGAGAGGATAGACATGACGATGAGCGACGAGGGATTGATTAATTGGACGAGCAGGAGAAGGAGAGTGCGCTGCAGAAAGGAACCGGCCTTTGCTGCGGGGTGTTGAGGGAAATGGGAGCACCGGGCTGGGGAGACAACCTCGTCGACGCCAGCCCTTTTATTCTCAAACATGCTCCTTGACGGAGCGCCCAGCACGGGGAAGCCGCGCTGTTGGGAGGTAAGGGACGTGATGTGGTGGCATCCGTCACCCGTGTTCTTCCCATGAAGAACTAAGCGAGCGTCAGGTGGAACAATCGATTGAAACCTGGGCGGGCACGACGGGGATGTCGACCAACGACTCGGAAACGATCCGAAATTCCTTCCTCTGTACTGTGTATCATGGTGGAACAGGGATTGTAGAAGGGTGGTCTTGGTTGCACCTCAGTTCAAGCGGCAGAACCTAAAACCTTGGGTCAGCACGTAGCGGACGATCCGCCAGTCAGGCAGTGCACTCAACAAAGTTGCAAGGTCGCGAAACCAAGATGATGGATTCATGACGCAGATCAGCGCCCATAGTTGTGCGGAGATCAATAAGTATTACGGGCGCGTGTCCAATGGCTGGTCAAAGTTGAACACGGATCCAAAACGATTGGATTATTTGGCGGTAGTGGTTGGTCGAGTCTTCCTAGGCATGGCAAGAACCAGAAGGTTAGCATGGTCAGGCTGGGTCAGCAAGTACTGGAAGCTCTGGACAAGGTGGGTTGAACAGGGTGGCAACTTGAAGGTCACAAAACCCGGGATCAACGGTGCAGATCAGCAGAACCTGGTGGGTTCACCAACGCGGTCAGGCCAACAGGTGCTCCAGTCGAGGTCTTGACCGTCGTGCTTCCTGACATTTGGGAAACCCCTGGAAACCTGTCCATCAAGACCCATGAGCCATCAATGTTGCATCAATCCGTGATGAGCGCCCAATGCTTGGGGTTTGGGTTGCCGATGAAGCAGCTGCGCAGTGCAGGGAGAACAATAATGCACCGCCTCCACCAGTACTCATGAAACGTCAGTAGCATTCGCCACGACACTCAAAACCAGCGGCCGACTGAGATTGTCTGGCCTTAAGTGTCTCATTCCTTTCCACCCAAGTCAGTTCCAAACTACCTACCTACCTTACCCGACGTCAAATCCACCACCATGTCCAGCGATACAGGAATTACTGCCCTGCTATCCCACCAATGGATAGGCGACGTCGAGGGACAACACACGCTACTCCTGAAAGAAGACGGATCCGGAGAGGTTCGCAATTCTGCTTTTTTGCGATAACGTCGTTCTAAAAGTCTATTTGAATACAGATCGTTTCCCGCTCTGAGCTGACCATTGCGTTGGCCGCGCATCTCACCTGGAAGGTCATCGACTCTGGCCCCGTCAACGACGACGACCCACCCGCGCAGTCGTTCTTGGGCAAGCTCCTCCGGCGAAATCCACCCTCAACCGAAGCCCTCGTCGCGACGATCGAGCTCACCATCTCGAAGGACACGAGCCCCATGACGCTCGTCCCCGAACACCGCAATTCGGAAATTGGAGGAGATCGGATTCTGAAGGAGAGCGGTTTGGAGCCCAAACGCTTCGGGGTTGTCGTCCAGAGAGGTGTTTTCCAGCCACCGTTTTGGAGGAAGGACTTTGGGACCAAGTATGCCCTTCGACTGAGCTTTGATCCTTCACCGTATCCCCCTGTGGAGGAATGGTCGCCGGACCGCAGGGATATGGTTGAATCGGTCAAGCCGTTTAACAGGATTTCGTTTGTGGCACTCGAGATACAGGAGCAATAAAGAGGGAAATGTAATCTACGGTTGATATTTTGGGCAGTGATGCAGATAACAGACGAATATGACATGGTTCCTTTGATCGTTCACCGGATCCCTCTGTTAAGAAATGGGTCCCTCGTTTCTGGACTATGGTTGACTCCATGCAGCCAGTTACCAAGGTCTCCAAGTTTGTGGCGCTCGAGATAATCAAACAATACTTTGGGAACCACGTTTTACGGCCGATGGTTTGGACCGTATGATCCCGTGTACATTCGTATTCTTAAATAGTGTCCTATATACTCTGGGTTAGCCTCGGCGGAGACGTCCCTTTGGGTTGTCTTTCAGGTCATAATCTTGCAACAAGGCTGGGCGCCTAGTAATCTATTTGTCCTTATTAGCTTTGGACGGCGCCGGCTTCCCGGTCGGAGATGACAGCCCCATTGCGGACGCTGATGTGGGTTACCCCTGGACTCTGTCCACCAACCCAGTGAGTTCGTAGATTGTGCCGTGTGGTTACAAAACTGACAATATCTGCAGATAACAGGCGAATATGATATAGAGACCTGCCTCTACCACCATGGTTCTCCAAATCCTCGAGGCGGTTGCCACGTCCAAGTATTTTCCGACCACTTACCTGGTCCACATTGTCGTTGGGTTTATTATTCTTTTGGCTGTTCGAACGCTATCTCAGGGGCGTAAAACGACATGGGAAAGGAATCTACATGCTAGAACGGTCCTTGTTACGGTGCGTCGTCATTAGACTTGTGAAATGAATCGGTATTCATTTCTGGACAGGGAGGCTTTACACCATTAGGATTGATCACTAGCTGAACGAGGAGCACACATTATCGCGTTGTCCTCAGACCCAGTAGAGTCTCCGGAAGTTACTATCCTTGTCGACTTACTCCGGAGCACCACCAAGAACGAACAAATCTATGCCGAACATTGTGACCTCGACTCTCCACATTCAATACGCGAATTCTGCACCAAATTCCTAACGGGAAAGGACCAGAGGCTCGACGCCATTATCTTTGCCCACGAATACCAGCATATCGGTGCTATGGGATGGCTGTCGAAGAGATTCGGAAGGGCCCATAGAGAACGGGATGATGGGGAGTATGGAGGAGAGGTTGCGGGCAGGTTGGTGTGGGAGGCGTATGAAGATGCGTTGAAGGTTTGGGAGAAGAGTTGTCCTGCGCCTCCGCCCGATCAGAGGAAGAAGACGGAGGAGAAGGAGAAGGCGAGGGATGCTTCGACTGCGTCACCGTACGACTAATTCTCTTGTTGTAGCTAGCGACTCAATGATATCGATGCCCATGATTTCTGTGGGCTGGACACGCGTTGCACCATCTTTCGCAAGCTGGTGGCCGGTAGACAGCGCGGACGGCCTTAACATCTTCAACTGGCATCCGATCCACACCTCTGCTCATCCATTCAATTCCGGTCCGACCAACGCTCTGACGGTACAGTGGATGGAATATATTTGGGGGACGGCGAAACCGCGAGAAACCCCAGCCATGTGGTCAGTGTTCCCGCCGAGTAGCGCAACAGATCCGCCTGAAACAGGTGCAAAGAACATTCGTATATGGACCATGGTCTCCATCAGCGGTCATGCGCGAGCAGGAGCGCGCCGAACAAGCGCCGGACGACCGTCACCATGAGCGGGGGTGCTCTCTGTATGTGTTCAATTCTTTTGCTTTTGGTGTACCTTCGGGCATGTTGTATTATGTAACACCATATTGTTTTCAACGGTCACCGGCTATTTCGGCGATTTCTCTCCAGAGAAATATAGTCCACGGCCAGAGGAAATGCGTTTTCCGCACGGCCAAGGTAGGGAACAGCGTGGGTGGGTATTCTGTCACAGCGTAAGCGCTTATTCACGCTGTGGTGCCTGTTTTCATCATCTGTTAGTTTGTACGTGTTCAATTCACTCACTGGAGCTTATCACTAAAAGCATTGCGCGACCAGCTCGAGTTCAAACCACCGTGTAATCTCCGAGCTCCCCTGGCCGAGGTGTTTCAGTTTTGCGTCCTTCCGCTGCCGAAAAGGCGCCCGAGACGGCCGTGGGAGCTCCTATACCCTATAAAAAGGTGGGTGGGTTCTGCTCTTATTTCCTCAGCTGGTTCTCTCCCTCTCTTCAGCCATCCCTAGTACTATCGCCGGTCGATAGTCGCCCACGGTCTTCTACTACCTCTCATCCACTCACTCAGCGTCGACCGCTCCAACCCTCCCTTTTCACTTCACGAATCTATACTTTTTGCTCAACAAGATGATGCTCCGCACCAACTTCGTTCTCCTCGCCGTCGCCGCCTTCTCCACCCTCGGCTCGGTCTTCGCTGCGCCTACTCGCACTTTCTCTGATGACTTTGACGCGTATGTTGTCTACATACTTTGCTTTTTGGGTGTCATCGCCGACTGACGTTCGTATTTTTAGACGAGACCTCGCTTTTGAGGACATCCTCGACGCACGGGGTGGTCTCGCCATTCCTAAACCCACCCATGGAACCGACGGCGGAAAAGCCTCGTTGAACACCATTGGAAAGGGCAGGCGCGCCTTCCTTGAAGACATCCTGGACATCCGTGGCGGCCTCGGAATCCCCAAGCCTACTCACGGCACCGACGGTGGCAAAACCTCACTCAACACCATCGGCAAGGGAAGGCGTGCCCTCTTGGAGGACTTCCTTGAGGCCAGGGGTGGACTCGCGCTTCCTAAGCCTACGCACGGCACCGACGGCGGCAAGGCATCGCTGAACACCATCGGCAAGGGCAGGCGGGAGTTCTTGGAGGATCTCCTCGATGCTCGAGACCTGTTGGACGAGATTCTCGATGTGCGGGGTGGTTTGGCTCTCCCTAAACCTACACATGGCACGGATGGTGGCAAGGCTTCCCTCAACACTATTGGCAAAGGCAGGAGGGATTTTTTCGAGGATATCCTTGATGCCAGGGGCGGGCTCGCGCTCCCCAAGCCTACCCATGGAACTGACGGTGGCAAGGCTTCGATGAATACCATTGGAAAGGGCAGGAGGGATTTTTGGGAGGATATAATTGAGGCTTGAGCGTGACTTTTGACTACATATGTACTACATGGAGGCGTAATTTCTGTCCATGATGATATTATGACAAAAGTAGAGTAGGATGATTGAAGTAATTGGGCAGTGATGCAGATAACAGACGAATATGACATGGTTCCTTTGATCGTTCACCGTACATATCCCTCTGTTAAGAAATGGGTCCCTCGTTTCTGGACTATGGTTGACTCGTTTCAGCCATTTACCAAGTGCCTCCTTTGTGGCACTCGAGATAAACAAGCAATAATTTGGGAGTCATATTTTACGGCCGACAGTGGTTTGGACAGTATCCCGTGTACTTTCGTATTTCTGAACCTGTCTGGAAAACATCACTGTGACCTTCTTCTTCGGAACTAAATACTTCACCCATCCAGCTCTAGACCGTTTTCTACACATCTGCTCCACCGAGGGCGCACAAAACCGTAACCGACAATGCCGTTGTGAGTTGGTGTCAGTAATGACGGATAACTATATTATACAGTGTCCAAGAGCACAACAATTCCATCAAAGGTATCCGACGAAGGTTCACCAAACCTCTTCCCGCTTCACTTTCTTGAATTTCAGTTGGCCCAGTCCCCCAACATCCCTGTCCGAGCTCGACAACCGCTTTTTCGCTACCAAAGAAAAATTTCGTCTCAGCCCACCGCGTAGATTTCAGACCAAGAACATTGTGCGCACCTCCGCCGGATTGCGAGCTCGTGGGGTTCCACCCTCCAAGCATATGTCGATCGTCGTCCATGGGTTCTGGTTTCACCGCAACTGTTCGACTGCGTATCTCTGGTTCAGGATATTCCTGCTTTATACGAGGTGTTTCTGGAGGTGGCTGGCGGGGGCCAGGAGTCACCGTAAACCTGCCCAGAGTAGTCGACCTCGCCCTATCTTGTGGTCCCAACACACTCCCTAGAAGGATAAGTACAGTACATCAGTCGGTGATACCACGAAAGAACATAGTAGCAGCAGCCACCGACCTAAATCACCCTCTCCAGGCTCCTGCTTTACTTTTGGTGGATTGTAAGGCGTTTGGGACAGGCCAGTGTCGTCCCTAGGCTCCTCCTTGACTCGTACGGGGGCAGCTTGAATTTGAGACGGGGGTCCGAACCGATTAGCAGAGGCCATGGCTTCAAAGGCTGCAACCAGTGCAGCACTCGGGACGTAGTCGTCGTCGTCGTCGTTGTCGTCGTCCTCTGACTGCATTGTTTGACTGCAGGATGGACCCGGATGGGGTGGATCTGGTTCAGGCTCCTGCTTGATGGTTGGTTGGCGGGGGGTGGGGGTAGGAGGTGGTGCCGGCTGAAGTGCATCTGGTTGTACGCCAGGTTCCTGCTTGACGGTGGGCTGAGGCGGGATGATCGAGTTGAGAAAGTCGGTTGCGGCGTCGACTGTCCGACAAGATGGACATGAGCGGTGAATTAAACCAATGAATGGAGAAGAACAGCCCACAAGAGTCCGAGGGTTCAATCTTGGGCTTCACGTCGTAATCAGGAGTCGGCTCTTTCTTCATCACATTGGGTGTGGATGCTTCCAGCTCGCTGGGCGGTTTGGTATCAAGTGTTTCCGACCGTAAGAAACGCAGAGCTGCCTCCTCTTTGGGAATAGTCAGTGGGTTGATCTTTACAAGAAGAGCGGGCTCGATTACCTTCCTCGAATGGATCGAATTTTTTGAGCTTATCCGTGACTGCTGATGGTTGGGCATTGTCGCTGGTGGAGCTTTCAGTGACGATAGACGGTTGCGGTGGTGATGGGGGTGGTGTTGAAGGACGGCGATAATGACCTGGGGGTTCGTAGGGCTTGAAAAGAGAATGGACTGCATTGGCGGGAGGCGGCGATGCGGTTCTTGGGGCAGGACTTGGAGGTTTTGGGGGCGAGGGTTTTGACGACGTAGATGCTTGAGGTTCCGCAGGCTCAAACAGAGGCAAAGGAGGAAACACAGGTGGAATGGCATAATGAATATGCCCCGGAGGCGGTGGCGCAAGCTCTGGCGGAGGATACGGCGTCCGTATTGGAAAATTCGGTGGTCTTCGCGAGTACGACGGGTATCCTGCAGACCAATCTACATAGATTGTTGACCACTCTTCACTGATAGTGAGCCAGTTCAAATCACTCACTTGTCCGTTCAGGGTGGTTGAACCTCCGATAGTTGTATTCGTAGATATGGGCAGCTTGGTCGGGTCCTACATGGATACCCCTGTCCAAGAAACGGGCATATCGGTGTGTACCGAGGATGTATTCGATCTGGACGGTGGGCGGCAGCTCTACTATGACATTACGATGCTAGAGTGCTTCACTTCAGTCCTTTACTCCACCAATAGACGTGAGATAACCAACCGTTTTCTGATAGTAAATGCAGTGAGGCCTGGTCTGTGGGTGCCTGTTATCGAGCATGACCTCGAACCAAGCGGTGATCTGGTTAACCGCGACTTGAACATTGTCAGCGTAGCCCCAAGGGTTAACCACGACCACGAATTTCTCTTGAGGCGGTTTGTACGCCTATACGAGTCGATCAGAAGACAGCTTTCTCCAAACGAACGGTAACTCACTTTGGGTTTCTTCCCTCCCTTCGCCATGACCTTGCAAGAACAAGTGGATTGTGTGCAGAGAAAAAAGTTATTTCAACAGATTCCCCTGTTGTTCTTCTTATCACCTCCAGTCCAAGGGGACTGTTACGGTATACAAGCTGAACCTCGAGGCTGGCCGTGGTAAGAAGACAACGTCGGTTTAGCCGCCGAACTGTGCCGCAGTTGTTCTCAGGGGCGGGGCTTGAAGCTGAGTTTCGATGGTTTCCGACTCGGAAAGTTGTGTCGACCTACCTTCTCAAAGGCCAGCGTCTCTTAGTCGCAAGAGCGGGCATTCAGTTCAGAACAGTGGTATTCTGGACCACTTACATAGTACCGCGGAAAAGTAATGTTAAAACTTGCGAACCACTCCCACTGAGCATCGCTTACCTCGAGTAATATCCGAGGAACTGAACTTGATGGCTCCATTTTGGTCAGGTCCAGGCTACAGGCCACCGTGATTGAATACAATGTCAGGATACAAATACATACATAAGATATGATTGCATGTAGATCCAGAGAACGTGCAGAGGATGTCCATGTCATGAACGAACAACCGAGGCAGCCATACCACGATACATACACAGTCCATCACCATCTAACAACGCCATGCTACTCCCCACTCCCCGCTGACAGTCTACGAACCCAACAGCTCCTTAATCCCCGAAACCAAAATAACCTTCGGCTTCAACAAAACCGACTCATGCCACTCCCCCCTAGTAGCAGGAACCTTTTCCGCCCTCACAAGTCCCAAATCCGTCGTACACAGCACCTTCTCAGGGTTCTTCGTAGGCGTCGTATTCGGCGACTTGCCGCCATCCGCACTCGCATCTTCCATCGTCGTCCCATTAAAAATGACATCAGGAGCAATATACAACGCCTCCAAATCACAAGACGTCACACGCTCTCCAACGGCCTTGTTGAGTTTCTTGGCGTATGAGAGGATATGGTTGAGCTGGTTGGAGAAGGTGGAGGTGACTTGGGAGTGTAATTGGGAATGAGTGTAGAGAGGGTGTCCGGTGACTGGTGATCGGCGGTTGAGTCCGGAGATGAGGAGGACGTTGACAAGAGCGTCCGCCATGTAGATGACGAGGTCGTCCACACCGGGAGATGGTGAATGGGATGGTGTGTTACCCCGCATCATTCGCTGAACGTGGTACCTCGTCAAGGCTCTCCACCGTCCCGAGACAGATTGCTCCTCTAAAACCGGGGATCAATACTCGATATTAAACAAAAGGAGGATGAATGGAGAGGCACTCACCGGCCTCTCGGACCCGGGCATAGATCTCAGTAAGCAGAACCTCGTCTTCAGGGTCCTCGAAGAACCAAGAAGAGATGATCCAGTGGGTGTACGCGCTCAAGCCAGCCTGGAACGCGAACTGCAGTAGAACCGGGTCTTGAGCGTGATCCGTGCGCTGAAGGAGCTCGACCATGGTAGGCCCAAACACCTCAAGCGCCTGCGCCATCGCATCCTTCGCCTGTACCTCGGAATCCATAAACTCTTGCGGAGACTCCGTACGAGGGAACGAAGCATCGTCGTCTCCCGAAGATTTAACAACCGCAGCCTCCTCCAGCAAGGCGGTGCCACTTCCCGCGGAGAGTGGCGAAACAGACCGCTCCTCGTCGGAGATCGCGAACATGGGTGAGAACGATTCAGCCATATGAGCCGAAAGCTGCATAATCTCCGCATTCAGCGTCTCGATCATGCTGATGACGTCCCCCCCGGAAAGCGAGTCCGCCTTTGTCAAGAAAGCCTGGGCTCCCGCTAGCTCCTGAGCCCTGACGTCGAGCAGCCTCTGCGCTTCCCCGTGCTCCCGCTTCAACTTCCCAAGCTCTCCGTCCAGCCTCTGCACCTCCCCCTCCAGCTCCTGCGCCCTCTGCGCCAACTCCCTATTCGTCCGCTCGGATGACTGGAGCGTGTACGCGAGGTTGGTGATGTGCGTTTTCGACTTTTCGAGATCGTCCTGCAGGGACGCGATCGTCTCGTCTCGGGTCTTGAGCCGCGTATCCCTGTCGGATATCTCTTGCTTGGCGGCGCGCAGTTCGGTTGAAAGTCGATTGTTGAGCCGTTCATAATAGCGTAGGCGTTGCCAGAGCTTGAAGAATCGGAAAGCACCGTAGGAAACGGACGCTGCGAGTGTCAAACTCGCAATCCCTTGGACCAGGGGCGCCATGGTGGTGCGTGAAGAAGAGGGTGGAAGCAGGAATGACGGACGTGAACGCATCCTCCCTCGTGCCTTTGAATAGGATGATGTTCTACAGCGCGTTGATATAGACAGCTTCTGTGAGGTTGAGCTTGCCTAAAGGCTGTATGCGGGGTGTATGTATGCCGTAGATGAAACTAACTGAATGAAGGTGGTCGAGAGCGGAAACATCGCTGCGGGGGTCTGGGTTTTGTTTTTGAAGCAGTCGTCGTTGATTCGAACTCGGACATTTGGAGCATGTGGCTTGAGCGTGCAGGGTTCAGTTCGAGCTATACAACAAAGCTACCCACTCCCCTGTGCGATCCGGACGTCGAAGATAGAAAGAAAGCTGGGCGGTAACAGGCCTTAGCCTCGAGTCCACTGTGATGAGATGACGCTCACTCACCTTCTAGATCAGTGCTTGTTTTGATAAAGCCTCCATGCCGTCGCATGCTGGTGCCGCACCCAGCCAGAAGCTTGGTCAGAATCAGGGAGCTTGGTGCCAGGAGACCGGCCCACCGTCCCCCTTTATGGAGCTGCATAGCCTGCCTCGTGGCTTTGGCGCGTACCGCTGTACACGATGTCAAACGGAAGCGTTTCATAAACACAAACGACATTCCTATCGGAACTCGAGGCATTTGGCTTTTTGGAAATTAGCCTCTGAGAAAGCAGAGAAACCTGTATGCTACATGGGGTCACCCTTTGGCTCGTGGGGTGAGGCCTGACTGCACGAAGCTCACCTGGGTCTCGGTCTACCATCTCCAAGGCTGAAACTGAATTGGAAAGGCTGCCTCGCGACCTGTCATGGAGTATTGTCGCGCTCGGTTGGACTCGGTGCCTTGTTGGCATGCTGGTTACGGTACAAGGCAAGGGAAAAGGCGCTGGCGTTTGTGAGACAAAAATGGGCCGAGTTCCCACAGTGAGTTGCCGAATTGATAGGCGCCCGATGCGATGTTCACCCGCTGGTGCTTTCTTCCTTTGCGCATTCTGTGCATGCCAGGCCAGTCAAAGAAACGAACATTTTAGAGGATCCGGAGGTACTACACGACCCATATATAATGTACACCAAAATGGTCAAAATCCCTTTAATCATCCTACTCTACTTTTGTTACCATACATCATGGACAGAGATTGCGCCTCTATAAAGTCAAAAGTCGCAGTTCATGCGTCATGTCCTCCACCACCGTCATTTCCATAGATAAAACCACCCCTTGGCGTCAAGGAAACTCCCACCTGCCGTTGGGCGAAATCTTGCGATTCTCGCGGTAGATGGCTGAATAAGGCAAAAATCCAGCTGAGAAGATAACAGCGAGCCCACTCACATTTTTATATCGGGACGTCACTACATAGGAGACTCCCATGGCCATCTTATAAGGCGCCTTTTCGGCCTCGGAAGCGCAAACAAAGCTCAAACACCTCAGTCACGGGGACTCGGGGATTGCACGGTGGATCATGAACCAGACTGGGCCTGTTTAATGCCAGAAGGGGGCCTTAAATTAACTATTAGTGAGTACCTTGTGCCAACTACTAGTATTGTGGCTACTGGCGCCTTTCTTCTACTGCCCCTCCATTCCTCCCAGGGAGTGCCATTGAGTTCGCTGCGACAACCGTGTACTGTACCATTGGGATGCCAACCGCGTTATAGACAGGCGGGCGTAAGTCCCACTCCAAGCCCACCATCGCATGCTTACTGGCGTATGGCGGGAAACGTTCAGGATGACATTGACCGATGGAGATTAGCACCAGCTCGTGACTCCTCGCAACGGCCAATTCCTCGGAAAAAGGTTGCGATCGCCTTGATGTCCGGATATTTACCTCTCTCTCAGGGTGAGAATGAAGTCAAAGAGCGCCCCGTTAGTCTTTATTTATGCAGATAGTTGTAATATGTACTGAGCTATATATCTCTGGCAACAGGTTCTATGACGTCGAAATGCACAGACGCGGGGTGTATGGAGAAACATGTCCATCAGAGTCCATTAGTTCGAGAAGCGTCTCAATGCAACAGTCTAAGTCTTTGTGTTCGATCCCATGGTCACGTTCGTCTATGTGTCCTACGAAACATATTTCCCCGTTCGCCGGGACTTCCTAAACCAAAACATCGTCTTCCACGGCACTTCAAGTTTGCAAGATTCGACCTGGGAAGGTTCATGGTTGATATGTACGAGATCTTCAAAGAATCCCGGACCTAGATGGAGTTAGAGCACCACTTCCGTTCTGCCCCATGCGGGCGTGTAATTTTATAGCGCAGCTTCATCCTCTCAGGCACGCCAAAACAGAATAGGATCCAGGACTGCTATATAATACGTGGGTGGATCCGGTATTCAGGCCCCTCCTCAGCTTGACCCTTTGGAAAGTCACCCCCATACCCCTTCTCCCCTTCTCACCATGCGCTTCTCAAACTCCGTCGCGCTCCTCGTATTTGCCTTCCTTTCGACGAGCCTTGCATCACCGGTATGCTCGATCTATCACTGACCGTGTCGATTTTGCTTATCGTCCCTTCCAAGGTTCCGGGTGAAGCATTGGTCAACCGTGGTGCCCTCGACGACCTAGAGCGGGTGGGTAGCAGCCTCTCCTCCCTGACATAATAACACCTAAACCGTCCCGATAGCTACCAGCAAGGCGGGAACTAGTAGACCGAGGCATCACCCCACCGCCGTGGAGGGACCACGTCGAACCAACCCCCGCCGGAATCACTCCACCTCCATGGAGAGATAACCTTCCCGAGCCCACTCCCGTACCCCCAGTCAGACGAGAAGACTCGAGGCCGCCTCCAGCTTGGAGACCCATCGACTCGGAGACCGATTCAGAACTCGAGTCAAGACCTCCCCCAGCCTGGAGACCTGTCGAGGCTGAATCAAGACCCCCGCCAGCTTGGAGACCCGTGAAGCGAGAAGCCGATGCAAGACCTCCCCCAGCCTGGAGGCCCATCGACATCAGCGACGACGATCCCGAAGGACCACCGGCACCCTCGTGGAGACGCCGAGAGACCGTGGCAGATGCAGCTGGAGTTATTGCCCCAGATTGGTAACGGTTGCCATCGTGCCCTCGAAGGGCCCTGACCATGTTGCTTCCTTGATAAATTATGACCCTTCTCTTCCTTGTAAAAGTGATCTTTCCCATCTTTCCTTCGTTAGTACATCACACCTCGTATCTCCCTACCAAGAGTTGTAGCGCGTTGGTTCTCCCTCCTTCTGCGCTTTATTATGCACATTTGTTTCGGCCCATATTCAGACCACTGGTCGGACCGGAATGGAATAGATGTGAATCGGGTCCTAGTTGCAGCTGTAAAGGCCATCCTCGCTAGCCACGAGCTTGCGGAAGATGGTGCAATGTGTCCCAGAAACCATTCGATATCATTGATTGTCGCTAGCTACAACAAGAGAATCAGTCATACGGTGAAGCAGTCGAACTATCCTTCGCCTTCGCTTTCTCCTCCTCCATCTTCTTCTTCTCATCAGGCGGAGGCGCAGGACAACTTTTCTCCCAAACCTTCAACGCATCCTCATACGCCTCCCACACCAACCTGCCCGCAACCTCCCCTCCATACTCCCCATCATCCTCAAACTTCAACACCTCCTCCTGCGAAGCCTTCGCCTTGCCCTTCTTCTTCGACGCATCGGCCTTGGCCTGTGCTTGCTTCATCGCTTCCTCGAGCTGCTCCAGCTGCTCTTTGGTGGGTGGCGGAACACGGAGCTGGACCACCGCGCACTCGCGATACAGCGCCCCGGGTTTCAACACTTCCCGACGCGGCTTGTTGTCGGAAGCCTTCTTCGCATCTTCGGGATCCTCCAGGCTGGACTGGGCAACGTGTTTGAATGGAGTCGGTAAGCAGAGGGCGTGGAGGACGGTTTGGATGGCGCTCGTCGGTGTCTTGGTGAGGACGCGGAGGAGGGGTTGGAGGATGAGGTAGGCGAGGACTCCCCGAACGGATGCGCCTTGGCTGACATTCCAATCGGCGTTCAAGAATGGACCAACGGTGTCCATCCGGCTGATGCCAGGACACACGCTGACAGTCACAATATTCGACTTTTGCAGCTTGGGGCTGACGACAGGCACAGAGCTCGACCCCTCTTCGGCCTTGGGAATCTGCGCTTTCGAAGCAGAAGGCAGGGCGTCCAAAATCCTCTGCATATGACGTGCCAGGATAACCGTTCGAAGCGACCGTGTTCCCTCTTCGACAATGATAGATTTCGTGGCCACTCGTTTGTCTTTTCCGGAAGAAAAACTGGAGCTGGGTACGTGGAACGAAGGACCGGCGGCGGCTGCGTAGAATGGGTTGACAACATGGATGATTCGAATGTCGCGCTCTACTGGGGCGACGAGGAGGGCGGGAAGGAGGAGGGTGGTGATTAAGAAGCTCGCCAATGAGCCTCGTTCTCGGCGGTTCGCGTCTTCCCGTTCTCGATGGCCCCTTCCAAATTTCTTCGACAGCCATCCCATAGCACCGATATGTTGGTATTCGTGGGCAAAGATAATGGCGTCGAGCCTCTGGTCCTTTCCCGTTAGGAATTTGGTGCAGAATTCGCGTATTGAATGTGGAGAGTCGAGGTCACAATGTTCGGCATAGATTTGCTCGTTCTTGGTGGTGCTCCGGAGTAAGTCGATAAGAATGGTAACTTCAGGAGACTCGACTGGGTCTGAAGACAATGCGATAATGTGTGCTCCTCGTTCAGCTAGTGATTGAAGAAGGGTCAATCCTAATGGTGTAAAGCCTCCCTGTCCAGAAATGAATACCGATTCATTTCACAAGTCTAATGACGACGCACCGTAACAAGGACCGTTCTAGCATGCAGATTCCTTTCCCATGTCGTTTTACGCCCCTGAGATAGCGTTCGAACAGCCAACAGAATAATAAACCCAACGACAATGTGGACCAGGTAATTGGTCGGAAAATACTTGGACGTGGCAACCGCCTCGAGGATTTGGAGAACCATGGTGGTAGAGGCAGGTCTTTATATCATATTCGCCTGTTATCTGCAGATATTGTCAGTTTTGTAACCACACGGCACAATCTACGAACCCACTGGGATGGTGGACAGAGTCCAGGGGTAACCCACATCAGCGTCCGCAATGGGGCGTCATCTCCGACCGGGAAGCCGGCGCCGTCCAAAGCTAATAAGGACAAACAGATTACTAGGCGCCCAGGCTTGTTGCAAGATTATGACCTGAAAGACAACCCAAAGGGACATCTCAACCGAGGCTAACGATTGAGAGTAAGCTCTACTCACCGGCCCCTTTGTTACTCTCAGAGTAGATAGGACACTGCCCAAGTAGGGATACGGCGAAGGATAAATCTCAAAATCCTTCCTCCAAAACGGCAGCTGGAAAACAACGAGTTCGCAGTCCGGCGGCGCTTCGTACAGTGCTTTAACGAAAAAGAGGTTATCGAGCTCTGGCAGGGATGGTGGGGGACTGGGGGCACTGAGGTTGAATAAGGTGAAGCGGGAGGAGGTTTGGTGACCCACCGTCGGATATGGACCTCTGAGGTTCTTGTACTCTTGGACAGTGTATCGTAGACTTATCAGTCATTACTCCCACCGGCTCACATACCGATTGTCAGTTACGGTTTGGGGGTATTGTGCCCTCCATGGAGCAGATGTAGAGATCGGTACGGAGCTGGGTGGGTGAAATATATAGTTCCGAAGAAGAAGGTCACAGTGATGTCAATGATTTTCCGAACGGGACTGTGCTTCGCAGTTCTTTCTCGAAGGCTGCCTCGCAGGCTCCAAAATTATTCTTGTTTATCTCCAGTGTCACCAAAGAGGCCTTGGTAAATGGCTGAATGGAGTCAACCATAGCCCAGCAACGAGGGGCCCATTTAGTCCGGAATCCGGACTGTGTCACGTTTTTTGTCAGGTGACGGACGTGACGCCTATCGGAGCTAGCGAGGAAAAGCGGAACGTCCATCACGTGGCAAAAAACGTGACGCCCGAGCTACGAGGGACCGGGCTCCGGTCTAGGGCCCATTCATTAACAGGGGGTTACGGTGAACGATCAAAACTGAGCACGGGAACCACGTCATATTCGCCTGTTACTAGGTGGAAAGCGGGCCGCCACTTTGCAGTGCGGCAGTACTCGGATTTACCTGTTGACTGCGGATGGAACTTGCTTGATTGACCAATATCTTTCCCTGGGATGATCTAGGGATGACGGTGGACAGTTCCTCATATCATGTATGATGAGAATCGGGATATTTACTATTTAGTCTCCACACCTGTACCGTATAGGGCATTACAGGGGGGCCTCGTCCTTCTGCATAAGGGATATGTCTGGATATGTACGCGGTCGCCTTACTGTTGCTGATTAGGGGGAAGACATAGGTACGTCAGGGCATACGGGCGTAGGGTCTTTGCAATACCACGCTAATATCAGTACCTTGTCATCAGCTCGAGTTAGCCATCTAGCCTCCTGATCCATTTCAAGAATGCCCTGTAGCTGGCAGTGCCGTCTATACGACATGCCATCGTGATACCAAACACGATGCGATGGATCAATGTATCTCGCGACGAAGTGGTTGTTATTCCCATAGATCAAACCCTTGAGAGTAAATACCGATGAGGTGCTCGGGTTCGAATGCACTGACAGATTTATTCTCGTCTCGGGGACTATATGCACATCGTCGATGCTTAACAGCAGGAATGGAGGTATTTTGGAGATTTTCATGGAACGGATCATCCTACCTTGGCACATGTTGGTATCACAGGTAAGATTCCTTGTTGGCGATGGATACATGTACAGAGCATGCCGCAGACCGTACGTTGTGGCACATGTTTCTCGTAGGAAACTGTTGCTCAATACCGACGTTAGTTCCCTTAGTTGCAAGTGATGTTCCGGTTTATAGATGTCACACGTGTCGCATGTAAGCACGGTTTCGCCGTACAATTCGTCGCTTCTGAACAGTTCACCTACGAGGTCGTGGATGAAGATAAAGGAATGCCCGTACGGGAAAGCCAAAGGATTGGCGCGGTTAAGATCCAAACGAATCTGATCTCTGATTTGTTCCATAGGGAGTTCTTCTCTCGAGTTTGAACCATTTGAGGTCATTGAAACTAGCAACTGTAAATAAGTGCTTTGGGTCGCAAGTAAAGACTTCCAAGTCGGAATGTCTTCGAAAATCGTATTGATCAAAATAGTGAACACAGCATCGTACGCGCAACTATAGTGTTGACTGTCCCATATAAACCCCACAGGAATGTCATTGGATCGAGCAGTGTTCGAAGGGCGATTTCTTTTTGAGTTGCGGGTAGGTTCTTCGGTTCTCAATCTTTTCAGACTAGGCTTCGATATCGGTTTGATCCTCACCTCTTTTCTGTCGTCATTCTTATTACTTTCGCGGCCTAGGATCGTATCCAGCTTGGTCCTTATGGATTTGTTGACGGTATAGAAAGCACTATAGTCGTTCAAATCAGGTAAGAGGCTGTCTCCGGCTACCGGGTTAAGCGATTCATGCCACTTGATCCTGCGTTCTTTATGCGAGTGGTCCTCGGCCGTGAGAAATGAATGTATCAGCGGGTAACGCATGTCACAGGTAACTGCCTGGTGCAATTTTTTCGAATGCCGGAGCTCGGTGATTTTGTCAAGAATGGCGAGCTCCCTTAATTCCTGCCGTAGCCGACCATCTTTGATCCCACCGGTTATTTTGGACTCGTCGAATTCGGTTAGAATAATAGTCCCATTCGCGTCCGAGCTTCTGGATAGGCTCGTGTACATGTGATGAAAAGTTCTACTATTGGACAAATCTATTACATTCTCTTTCCTAGTCTTACCTTGAGACGCGTAATCTGTCATCGAGAAATTTGGGAGTACATTTACTTGGTCTCTCTCGACTCTAATTCGTGTATCATCAGGCAACAGGCAATTGGCAGGATTCTTGGATCGTGGTATAGGCACTACATTTTCGGCTAAACCCTTAATCTGTATTGGTTTGGGAGGATTAATGAGTCGGACGAACAAGGTTTCTAGTACTTGTGAGTTATAAGGGCCCGTGGTACTATCCCATCCTACGACGATTCCTTCTTGACCTTTTGTTATGCATAGTTCGGTGGCGTCGTTATTCCGTAACATAACAGGCATTCCAATACATATAGACAGCATCCCAGGAATGTGGTCGGTAGCATTTGGATCTAACTTCCAGAGAACTTTCTGCAGCGCTTCTGTCATCCTGTTCTTATTGGACTTGCGGTTTCCTCTGCCTTTTGAAGTTGTAACACCCGGTAGTTGAGTAAGGGAGTCTATAGATTTGAACTCAACTATTTTTTTGCCGTTCTCCAACGCGAATCGTCTAGCACCATCCTTGTTATACTGGTCCTTGAAATTATTCAAGGATGTTATAATTGATACATTTCGGAAGCGCCTGCTCCGCAGCAGGTGCGCATTTGAGTTGTTCACAATCTTAGACTTGAGAAAGAATATATCTTCAGGTGTGCACGATGCATATCTCATATTCTCTAGTGCAACTCGAAGCTTGTCATCGTCTTTCGACTGAGTTTGTTGTCTCATGTTTTGAGTAAGAATGACTACAGTAGTAACTTGATGCCACAGAAACTTACCTATAATGGCTGTTTCCATCCATTTCTTTTTCGAATCTTCATTTGTAGGGCAGTGGGAGTACAAGTAATGGCCGCCAGTGGGAGGTAACTGTGCAAAGTCGCCGGCAAATATCATATTGACACCTCCGAAAGGTTCGTCACTTTCACCCGTTACCTTAGAGAGCCTAGTGCTAATGTTATATAAATCAGAACACGAAATCATTGATACTTCGTCTAAGAAGATGTAATCAACACCAGCAAGACGCTCGCGGGCGTCTAAAACAAGCGCAGACTCGCTTCTGATAGGTACGTCATCAGATTCCGAATTTGATCGATTAATGATACCTAGAGCGGAATGATAAGTTGATCCGTTCAATAGGGCAGCTGCGGTGCCCGTTGGAGCTACCACCATAAACCGGTGCGACTCGCTTCTAGAAGAAAACATGCTAATAAGAGCTTTGATTACCTGGGATTTCCCGGTACCTCCCATACCTCCGAGGTACATCTTTAATTGCTCCGGAGAAGGTGAACAAGCGTGATTAGCCACAATTTTGAAAGCTCTGGTCTGTTCTTTGTTCAAGGAGAATTTGGCGATTGTTGAGTTTACAATATTCGTATCTCTTTCACACTGAGCCTTGTAATCATGAAAGATGTATGATTTGTCTAATAACCGAACGACTCCGTCCCTTGTACGACGCCATTGAGAAAATGGGGCAGGTGGCGTGGTACCGTCATATCCGTCTTTGTTCGTTTTTATTGAAGCTATGCTTTCCAATCTACTCTGCTGTCTTAACGTGATCAGGTGCTTTTTGGTGGACTGCACTATGTTTTTCCAATGGGATCCAGTAAGGCTGGTCGAAATATGCATATCCATACATTCTTCATTTCCATTTTCCTCGCCACTTTGTTCTGGAATGTCGCTACTGCCCAGCCAGTTTAATCTTTCCAAAATTGCACGTGCTTTCATCTTGTCACGATCATTCCGTTTCGATTTGTATCCGGAGATTAATTGGATATCAGAGCAATCGACTGCAGAAATCTTGTCCATCAGTTCTTTCATAAGAGCTTCGACTTCACCGTCGTCTGTTTCATCCTCTTCGAATCCTTTAAAAGGATTGAATAATCGAACGTTGGTCGCTTCTTTTCTCTTTTGTTTAAGAATCTTATGATAATCATCTCTTTCGTCTAAGCATTCATAGCGAACATTGAAGTTAGACATCATTATCTTATGTTCTGTAGTAAACGAGAACGAGTCGAAAGCATCTTTCCATGTCTGCGTCGACAACTTGAGATCTGCAGGCGTTCTCCAAGGCTTGAATATTGTTAACATAGTCACGTAGTAGTAATTTACATCACCTTGGTCTTTCCGCGGCAGGGCACCTCCCATAAAGTTAGGGACCTTATGAGTACTGGACAGCGGGTCGAACTTCACGTGGTGGCTATCACACTGGGGATGTTCAGGGAGGAATCTCGACCACTTCGATCGGACCTGATCATCACTGTTCGTGTTAATACTTGTCAGCCTTTCCTGTTCACTTTTGTTCTTATTTTTTGAAACCTTTTTTTTTTTCGACGCATCGAATCCATTCTATAAGGCTTACACGAGATAGTTGTAGAGGACGATATATATAATCGTCAACATTGGTCCAGGGAACGTAATCACCGCCCTTCTTTTTCAGCACGACTGTATCTTCCTCCACGTCTTCTCCTTCCAGTGCTAGAGTATGATTTACGATAGGTTTGCTATTATCGTCACCAAGAGACTCACTACTTGTGAGCACATGACGAACGTAACTACGCCACCAAAAGGACACAAATGTATGACTAGAGTAGTGATCAGGATTACCGAGGAGGTACATACATGCCATTGGGCTACCTATTTCCATTTTTGAAGTGAGATTGTTTGAAAGCTTGAGTATCAGGCGCCTAGCTGTGTCTCTCCTAGCTTCAGAACTATGCGAGTGCTCGGCCAAGTGAGGGTTTTTCTGGTATATGTCGTATGCAGCTGAGAATATCTGATGCGACTTTAACATGGACTTTGTAATGTAATCAGTTACATATGAAACTATGGCTTTGATGGCTGTTCCCGATAGAAGATTACCCACGTCAGTATTACATCGGAGCAAGTAGGTTAGACAAGGGCTAAACGTGTTCATTGAACTCTCTAGGTGGCGCAAGGTGACGTGTCCATCGGAATCGACTGTAGATTGTGTATGTACTTCTCTCGGAAATCTCGCCTTACAAATGCCATCCTTGTCTAAGCAAGCTTTCTTCTGAACAACGATCTCGCTACTGTTGGAATCTTTCTTTTCATAGGAGTACCTGCAGGAGTGCACGTTACAACGAACAAGTAGGTCATCCACGGTTTTCTTATACTCATTCCACCATTCTAGTCGTCGATCGCAAGATACACATTGACCCTTACCGCAAAAAGGACTGTGCTTAGTCGAAAGGGATTCGGGAGGAGGAGTAGGTAGCGTTAAAGTGGGATCTTTATAACCTTCCACTACTTTACTAGTCGACCCTTTATGTACAAAATGTATTCCGTCCGTACCATCGGATGGTGGAGCAGGTACGAGTTCCTTTACCATTTCCAACGGTCCCTGGAATAGTTCACCTTGATGGCATCCTTCCAGATAGTGTCGCGAAGAGCGAACACTAAACCAAACCAAACCTTGAAACCAGAGCGGAAGTGCCAGAGAGCTGAGAGCGAGGAGAGAGGCGAGAGCGATGAGTGACTTTGTAAGCCAGAAAGCTATGCGGATGTATTGACGAAGAGGTCAAGCTGAGGAAATACAGAGCAGACTACCTAGCTTATATACCTATTCTACAGTCTACATAGCCGCGATGAGTCAAAATGACAAACAAATGGCGAAACGTCTAAGAACAATAAGAAAGGTCATGAGGCTGCGCGAAGGCTGCGCGAAGAACAAGGATGAAACAATAATGGAACAAGAGAGTGTCAGAATGAGTCAAGAGGCAGTGCGTAACAATAAGAACAATGGAAGTGGGGCGAAGGGTAATACGAGGCAGTGTTCCATGAGTGAAAGAGTCCATAGAGGGAATAAAGGAGCGAAGGAATAGGGGCAAGCGAAGACGATAAGATGCGAGACAGATCAGATAAGATAAAGTGAAAAATAGGGGCTGTACCGGCTGTTCACGACATTACCCCCCTTCTAAGCCTCATCGTCCTCGATGACCAACGGTAGGCGGCGTCCCAGTTCCCAGTCAAAGTCGGTAGGCGGGGCGTCGGTGAAATTCTCGAGTGGGCGCCATGGGAGAGAGCTGAAGATGGTAGCGGAAATTCGGCGTGGTGCAGAGGGGTGTCGCTGGTGGAACTCCTTCACGATCTCGGGCGCGTGCTCCAAGTTCTCCTCCGGTTCCCAAGTGTCGTCCGTCGACCCATAACCCTTCCAACTGACCAAATACTCCAGTTTGCGATTCTTTCCTCGACCTCTCCAACGGCTGTCCAGGATGTCGTGAACCTCGTATTCAAGCTCCCCCTCCAGTTCGACAGGCTCAGGCGGGGGTGGCAAAATGCCATTGACATCATTGCCTTTCCAGGGGGAGAGCTTGTCGACGTGGAACACAGGATGAATGCGGGGAGAGGGACGGGGGAAGTTCGAGGCGGTAGTCGAGGTCGCCGATGCGTTCGGTAATCTTGTACGGGCCGAGTTGGAGGTCGCCGAGTTTGCGGGACGGAACCTTGATCTGGATGTCCTTCGCGTTAAGCCAAACGTAGTCGCCAACCTTGAATTGATGAGCCGTTCGCTTGCCGGACTCGTACGCATCCTTCTGCTGGGCCTTCTCGAGACGTAAGGCAGCTTCCACATCCTTGCGGGCTTCTTGTAGCTGCTGAACACGTTTCATCAACGGGGCGAAGGTCGGTCCGTTTGCCAATGGGGATGTTGAAGTGGGGAATATACCCATAGAGAACTTCGAAGGGTGAACGATCATGGGCAGAGTGGACGCGGGAGTTGATCACGAATTCAGCCATCGGTAGGTGCTTGTCCCAGTCATCCTGTCGGCGAGAGACGTAAAGACGGAGATACTTCTCGATTTCCTGGTTGGCCCGTTCGGTTTGTCCATTGGCTTGAGGGTGATAGGCGGTGGTGAGGTTGGACTCGATTCCGAGGCGCTTGAGGAGGGTGCGCATGACCTTAGAAGCGAACTGAGGGCCTCGATCACATGATGAACCGGAGTGGGAGACCATGGAGACGGAATACTTCTCGGTAGTAAATGTCTGCAACGCCTTCGGTGGTGATGTCGGATGTACAGGGGAGAGCATGAAGAACCTTGCTGTAGTGATCGGTGAAGACGATGATCGCGTCGTGTCCATGGGCTTCCGGTAACTGGGTGATGAGATCGACTCCTACTGTCTCCCAAGGCCCTTCGGGAACGTCCAAAGGCCGGGTGGCAGCCCGCGGGTGCTGGGTATGCTTTCTCCGGGCGCAGACATCGCAACCGTCGACGTACTTCTTGACGAAAGCCCGCATCGTGGGCCACCAGTACTGTCGTTCAACTCGCTCGAGGGTTCCGTGCACTCCGGGGTGTCCGGACGTGGGGTCGTCATGACACTGCTTGAGGACATCGCGCCTGAGTTCGTCGTCCGGGGGTACGTACACACGGCCCTTGTAGTACACAAGGCCGTGTGTCCTCTTCCCATTCGGGAAGTCCAGATGTGAGACGGCGAGGTCCTGACTTACGGAGCTGGGCGAGTCCGTCTAAGACCTGAGATTCACGGGCGCTGGCTCGACGCAGTCGGTCTTCGAGGGGGTTGGCAAGGACGGTGTGGGCGGCTGCGAGCTTGGCAAACAACTCTGGTTTGAGAACGACTTGTTGTTTGTTATCCTCGGCGTCTGCGACCTGATGAATGTCGAGGCGGGACAGGGGATCGGCTTGGGTGTTGGCCTTTCCGGGACGATGGGTGAGCGTGAAGTTGAAACGGGAAAGATAGAGGGACCACCGGGCCTGTCGTCGACTAAGGTCTTGTGCCGTGCGCCAGTATTCCAGGTTGGAATGATCGGTGACGATCTCGAACGGTTTGGGGAGTCCTTCCAGGAAATGTCGCCAGTCCTTGAGTGCTTCGATGATAGCCAGCATTTCTCGGTCGTAGATTTCGTAGTTGCGTTCGGCTGGTTGCATGGGAGGCGGAGCGGAAGGCAACAGGATGCCAGAGTCCATCGTCGAGCTTCTGAAGGAGGGCTCCTCCAGTAGCAAAGCCAGAGGCGTCTACTTCAACGCGGGTTGGACGGTCGGGGTCCCATAGTGTCAGTATTGGAGCGGAGGTGAACGCGTTTCGGAGGGTGTCGAAGGCTTGTTGTTGCGGTTCGTTCCACTGCCAAGGGATGTCCTTCTTGGTGAGGTCGTTGAGAGGCCGGGGCGATGGTAGCAAAGTCCTTGATAAAACGGCGATAGAAGTTGGCGAAACCCAAAAATCCACGGACGGCGCGAAGGTTGCGGGGAACAGGCCAGTTGCGAACAGCTTCTACCTTGGCAGGGTCCATACGGACTTCTCCCTCCCTGATGACCAGACCGAGGTACTCGATCTCCTCCCGCTCAAACTCGCATTTCTCCGGACGAAGGTAGAGGTCGTGTTTCTTGAGCCGATGGAGGACCTCGTGCACGACTTGGCGGTGTTCGTCAAGGGTGGCCGTGAAGATGAGAATGTCGTCCAAATAAACAGCGACCTTTCCTGAAGCGATGAGGTCCGAGAATATCGAGTTCATGAGGGCCTGGAACGTTGCTGGGGAATTGGTGAGGGCCGAAAAACATGACCAGGGGCTCAAAGAGTCCTTGGTTGGTGGCGAACGCGGCCTTCCATTCATCTCCTTCCTTGATGCGGATGTTGTTGTAGCCCCATCGAACAAGTCGAACTTGGTGAAATACTTGGCACCACGGAGTCGGTTGACGATGTCAGAGACGAGGGGAAGTGGATATCGGTTCTTCACCGTGATCTCGTTGAGCTTTCGATAATCCTGGACGAAGCGGAGTTTGCCATCTTTCTTCTTAACGAAGAAGACCGGGGAGGCGAGGGGCGATTTAGACGGTCGTATGTAGCCTTTCTTGAGATTCTCCTCGAGGAATCGGTTCAGCTCCTCCTGCTCGTTCTGCGACATGGGGTAGACCTTGGTGCGCATGGTGGCCGGTGCTCCTGCAACGAGGTCGATGGCATGATCCCAAGGCTTGTGTTCGGGGAGGGCGATGGGACTCAGATTCGGAGAAGACGGAGGCGTGCTGTCGGTACTGGGGAGGAACCATCTCTTCGAACGACTTCTGGGGCTTGGCCTTCTGGGACTTCTCGGCGATCTGTTGGGAATAGGTGAAACCAGCGGCGCACCAAAGTTCGTCGCCTGTGTCTTCCATCAACCCCTTACGAACCCATCTCCGCCGGGTCATTCGGTTAGCGCGGATGCGGCAGAGAGGAGGCGCGCTTGGTTCAAAGTCGGGGTCGGGCGCCGGGGACTCGTTGGTAGGAACAGGCGGATCAGGGTCGTTGTAGATCTGTTCGATAATAGCATTGCCGGAGGGTGGTTCCTTTCGAGGGGGCTGTGCATCTTCGTCGGGGATTTCTTCGATGGTAACACTGGAGACACGAGGTGGGGGAATCTCCAAGGTGCCCTTGCGCCAATCAATCTGGGG